AAAATTTTTTTTTTTATTGCTTCCTTTTTTTTTTAAATAAAAAAAAAAAAAAAAAAAAAAATTTCATTTCTTAATTTTTTTTTGTCGAGACCCCCCCTTGGGGAAAATTAATGAAAGACTAATTGTTCCAAAAGATTAAATATAAAAATATTATCTAATATTATTATTGTTATTAATTGAATTTTCTTGGAGAATATTAAGTTTTCTTCATCTGGAACATTATAACCACGAGAAAAGGATTTAATAGTAAAATCTGGACAAAATAACATTGCTTTTGTAATGATTGCAGTATTTTTGGTGGCAATAATATCACGATGATATCATTCCATGTAACTCTGAAGCCTTGCATTGTACTAAAAAATTAAAGTATTTTTTCAGTATTAATAAAACAATATGAAATATTATATTTAATTGTATAGAATATGAATACATACCATTAGGAATTGGTTTAGAATCGTTTATGAAAGCATGATGGTAGCTTTCAAAAAGTTTTTTTCACTCTTGGTTATAATGATGGGTACCTTGCTTTTTATTATAGGTCCTATTGAAAACCAAAATTTGAAATCATCTTTTTGATTTAATATTGATAATAATTTATAATTTTCATCATGAATTATTATATTTGAATCAAAATAAAATAGTATATTATAATTACTATTATTATTATTATTATTATTATTATAATTACTATTATTATTAATTCTATTAATAAAAATTCTAAAATTATTTAGAATTTTATATTTTTGAAGAATTATTGCATTGATTACAATTTGAATTTATTCTCTGAATATTGTTTATTATATTAATATGATCTGATAAATTATTTGCTTTATTATTATAAATATCTATTTGATAGTAATAGTTGTGATATGTAGTTATTTTAATTGGACAATTATTACATTTTATAATTTCGCAACATTAAATTTTTGAAATGTTGGAAATATTTGAGTGGTATTTAATTGAATTATAATATCTATCAATTCAATATTAAATATATCAATTAATAATTTATCACTATTAATATCAATAACAATATTATTATTATTATTTAAATTATTATTATTATTATTATTTAAATTTTCTAATGATTAATATAAATATTCTAAAGTTTTAATTGAATTATTTTTTAATACATTTTTAAAATTATTATCATCTTTAAATTGTCTAATTATTCTATAGAGTTTATTAATATAAGAGATTTGTCGGTTGATGATTAATATTATTGTTGATAAGGTTTCTTTGATACATTTTAGTTACAATTTTTTTTAATAATAATAATAATACCATTTCACCAAAAGATAACAGCTTTGATATTATTATTATTATTATTATTATTATATTTTTTTTTTTTACTAATAATTTACTTTTATCTAAATTCTACTATTATTATTATTAATATTATTAATATTATTATAGTTTTATTTTTTTGAACCATGGTTTAAATAATTATTTTTTTTTATGAAAAAATTTTTTTTTGTCAGTAAAATTTTTTTGTCAGTATATGTCTAAAAATTTTTTTCCTCATTTTGTCAGTATATTTTTGTTGATATATTTATCTTTGTCAGTATATATATCATACATTGACATATGTTTTCTTGTAAAACATTGCTAATATATAATTATAAAAGTGAATATTATTATAATTATAAAAAAAACTATATAATTTAATTTATTATATATTTTTTTTTTTTGAAAATAAAATAAACTATTTCTTTTATAAAAATAGTATAATATTATTATAGTTATATTGTTACTATTATTACTATTATCTTTTGATAATTAAAAAAATGTACACTTTCTTATTTTTTGTTTCACTAAATATAACTCATCTTGTAATTTGTCGTCAATATTTGAGAAATATGGTTGGTGTTATTTATAGTTTTACATATAAAACAATAGAGGTTTTCTTCTTTATTCATTTAAAATAAATAAAAAAAAAATTAATATTAATAATTTTTTAAAAAAAAAAAAAAAAAAAAAAATTAAAAAAAAGATTGTATTTGATAAAAAAAAAAAAAATTTTTCTTTTTTTTTTATTTATTATTTATTTTTTATTATTTTTTAATATTCAACTCAAAATTTTGTTTTTTAAATTATTTCTTTTAATTATTCGAATCGTCAAATTGTTAAAAAAAAAAAAAGGTTATTATTATTTAAATATTTAAAATCAAACAAAAAAGTAAAAGAAATTTTCGGAATTCTATTAATTTTTTATGAAATTCAATTTAACATGGCATAATTAATTCCATTAAATTAGGAAAAAAAGATATTGAATGGAAAAGAAAAAGATAACGAAAATTGCTTAAAGATATTTATAAAGATGATTAAAATTTTTTTTTTTTAATTTTTTTTTAATTTTTTTTTAATTTTTTTTTAATTTTTTTTAATGCTCCACACACTTAAAAATTTTTTTTTTTTTTTTTTTTATCATTATTAAATATTTTTATTATACAAAAATGAGATTTGTTGTATTCTTAGTTGTTTTATTATTTGTTGCTTTTGCTGCCGCTAAAAACGGTCACACAATCGGTAAATATATAATATATCTTATTTTATAATTTTATTATTTAATATATTAATTTTTTTTTTTTTATAGAACAAACCCAATTTGTTGCTTTCCAACAAAAATATAACAAAGTTTATTCATCAAATGAATATTCTGCTAAATTCGAAACCTTCAAAGCTAATTTAGGTGTTATTGCTCAATTAAACCAAAAAGCCAAACTCCATAAATCCGACACTAAATTCGGTGTTAACGAATTTGCCGATCTTTCAGCCGCTGAATTCAGAAAATACTACTTAAATGCCCAAGTTGCCAAACCAGATGCCAGTTTACCAATGGCCCCATTATTAACCGAAGAAGTTCTCGAAACCATCCCAACCGCTTTTGATTGGAGAACCAAAGGTGCCGTCACCGGTGTCAAAAACCAAGGTCAATGTGGTTCATGTTGGTCATTCAGGTAAGGATTTGATGATTTATCAAAAAATAAATCACCGTTTGTGTTTGATATTAATATTTTTTTTTTTTTCTCTATAATTATAGTACTACTGGTAACATCGAAGGTCAATGGTATTTAGCTGGTAACACCCTCGTTGGTCTTTCAGAACAAAATTTAGTTGATTGTGATCACCAATGTATGGAATACGACGGTCAAAAATCATGTGATGCTGGTGAGTATTCATTTTAAATTTATAAGAGTTACATTGGATTGGATATTTTAGCACTCTATATTGCAGGTTTATATTTCATAGTTAATTTATATTAACCAATTCAAACAATTAATTTCAAAATATATAGGTTGTGATGGTGGTCTTCAACCAAATGCTTACCGTTATGTTATCGAAAACGGTGGTCTTGATTCAGAAAACTCATACCCATACTTAGCCGTTACTGGTGACAGTTGCAAATTCAAATCAGGAAATGTTGCTGCTAAAATCTCAAATTTCACTATGATTCCACAAAATGAAACCCAAATGGCTGGTTACCTTGCTACCCACGGTCCATTAGCTATTGCTGCTGATGCTGCTGAATGGCAATTCTACATTGGTGGTGTCTTTGATCTCCCATGTGGTCAATCATTAGATCACGGTATTCTTATTGTTGGTTTCAGCGCTGAAAAGAACATTTTCGGTCATCTTAAACCGTAAGTTTTTTCTTATTAAATCATTAAATATATATAAAAAAAATATTTAACTAACATTATCTTTATTTTACACAGATATTGGATCGTTAAAAACTCATGGGGTGCCTCATGGGGTGAACAAGGTTATTTATATCTTGGTAAAGGTAAAAATCTTTGCGGTGTCTCAGATTTTGTCTCTACTTCAACCATCAATGCTTCATTATAAATTGTTTAAATAAAAATATATTGTTTTTTTAAAAGAAATCAATCTTGGCTTTATTTTTATAGGTTCTAAAAAACTATTTAAGAAATATATCTTAAAAAATTATAGTGAATTATTATCTTAATTTATCAATTTTTTTTTTTTAATTTATTTTTCCAATGTAACATAAACTCTGAAATATTGAACTTTCACTTGGGGCAGGAAAATTAATTTCTACAGTGATAATACCAAAAATAAGGTATAGTTTTTTTAATTTATTTTTGGTCGGAATAGAAATTATGGTGGAGCCGTTGGGTTGTGGTTTAACGAGAATAGCTAAGCAATCCTTTGAATTGAATACACCCTCTGGGTCAGAGAGATTGTGATGGTAATATGGAATCTGATTACCATCTCTATCTATAAATATTAAAAGTAGATATTGAAATTAATATTTTGGATATTTTTTTTTTTTTTAATATACTTGCCTGTATAAGTTACTGGTAAATCTCCAGGTTCCAAATTTTCCAATTCAATGATTTTTTGAATTGTTTCGATAATATAGGTAAATGATTTTACAATTTCTGAAGGGGGTTTTTTTTTATTAAAAATGTTATTATTAATATTATTGATACTAATATTGAAAATATTGTTATTGTTTTGTAATATCTTATCTAAATTTAAAATTTGGTATTTTTGTTCTAAATTTGAGATATCAAAGTTGTTGATAAAATCATTTAATTGGTTAAGAGTTTTTTTTATTTTTTCACAATCTTTATTTTCTTTTTCAGAGTTTGACAGGGTATCTTGTATATAATGGCTGATTTTTTCTAAATTGAAATGGTGAGTTTTTGAAATAATTTCTGATAGTTGATTATATAGATTAAAAAGATTTTGTTTATTTTTTTCACAATCTTTTATTAAATCCTCAACTTTTTTTAAATTTTTTTTAAAGTTTTCTAATTTTTCTTTAAATGTTATTTGTTCAATTTTTTTTAAAAAATGACCTTGATGTGTGGAAGTTACACATTCTAAGCATGTTGGTACATCTCTACATGTAGTACAAACATGGGAGAATTCCATGTCATGATCAGTACAAAGATGGCTTATAGTAATTTTATCTCTATCTATTTTGTTATCCATTGTCGATTTTAAGAAAATTAAAAATAATTTCATTTATATTTTATAAAAAAACTTAAGTTTTTTTATTAAGTTTTATTAAATTTTATAAAAAAAAAAAAATTAAAAAAAATAAAAATTTTCATCTTAAGAAAATTTTTTTTATTATCGATAAGTGATGTTAATTTTTAAACTTAATAAGTTTATAATTTAATATTTTACCATCAAAATAATATTTCTAGCTTGAGTACCTTTTTAATAAAATTAGCATTTATCATCAGCATTCGTCTTGGTCCTCATCATCATCATCATCAGCATTCATCTTGGTCCTCATCATCATCACCAGCTTTCATCAGCATCATCATCACCATTTATCATCATCATTCATCATCAGCATTCATCTTGGTCCTCAGCATTCATCTTGGTCCTCACCATCATCACCATAACCATCATCAGCATTCATCAGCATTCATCAGCAGCAGCAGCATCAACCCCTAAAGCTTTAGAAAAGAACTTTTAGTAAATCAATAATAATTAATAATTTTATAAAAAAAAAAAAAAAAAAAAAAAAAAGATAATAAGAGAATATAATCTTTTTGATGGAAGAAATACATTTTCCCTGGCCAGGCAAATATATTGGAACATCAATTAGTATTTGGATTCTGAAACATCATTAAATTTTCAAATAAAATATAATAAAATATAATAAAATTTTTTTTTTTATAAATAATATGTTTATTTTTTACCGTTTTCCTTTTTATTAAAAATAGCTCTTCATGATATAATTTAGTATAATACGAAAATGTTTGACACTCACATATTAATTAAATATATATATATAATTGGGTTTTAATTATATATATATATATAATTGGGTTTTTTAGTTTATAAAGCTTTTCCCATAAAAAGTAATGCGATAGCTTCTTGTAGATGGTTTTAAACACAGAATGCCCTATAATATCAATATAAATTACAATATAGATTTGGTTGTATTTTACTCAAATAGCACAAGATAATTTATTTGAATCTCAAGTAGAACAAGCAGTTCATTAAATTTAAATAAATATTTTTAGAATTTCATCAACATCAGTAATCTATATAAAAAACAAAATATTAGTAAATTCAAGTTGATAATCAAATGGTAGTTGAAAAGGGGGTTCAACTTGTGGTTCAAATAGTGCTCAAATAGTGTTCAAATGGTGGTTAGAGAAGTGGTTGTTCAGATCGTTATAGTCGTGCTTCGGAGGTTCAAGTAGCACCTCATGTGGTGGTGCAAGTGGTTTAAGTATCGTTTAAAATGGTACTCTAAGTGGCAGTTAAGGTTGGAGTTGTACTTCAAGTGGTAGTTAAAGTAGTTCAAATGGTGTTTCAAATGGTAATCCAAATAGCGCCTCAAATTGTGCCTCAGGCGGCGCTTCAGATAGAGTATAAAAAAGTGTTTCGAGTTGCACTTCAAGTGGTATTTCTAGTAGTAATTCAAATGGCGGTTCAAAAAGTTAGAAAGAGTTAGATTGCAATCAAATCTTTATTCATAAATTTATTTAAAAAAAAAAATAATAATAACCAGCGATATAAATAATAACAATACAAATAATGATAATAAAAAAAAATAACCAAGATTGGTTTATTAAATATTAATTTTAAAATACTTTATTTTGTTTTTTATTTGAAAGCTCTCTTAAAGTTTGTATATTTGAATCTGGTAGGTTTATAAAGTTACATAATAAATGGCATAGCTCGTGGTTATTAAAGCTAATTGAGGCTTCAATTAATATATATAATAATTTAGCTTCAAAAATACTCTGCTTAGTAGTAACAACATTATTACTACCGCTACTATTATAGATACTGCTTTTGTCATTATTATTATTATTATTATTATTATTATTATTATTATTATTATTATTATTATTTGTATTGTTATTATTATCATCCATTATAATATCTTGGTTATTTTTTTTTATATTATCATTATTTGTATTGTTATTATTTTTATTGCTAGTTATTATTATATGTTTTATTTTTAAAATATAACCATAATTCTGTATTATAAATTTAAAAATTGTAAAACAACCTTTATATGCAGCAATATTGAGTGAATGGAACAGCATCTTTGTGGTTTCATCATTTAGATCATTTAGACAGTAAAAAATAAATGTTTGTAAATAACTTTCGGAGCAATAGTAGAGATGGGAGTGGTCTAGAAATCTTGAAACTCTTTCAAAGCTAGTAACATCAAATAAAACTTTGGGAAATAATTTATAGAGTTCAAAAAGTTCTTCGGTTCGGTTACTAAAAAATAAAGATACTAATAAATCTTGAGCATCCACTTCAACCAATATGGATGGCTCATTTGAATCTTTTGGCCCTTCCGTAATTGGATCAATATTCGTTCTTTTTCTGGGTCTTAATGCCTCTCTCATAGACGTGAATGAATTAACATTTCCACTATTTACCATTACTTTGAAAACCAATGCTATATTGTAATAGTTTGAAGTATTCCTAATATTTTCTTTGAAGCTTTTGAAAATTATATTTTTATCTAAAAAAGCAAATAGCCACCTAATAAATTTGATGTATCTATAGGGAGTGTACTCCATTACATTATAGTGTAAAAAGTCAGAAACCTTTAAATAGTTCATTGGGAAACTTGAAAAGAATGGTACCAATGAATCAGGATTACTTGATCCTATAATTTGTTTATAAAAACCAGCAATGTTGAAAAAATCACCGATATGATATAGCTTTGGATTCTGTGCCACTCTATAAAAGATATCTGCCAGTATTTTGTTATCGTTAATCATATTTTTATTATGAGTTACCTCGAACCTTCTACCTAGACCTTCCATTAGCTTTTCAAAGTGCTCTAAAACTGATATGCTTGAGATGTATTGCCAATAGCAATTTAAATCTTTGAATATAACATCTTGATGGCTGTTGTAGTAATAGTCCAACAGTTGTGTAGTTTTTATCGTTACAAATATTGTTACAATTTGACTGAAACCGCCTCTTGAAAAGATCTCTGGCAATGAAAACTTTGTATAGAAATACCCTATGAGCTCCAGGTCATTGGTCGATAAAATTGCTTTAAGATAAAAGTCCAAAAAGTTGAAATAGCACTCTTTGTGATATTTGTTTATTAATTCAAACTGCGCTGGTCTGTTGCCACTATATAACAACTCTTCAAAATAGCTGAAAATATCAAAACGTCTTTCAATACACACTCTTTGAAACTTTTCTTTACTTTTAAATGATAGGTAGTATTCCATTGGCTTTTTAAATTTCTTTTCATCTTTTGAATTTCTTTTACTTATTAATAATATTGTTTTGATAATTTTATTGATTATTATTTTTAAATTATTTTTACTATTACTATTATTACTGTCAATGCTACAACTATTACTATTATTTTCAAAGCTGGACGTTGATATTATATCTCTAACTGTCAGATTTAGTTGATCCTTTGTATACAATGATTCAACCTCTATATTTTTAATTTCCGTTATTAAACTATTTATTTTTGTATCGCTTTGAATAATTTTTGTTGATAAACTAGACACCAATAATAAATATTTTAAAAGCTTTCTAAACTTTAATGTATAGGGGAAGCAGTTTTGGGCAATATACTCTACATTGGGTAGCTCTTGTGTTAAATAATTATTGTGGATTATGTGGTGATATATTTTTAAACGTTTGTAATATACTTCAAAATTAATAGGATTGATTATATTTATTTTTGATGATTCCATTGAAGCTCTGATAGAGTCTATATCAATGTTGAAATGTTGAATATATAGTTTAAATGCCACTATATTTCTACTTTGATATAATAGAGGTATCCATTTACTATAGTTATTAAGTTCTAGTGACGAAACCTCTGGTGATGAATATTTTGTAAATAATATCTTGTAGTAATTAGAAGTCTCTTGTTTTTTCTTTGAAAAGTTTAATAGAAGCAAACAAAAATCCTTGTCATTTTTTATAAAGAAACTGTCACTCTTTATTTTATCTTTGATTATTTCGATTGCATTTGTATATTTGTTTAAAATTCTATCTACACAAAATAAATCTTCATAACTTGCAATACACTTCATTGTGAAATTTTCAAAAATATTTTTAAGTATGAATTTGTTTCTAAAAACCCTCCAAAACAAATATTCTGTTGGATCTATACTGTCGGTTATTATTAATTTTGTTTGATCTTTATTAATAAAGGAATTTGGACCCAATTCTTCTTTTTCTTGAACAATTAAATAATCTTCATTTCTTTTTAAATTATTATTATTACCACTGCTATAATTTGTATTATTGTTACTATTGTTGTTGTTATTATTGTTATTGCTATTATTATTTGTATCGTGACAAATATCACTGATATAACTATTTTTATTTATAGTATTTTTATTATTATCTATTATTGTATCATTTAAAAATTCATCTTCATTTTCCCTCTCTCTCTTTTTATTATTGTTATTATTACAATCATTATTATTATTATCCATTATAAATATATTTCATTTTTAAAAATAAAAAAAAAAAAATATAAAATGGGGAAAAAAAATTTTAAAATTTATTTTTATTTTTCGAAATGTACTTTTTTTTTTTTTTGTTTTTTACCTTTTTATTTCTACAAATTCTTTTTTTTTTTTTTTTTTTTTTTTTTTTTTTGATTACAAATTAAATTTTTTATAAAATTAATAAAAAATTTTATTATGATTATGTATTTAATAAATGATAAAAAAAAAAAAAAAAAAAATAATTATTGATGTCCTATTTTTAGTAAATAGTATACCCCATTTTACCCCCAAAACTTAAAAAAAACTAATGATAAAAGTTTTGGTGTGTTTTTTAAATTAATATTAATATAAAAATTAAAATTAAAAGAATTATAAATTTAAATCAATAAATAATAAAAAAAAAAAAATAAAAAAAAAAAATTATATAAAAACAGCAGCTTTATTAAAATATTCAAATTATTAAATCGATTTATGAATATAGAAATAAATCTATGCATTACAAACAGTGATAGAATTTGACCACCAACCACATTTGTTTTCAATTGGGAATGTGTTTTCTTTAATTGGAGTACCAGTACAACCATCACCTTTGAAAACTTGTTGGGTCATTGTATTAGCAGTGGATGAACAGAGAACATTGAATGAAACTTGATTATTTGGATCTCTAGAGTTGGTACAAACACCCATTTCATTGAAAAAGACATTAGTAATTTCATTCTTCCAGTTGGTGCTGTTGCATTGACCAACATAGTCGAATCTAACTAATGAATTTGATGGAAGATCGTAAGTAGAAACACATGAAGCAGTGATTGAATTATTATTTCTATCTATATTATTTAAAAAGTAAAAAATACACATTATATTAATATTGTTTTTTTTTAAAAATAGTCTATAAAACATACCAGTTGCACAAGCACCAGCAGTGAAATTCCATGAATGAACCATACGACCATGGCAGTCACCTCTGTTATCGTATTCAGTTACAAAAATAGTGGTACCATCTGCTGAGCAACCAAACATTTGATTGTAGTCGCAATAGTTTTCTTCGATATATTGACCATCAACAGCAGTTTCACCACAGCCACCATCAAATCTTTGAACATAAACAAAGGAGGCAACGGAATATTGAATAACAGCTAATAAAACAACTAATAATAATAAAACTTTCATTTTAGATATATATATATATAATAAATAATAATGAAAAAAAAGAAAAAAAAACCCTTTTATACTATTTTTTTTTTTAAAATGATATTTTTATATAAATAAAAGTTGTTCAACTTTTTTGTACATGTTTTTTATTTTATTTTATTTTATATTGGTTTTATTTTTGTTAAACTTAATTTTAAAAAAAAATCAAAAAAACATCAATCACCCATACAATCCCTAAAGTTGATGGTTTCTTTCATTCACATCTTTTTTTTAATCAAGATAAATGTCATAACCCAATAAAAATATCACTACCATTAACAAAGTCTAAAAATTACACCAAATGGGTTGCACAATAAAAAATATAAAAAATCATCCCCCAAAAAAAAAAAAAAAAGAAAATATATGGGTAACTAATAAATTAGATATTTAAATTTAAAAAAAAAAAAAAAAAATCCTTCATAATAAAAATTTAAATATTTATTTTTACATTTATATTTATAAATTGTTTATTATTTATATTTATATTATATTTATACTGATATTATTTATTATTTATTATTATTATTTTTTTTCATTTACTTTTGAAAATGAATCAAATAAACTGCTTGGAGCAAAAATAAATGACTTTGATGGCTCTTTGGCAATCTCTTGAATTGCTTCTATTTCTCTAATACGAATTGCTAAAGGTGATTTTTCCAATTCTAAATATAAATTAAAACAATGTGTTAATATAAATGTTGCCAGGATTTAATTGATTAAAATAAAACTTACCATGTGCAGCTTCTAAAATCTAAAATATATTTGAAAGGTGAAAAATTGTATATTAATATAATAAACTACTTTATTTATATGGTATATATATAACTTACAATATGTGATGATTCTAACTCTGCTTTAGCTGAAATTACTCTTGCCTCTTTTGATAATTCGGATTGAAGTTTTTTTGAAATTGCGTCTCTAATTTCATCAGAGAAAATGGTGTCGATGATATTTACACCAACTAATTCTAAACCTAAAGGTTCAACTTTTTCTTTAAGTGATTCTAATAATTGATTATTTATACTTTCACGCTCATGAATTAACTGATTAAGGGTAATAGTTGGAACAATCTCTACTAATTTAATTTGAACTAAATCTTTAATTGATTTATCATGATCTGGGGTTCCTTGAGTTAATTTTAATGGATCTACAATTTTATATTGTACCAATGTATTTAAATCCACAACTGCACTATCCTTGGTAACCATTGAAGGTGTTGTTACATCTTGACTGTGTGGTCTTGTATCAAATACAACAATTGAATGAACAAGTGGTAACATTAATCTTAATCCTGGTGATAAAACTTTATTTTTGATTTTACCAAAACTATATTTAATACCTAATTCGCCCTCATTGATTTTTGTAAAAATTTCTCTTTTATTACTATAATTATTGTTATTTATATTTGATGATCCTAATGCTGATCTTGATATAGCTGTTTTATAATGATTATTTATAAAAAATTTTGAGTTTTTGAAAATTATAATTGGTCTATTAATACCATTCATTTTTGCTGTATCTATCAATCTATCCGTATAGTTTATAAAACTATAAATGTAATAACAAAAGAAATTAAAAGAAAAACAATGAAATTAAAAAAAAAAAAAAAAAAATGAAATAATAAAAAAAAAATTTTTATTTTTTTTTTTGAAAAATAAATTTTTTTTTTTTAAAAAATAAATATTGCAAAAATGTTGTGGGCAAAAAGAATGTAAATCAAATAATGATGGTGGCAATAAATTGTATTTTAAAAATCCAAAGTTACAGTTTTTAAAAAAAAATAAATAAATACACAAAGGTTTTTTAGATTTTAAAATTATATGATTTTTTTTTTTTTTTTAATTTTTTTTTAATTTTTAAATAAAAAAAATATTATTATTTATCATTATTATAATTGATTAAATTTTATATTTGTTATTCCATTCTTATTATTATTCCATTATTATTTAAAGGTTTTTTTTTTTCTCTCTTTTTTTTTTAATATTATTATTCTTATATAAATTATTATTTTAAATTATTATTATTATTTTTTTACAACTTTAATGATTCAAAGGTTGGAACATCTGAAACATCACCAACAACAACTAAAGTTGGTTTTGATGAAACTAAAGTTTTGGCAACTCTTTGGATATCTTCAGCGGTAACATTGTTAATTTCTTCAGCAAATTCGACTGGAGTGTAAATCTTATCAGAGTAGATAGCTTGTTTACCAATAAATTCGAGGGCACCACTTCTGCTATCAGCTTGTTCTAAGACGTCAACTTTAGCAAGAGCTTTAGCACGTTCTAATTCTTTGCCGGTGGCTTTGGTTGAGGCAGAGATTTCAGAGGTTAATAATGATAAAGTTTTGGCAACGTTGCTACCTTCAACTTCGACGAGGACACCAAAGAGACCAGTATCAGCGTATGATAAATTGAAAGCTTCTGATCTAACAATACCAGTATTGTTTTGGGTTAATGAGAATAATCTTGAGGCTCTACCATTACCTGGGGCAACTTTTGGTGAACCATTACCTAAGATGGTTTGTAAGACAGTAAGAGCAGCAACGTTTTTAATGTTGGTTTGGGCGGAACCTTCAAAAGCTAAAACAACTTTGGTGTTACCGGTGGCATAGGTGAGTGATTCACCACCAATGTATTTGGCAGCTTCTCTTGGGACGGTGGTGGTTGAGTTAACAGTGGTACCAAAAGTAACTTTTTCAGCTTCTTCAACTAATTCACCGTGTGAAAGACCAACACCAACTAAAACCATATTGTTTGGTTTGTAGGTGGCATTGACGTAATCACTAACAACTTCTTGTGAGATGTTTGAAAGATTGCATAATGGTGCAACTAATGGACGACCAAGAGTTTTACCACGGAAAGCAGTTTGATGGGCTGATTCAAGGATTGAGGTGGTTGGGCAGTGGTTGTAAGCTTCAGATTCTTCAGCAATGACTTCAGCGACATCACGAACTTCGTGGTATGGAAGAGTTGGTTGGGTGATGTTGGCGAGGTTCTTTAACATTTGGAGTGATTGATTTGGAAGAGTTTGGGTTGAAATTAATAAATTATCACGACCAGCTTGAACGAAAGCAGTGCTACCACTGGTTTCAATTTCTCTTTGAACTTCAATACCTAATTTGTTGGTGTTTGATTCGAAAGCTAAACCTTTAAGAACTTGATTTAAACCTGCAGTTGCTTGAGTTTCATTTCTTGAACCACTTTTAATGTAAAGACCTAATGAAACAGCTGGACCAGTATATCCACCTACTAATGAAACAACTTTTAAACCATTTGAAAGAGTTGATGATTCAACGATTCTTTTAGTTTCTTGAAAAGTTGAACTTGAATACTGTTATAAAAATAAAAATAAAAAAAAAAAAATTTTAATTAGAAAATTTATTATTAATATTCATATGATTGTTGTTGATATTATAATTATATTTATAATATATTTATTAAATAATAAAATTATTCATATTAAATATTTAAATATATGTTGTTGTTTATTATTTAATAGTTATTATTGTTATTATTGTTATTATTGTTATTATTGTTATTATTATTATTATTATTGTTGTTGATATTATTTAACTGTTTTCACTACTTTATATTATTATTATTAAGTATAAAAAAAAAAGTTATTGGTATCCAAATTAATTGTTTATTCTATCCAACTGTTTTAATTTTTTCATTTTTATTAAATTCTTTTTTTTCATATTATTGAATGTGTCCCTTGGAATTAATGTGTAATTTCTTTTTTTTTTGTTGCAGCTTTTCTTTAACCTTAAATTATTTCTATTTCCTATTATTTTAAAACCATCTCCTTTAATGATAACTTTTTTTTTTCTTTAATCTAAAACTTTATTTTTTTTTTTTTTTCGTTGATAAACTTTTTTTTTTTTATCATAATAATATAAAGTAGTGTGCTAAATAATTCTGTCTATAGTTATTTTTATTTTTAATATTTAACATTTAATTAAATATGCACCACCTACATTTCTAACTAATAATCTAGAGAGCATGTTGGTGTTATTATATTGTTTTATATAAAGTGGAATAAAAACAATCTAAAGTGAAAATGAAAAAAATAGAAAAAAAAAATTAAAAAAAAAAAATAAAAAAAAAATAAAAAAAAAAATAAAAAATTTTATTTTTTTATTTTTTTTTTCATTTTGATATGCCGTGTGAATGATGATTATGTGCGAACTTCTGATTCATATAAAATATGACATTTCATTGGTAATATCAAAAAAATAAACATATTTTTTTTTATAATCAAAAATGAAAATAAAAAATATAAAATTAAAACATATAAAAATAAAATAGTTATTAGAGTTTTATAATTCAAATAAAAAAAAAAAAAAAAAAAAAAAAAGTTAAATAATTTTCTATTTACAATTTGTAATAAATAATGAATGAAATAAACATTATTTATATTATTTTATTTTGTAATATTATATATTCAAGTTATTTTTTTTACTATTTTCGATTGTGATTCTTAAATCGTTTGGACCAAGGTGCGATGGTTGAACATATGGAGTTGAGGGTTTGGGAGTTAGGCGTGATTTTAATTCGCGAGCATCAATTTCTAAATCTCTATTATACATTTTATCTTTATCTCTATTTCTTTCTAATCTTTCTGGTTTTTCCAATTTATCAAATTCTCGATTGTCCTTGTCTCTTTCCCTATATTCTTTATCTCTCTCTCTCTCTCTATCTCTATCCCTGTCTCTATCTCTATCTCTATCTCTATCCCTTTCCCTATCTCTATAATCTCTATAATCTCTATGGTCCCTATGGTCTCTATAGTCTCTATAGTCTCTATAGTCTTTATGGTCTCTGTCTCTGTCTCTATCTCTATTTATATAGTCTTTATCTCTGCTAGTTCTATTTTCTTTATCATTGCTATCTCTATTGCTTTTGGTATCTCTATCATTGTTTTCTTTATTGTCTTTAACTTCACTTTTTGGTTTACTATCTTTGGAGGTGTTTAAATTGTTTACAGGAGCTGTTGTTTCAGAGCTTGATTTTAAATTTTCATTTTGTAAAAGAGAGCCTTTTTCGATTGATTTTGAACTAATTTTGAAATATGATTTTATAGTGGTTGATTTAATAAATTTTTGAACATGTCTCCAAATTGGTAACACAACTAAAGAGGGGTAATGGCCAACAATTATAGTTGAGATTTTACTTGAAAGAAAAGGTGTTATCATATCACTGCCCCATGGAAAGTAGGAGTAGTCGATTTGTGGATTTTTGCAACATGAAAAAATTATTATATCCTTTTCTTTACCAGAGAAATCGTCAATTGTACCAATTTCAATGTTGTTTTTCTTTAAAATATCTTCACTTGGAAGGTTCTCTCTTATTGATTTTACTTGTTTTCTAAAAGGGGTAATGATACCGATTGTTAAATTGAGCGATTTGATTTGATCGGCCAACAAAAGTTCTATAATACAACCAATGGTTTTGCTTTCGTGGAATGATTTAAATGGGCTGTGAATTACACTATCTGAATAGATTATATCATAAAATACAAATGGGCCAAGTTTTGGGTCTTTTAATAGCTCTGTGGCTTTTGGATTGGTTAAAACTTTTGATTCTTTTTTGTTTCCATAAAATTCGACCTCAAAAAAGGGGGATATGACAGGATTTATACGATGTTGGTAGTTGAGATAGGCGCATGGATAACCTAATTTTTTTAAACGATGGAATAGTGTTTGATTTAAATAGTTTTGTCTATCAGTATATGGCATTGATGCCGAAACGAATCCACTTCCATTACTGTCTATTGAGTCAGAGCTAATATTTAGTAATGATGTTGGTGATAGAGAAGAGTTGTTTGTAATTGAACCTGGTACACCATCTTTGATTGGTGATAAATTTAAATCATTTGGATATACATCTCTATCACCTATTAGAATAACTTTATTTACATTGGCAATGAGGAGTGGGCAAATACTAGTGAGTTCAAAGTGTTTGGTTGCATCATCGATAATTAAAATTGAATTACCATCATTTGGAATGGATATGTCTTGAGTTACATTTACGGTGCTAATCAAAATTTCAGCTTTGCCGCAACTAAAAAGGTCATATTCACTATTGAAGCCTCTTTTTTTAATAACTGATACCTTTGTTTTTTTATATTCTTTATCGAAAAGGTTATCTCTGAGTAGTGTTTCAGTAAGTTCTTCAACTGTACTCATTGAATAGAGACATACTACAATTCTAGTTTTATTTTGACAGTTGGCAGAAAAAATTGATAGTAAAGGAATAAGTAATGTTGATTTGCCACTTCCACCAAATCCACTGATTAGATTTATACCATCGTTTTGTAATGATGCAGATATTGCACTAACTTGATAAAAATCAAAATATTTTCCAAGAGAGCTGTTAAAATTTTTCTTTAGAGTTATTTTTTGTTTTGGATCGGTTCTATTGTTATTGAATGGTGATATGATGCTCTTGAATATTTTTGAATTATTTATTGTGAAAAGGGCGTTGAAGCTTTTGTAATATTCGTTTAATGGCGCAACTGCTTGAATAGTAAATAAGTCACCATTCATTGAGTTCTTTTCGATTTCTGCAATATCGAAAAATGGTTCAATCTTGATAAATTTGTTTTGTTTGTTGATGTCATTGACAACACCAAAGCATTGAATCATTGAGGAGAACTTGGTGTTAAAACGGATTAAAACAAGACTTCTATTTTCAAAATCGTCAAGACACTTTGTATCACCGGTTTGAAAAAGTAAAAACTGTGGTTCACATCCTAGTAATGTTGTAAATATTTCGACAGAGTCTTCTGTTCCTTTAATAATTCTTTCTTTTAATCTTTCCCATAAAATTGGTTCATAGTAGTTGGTATATTCATCATGGCTTGAGAAGGAGTCTCTAATTGAATAGTCTTCATTGGTTTGATCTTTTATTTTTGATACATTTTGAGCCCATGGTTTTTTCGTTTTAAATAATTTTACAAATCCTTCAAATGAAATATGTGTATAGTCCTTCATAGTATTCACACTTTCTCCTGTTCCTCTTGACTTTAAAAATTCAAATAAATTGCCTTCACCACTACTAGTTTTAATATTAATGCTACCCATATCAATACTATGTGATGCTTCTGATGTTTCTGAACCAATATCTGATATTGATGAAAGATCTGATTTAATTGGTTCACTTATCATAATATCGTTAGCATTTGCTATTGCTGGTGTTAGTATATGGTTGTCACTATCATTCAGCTGAGAGGGTTGAATTGGACTCGTCATTGGGGTAATGTTTGTTGGAGTAGTAATTATGGCTGCTGGGTAGTTTATTGTAGTGGTTGTAGTTATTGGTGTAGTATTGGTACTTGGTGGAGATAGGGTTGTTGCTGTTGTGGTTGGAGTTGTGTCCGGAGAAAGATTGTATGTGTTGGGTATTGGATTTGACATTGGGTTTGGTGTGGGGTTTGGTATTTCTATGTTTAAACTTTCAGTATTTTCATTTTTGTTTAAATTGTCTTCATTGTTGTCAAGTTTATTTTTTTTTATATTATTACTGTTATCTTGATCTGTATCAAAGGATTTTCTTTTATTGTTTTGTCTTTCTTCACCTTCAATGTTGGTACTTGTATTACTTGCTTTGCTACTATTGCTAATCGAGTCATCTGTGTCTAAGTTATTAATTGCATGATTTTCATCAATATCATCTTCATAATCAAGATTCTTTTTGGTATTAAAGGTATTTAAAAGTTGTGGATTGATAGTAAGTATTTTCTTTGCTGTTATAGCCTCTTGAACTAAATTAATAATTGTAGTAAATTGACCCATACTATAGTTGTTATCACTTTTACTAATTCTTTTAATTAAATATAAAATTGAACTATCTATGAGTTTTTTATTGACCAAAACTTTTTTAATATTTATAAATAAAATAAAAATTAATATTTATATTTTTTTTTTTTTTTTTTTTTTTTTAATTTAAATTTTTGTGACTTACCATTTAATATCGAAATAAGAGAAATAAACCATTGTGAATCAATACCTAAAGATTTCCACTGAAGTAAATTTTCAATCCAAGAGTTGTATTTTGAAATAATTGAAAATGAGGGATCATTAAGCTTTAGGGTTGTACCATTGTTTCCTTCAATGTTTTCTTCAAAATAATAAGAGGTTGAGTTTTCGAAACAAAAAAAGTCAAAGCTTTGTAGGAATTGTATTATATTGATTGGCATTGATAACGATAGATTCTGATTCATCTTTAAGCTTTCTCTGATGTAATTTGGATACTGTTGAATTGAGTTAAACATATAGCTATCGTTATTAGTTAATGAAAGAAAGAATGATGGAAGAGATTCTTTACAGGAGCAGTACATTGAATTTTCGGAGAAAAATGAAAACGAGTCATTTAAAAGTGTAAACATTGTTTTAACTCTTTCGCCTTGTATAACATTGTTGAATTCATTGACACCATTTTCATTTTTTATTTCCATCTCCATTTCAATATTGTTTGATAGTATTTTTTTATATTTTGAAAGTAAAAAATCAATTAGTGGCCAGATTATATCAATTAAAAGTGGTCTAAAGTGATTTTCTATTGTTCCATTTCTAAATAAAAACAACAGATGATTGCTGAAATAGAAAACCAAATTGATAGAATCTAAACAATTTAATATACCATAATTTACAACCAAATCTCTAATAACACCTACTGCACCGCTTAGGGTAAGTGTTGGGTCCTTTAAAATTGCTTCGGTAAAACTTGAAATTAAAAAATCGATTGGGTATTTTCTATTTAAATAAAATAAATAAAATTAATATATATTTTTTTTTTAAAGATATAATTTTAAAATTAAAGATTACTTACTTTAATAATAATTTTTTAAAAGCTTCATTGATTTTTGTTGATGGTGAAATTAAGAATGAAAAAATACTGAGTTGGAATTGTTGCGAGTCTAATACATTAAGTCCTTCTTTTGAGACGATGTTATTGACAGATGAATAGTGCGTGATCATCATTGTCAAGTATTGTTGAATTAAATCTTGATATTCTGTTAATGATTTGTAAAGATTTGAATTTAAATATTCATTCTTTGCTTTTCTTGGTAAAAAATTTACATTGGCTAACCCGAGTATATGATGAGACTTTAAAATAGTTTCGTGGATCCCAAGGGGGATGTTTGCTGGGTTCAAAAGTAATAGTGTACACCATATTGAACTTGGCCAGAATTCATAGTTGTTTTGTGATGCTTGAATAATATCTTTTTCATCATTTGAGTTTAAAATAAACTGATAACGATTTCTTAGTTCTATACAGCTTTTAAATAATTCTCTTTTTAAGAATGGTATATATATGTCCTTTTCATAAAACATATTCTGATATTTTTTTGATATATATAAGATCAGTTTTTTACCAATTAATTCTAGATAATTAAATGAGGGGCTATTGAAAAAAAATTAGTATAAATAAAAATAATGAGCACAGAATTTTTAAAAACTTACAATGAATTTAAGAATGTTACAGAATCACTCATAAAAAAATCTTGGATGTCTGGTTGAAATGATTTAAAATTTTCAATAAATAATTTGCTGAGGAAATCTAAAACCATATTGTTTAAAGTTTTTTGATTTTCTTCGTCGCCATAATTTAATATTGAATCTTTTAATTTGTTGAGGCTATAAAAAAATAAAGGTATAAGTAAACAAATATTTTTATCAAGTGAAACTATAGTTCTTATACATACAATAAAAAATACTCATCATAATTGTAGTTTTTAGATAAAATATCCAAAATAATTTGTAAATAATATATTGTATTAAAATCTTGGGTATATTTCCAAATATTCTTTCCTAATGAGAGAAATATAATATCTAATGTCCTTAAAATTGGTTTTAATAATTTTGGCCTTTTTTGGAATTCTTTTAAATCATTGAAAAGTAATTTTAAAAAACTTGGATAATTTACTAAAAAAACCTAAATTAATAAAATTAATATTAATAATTATAAATTAATAAAATTTTTATATTAGAAGAATGGGTTATACATACTGATAAACTGTTATAACTAAACTTTTCAATAAAAAATGGTAAGGCATTGTAAATATCTTCAATACAATCAGAGAATATTGAGTTTGAAATTGGTTGATTGTTTTGATGTTTTTGTATTGTATCGATTAAGTTTTCTAAAACTGGTTCGAGTGATGGAAAGGATTCTGTTTCAATCTTTTGATGATAATTATAAACTTTGACATAATTGTATACCAATTGTTTTAATGAATCTAATTTTCCCATTAGTATTGGATAAATACCTGGAGTCCTGCAATTCCCAAGAATATACTTTATCGATTCGTCTATATCAGGGTTTTGTAATGCCTATAGTAAATACAAGAATATGTTAAAATATGTGTTTTGTGATGATTTATAACTAAATAAACCTTACCAAAAATACTTTATTCTTTAATGTTTGATTTGAAAGTAAACTTGGGGAAAGTAATACTTCAATTAAAGAGAGCCTCATTGAGGCTGGATTATTTTCATAAAGACTTAAATTATCCAAAATTCTCCTTGAGTCATAATCATTCAACATATTTATAATTGATTGAACGTCATAATCGAATGATAGCACTTTAAGTTGCTTTTTTTTACTGAGAATATATTGTAAAAAGCTACAGTTATATTGATAATATAAATTTAAAAAGTTAGTATTATTATTTATTGGTAGTTTTTTGTTAAAAATTAAAAAGTTATCCTACCAATCTCCACACCCTGATAGCTGCGATCTAATCCTAGCCTTATATTCCTTTAATGACGCATCATAAAGAAAATATTCAAAAATTAATTCTGCAATTGTAAAATGTTTACACCATATACTAAAAATAAAAATAGTTAATACATAGTTTATATAAGTTGAATTGATGTATAGTGAAATTCTAATATTTACTGGTCTTTATCTTTTAAATACAATAGAGAGTTTGTAAGCATTAGTGGTTCTCCATTAAGTTCAGACTCTGGTAAATTGTATGCAACTTCTTTCCATTGCGAAATTAAAGTCTTTTCTGCCGTTATAAACAATATTTTTTCAGTATAAACATGAAAATTAGAAATATTTATTTTTGTTGAATCTGTATCATTATTTGAATCATTTGGAATATTAGGGTCAGTATTATTATTATTATTTGAATCCATAATTTGTTGTAATTGCTGTTGTGTTTGTGGTTGCTGTAATTGTTGGGTTTGTTGTTGTTGTTGTTGTTGTGGATTATATTGACTTATGCGTAAGTCATCATTAATTATAGGTTCTTTATTATTTGAATTATTATTTAAATTAATTGAATTATTATTATAGTTCATTTTAGATATAGTAGTAATCTAAATGGTATTGGGTTCAACAGGAAATAGTAAATATTATTAATAAAAAAAAAAAAATGAAAATTAAAAAAATAAAAAATAAAAAATTTTTTTAATTTTATTTTTTTTAATTTTTATTTTTTTAATTTTTATTTTATAAAAATAATTATTCAATTTAATTGTTTAATAAATTATAATTTTTTAATTTTTTTTAACTTTTTTTTTTTAAAAATAATTTAATCCAAAAAAAATTAATTTTTAAAAATTAATATAAGTATTTATTTTAATAATTAAGGAGTGAATTATGATAGAAGTAACAAAAAAACTTATTAGTGGCGGAGCTATTAGCAAAGAATTATTTGAGAAACTCATACAAATTCCTAGAGTGCAAAAAGCAAGAAATAGTTTAAAAGAGTTTAAAATGAATGCTTTAGATCCAGATAAAGATGTTAAATTGCGCCATTATAGCCCTCATACATTTGCTATGAACCGCTACGATAGAGAAATGCAACAAGTGTCCAAAGAAAAAGGCAACTTTAAAAAATAAATTATCATCCTGATAACATAAGCTTATTTTAAATAGTTATTATAATAAACGTTATTAATAAACCTGCTTGAATTAAAGCAAAACCTTTTTTATTGCTTTAGTTTTGTAAAAAAACTTTTTTAAGTTATGATAATTCATTTTCATTATCACTTTCTCCGCTTAATCCAACACCCTCATTGTCGTTAAATAACATAAAATTACTGATATCATCATTATATTTTTTAGGTAAAGTATAGATATTTTTCAGATAATGTCCTATTGAGCTACTTGCAAAATTGTCCATACTAAAAAATTCATTCATACTAAAAAATTCATTCATACTAAAAAGTTCATTCATGTATGCTTTATTGAGCTACTTTCAAAATTGTCCATATAAAAATATAACGTCAGCTGCAGCAGAAGATAAACAAGCAGAGGAAGAAATAGAATCAGTCTGGAATTTTATTAGCCCAAAGTTATTTAACAAAGAGGAAGGAAATGCAAAAGAAAAAGTTCGATTTGACTCCTGACATAGTAGAAGTCAATATAGGGGGAGTCAAATGTTGTGCAAGATACAAAAAAAGAAAAAATTATTGATAATAAAAAAAAGAACGTATTGATTACAATGGCGATAGAAGAAGAACAGCGTAGGGAATTCAAGACATGGTGCGGGCGCAAGGGGTTAAAGATGAACAAAGCCTTAATACAAGGATTTAGCTTATTGAAAAAACAAGATTATACATAAATACATATTAATGTATCTATGTATAATCATAAATATGTATGCACAGATTTGATAATAAAGAAATAAAATTTAGAACTTACAACTAAACTTTAGAGTGCTAATTCCAAGTTTTTAATTAATACTCAACGTATATATAATTAAAATAAGATGCAATATCAAGCATCGGTAGTATACATAAATACAGATTAATGTAATTATGTATTAGCATTAATCTGTTTTAATAAGAACAAACAAAATTTGTTATACTACATTTATTTTAATATAGCTAAAGTAGCTGGCTTATTGCCAGTTGTCTCAAAGAACATAACAATAATTGTATATACGATATTTTAGCTTTGCCACTTTCTGTTAGTCCTTTCTTAAATCTACATTATGGAATACAAATTATGGCTCATAATTATACATTAATTTTTTGTATTTTGTCATTCACAATGCACCACATCTTAGTTTAATTATAATAAAGCGCTTAGTATTGGGTGATAAAGCTTACTGGAGTGCATTACATGATTCTTTACACCCATTAGGAATTTAAATAATAACGTTAATAGTTTATATCACCTAATATTACGTGTCCTACTATGGTATTACCAACAACAACACTTGAGAAATATACGGACACAAATAGATTGTCCGTGTAAGTACGTCTTTTATTAGAATATGTTACAATTCTTGTTATACACTACAGTTAAGGATGCCCCACAATCACCTGATAGCTCTAAAGCATGATTATTTAGATCTGGACTATGTTCCACAGTGTAAATTAAATTCCATAACAGAGCGCACAACTTTTAGTTGATAAATTAAAAAATTTTTAGTACTTTAGTTAAAAGATAAAAAGACTTCTTTATGATAGAAAAGAAATTAAGCTAGCTTCTTTGTAAAGCACTTCTTCACTCAAGCACGCGATAAATATGCTAATTCAGGAAGCATCAGGAATAACAATAAATTAACAGGAATTAGAAGCGGAATTATCTAAAGCATTAGAAACCACTATAACTGCATTAAAGGTGCACCAAGCAAATTTTAATTTAAGTGCAGAAGATGGTCAAAAAATTAAACAATTAGAAAACAAAAGTAATTCCTTTTTAGAAGAACATTCTATAAATAAAAAAGAAATAGAAGGGTATATAAAAAAGGGGGAGCAAGAAACAAAAGAATTAAATACATTATTTAAAGAATTAAAAAGTGGGAATCAGATAGAAGAAAAAAGCATTGACAATTTACTTAAAAACCCTGAAGAGCTTAAAGCAGAAAAGCAAAAAAGAACTCTTTTTTAATCACAAAGCAAAATTTGACCATTATCATGAAGAATTAAATAGCAAAATAGGTTCGTTAGATAAAGAAGTCAGCTCTTTAAGAAAGAAGGATCCCACAGGCCAAAGCTCTGAACTAAAGACAAATTAAAAGAGTATAAAAAAGCTCAAGAAGTACATAGCAAGATTAAGCTAGAGGTAGATAAGACACATGATAAAGTATGTTCTAATGACAAAACGCATGCGGAAATTATAGCAAAAATTCATGAAGAAGTTACGAAAAGTAACTTTAAACAAAAGGAGTTGCATCCGAAATTTGAAAAGTTAGTCGCTCAACATGAAGAGATAACAGAAGAATCATTTTTTATTATTAATAAATATTTATTTACTATTAGTGTTATATTTATTCACTCTTTTTTTAAACAATGATGAAATAAAATAATTATATTATATAGATCCAATTTCAGAAATTAAAAAAAATAAAAAAATTATTTTAAAGATTTTTTTTAATTTATTTTAATTTATTTTATTTTTTTTTTTTTTTTTTTTTTTTTGAAAATTTAAAAAAAAAAAATATATAAACAATAGTTTCAATTTTATAACCTCATACAACCCAAATATACAAATTATAATAAATAATAAATATTTATTTATTTTTGTTGATATAGTAATATAGAAATATATATGGATTATATTTGTATTGTAAATTTTAAAAAAATAATTTGATGTTTAAAATAAATTAAAGAAATATATTAATTTTTTTTTTTAATAGATTACTCTTCCCAATGGAAGAACTATAAATATAAATATAACCAATGAAACATCAGTTCAGCAACTAAAGAATCAAATATTAGCAGTAGATAGCAGTTTAGGGTCAAATTTTTTGTTAAGTTTATCATCGGACTTTAACGATACCTCGCAAATAATTAAAGCAGTTGGATGGACCAAACTATTATCAATAGAGCAAATATTAAAACAAACATTACAAAATAAACCAAAAGAAAGGAAAAAAATAATTTTATATATTGTACCATCATCTTCTTCACCTCTGAAATCACCCTCCCCTTTATCATCCTCACCTTTAAAACAAAGTACTGGAGGTTTTTTAAATAATAATAGTTTTAATAATAACAATAGTGGTAGTAATAGCAGTATTAAAAATAGTACAGATAGTTTTAAAAATGAAAATATAGAGTTTAAATCTACAAAGGAGATTATTGAAAGTTTACATAATAACATAGCAAATAACAATAATAATAATGTAAAAAATAAAACAAATATAAAAAACCCAGCAACTTCAAATTTAAGAAAATCAAAATCAGATATTAGATTTGAAGAGTATTGGAAAGCACAAAATATCGATGCCAATACTAGTAATAGTAACAATAATCGTATGAATAACAATAATAATAATAATAGTAATGATAATAGTGTTTCAGTTTATAGCGGGGGTTATAATGAATTTGTATCACCACAACAAACAATTTCTTCGCCATCGACTAATGTTAAACCTCAGCCACAACAATATAGTTATAAAAATAATAACCCATATCAAATAGAGCCAAATGTACCTGGCCAAATTATTTATCAGCCTTCAACATTTGGCGGTGGTAGTAATAAAGCAACATTAACATATAAACCAAAATCATCGTCCACATATGATAATAAACCATCAGCCTCCACAGTAAATGCAAATCCAAGTATTTCAATTTCACCACCAACTAATTCAACAAAAGCTACTTCTAATAAGTTGGAAAATTTGGATTTAAATTTATTAGATGAAATGGTTGGTCAAATTTCAATAAATAACCAAAATCAAACTAAATCTCAAAAAAAGAGATCATCAAGTTTTTCATCTCACTTTTCAACATTTATCGGCAATACAGTATCATCGAAAAATTCATCGACAATTATATCACCACCAATTAATAACAATGAAAATTATTACCAACCATCACAACAATACCTATCAACAGCATCTTCTTTATATAGCAATGATAGTAATAGCAGTAGTAATAGCAGTGGTTACCTTGAACCAATTGGACAAAGACAAAGAGGTAGTTCAGTCTCATCTGTAAGTTCAAATACTGGAGGAAATGGTCCATGTTTTACTCAATACTATTCAACATCTTTAAGAGAATCTCCAATTATATATTCTGGTGAACTCTATAAAAAAAATAGAAACCTGGTGGGTTGGAAAAAAAGATATTTTATTTTGACCTCCACCAAACTACTTTATGCAAACTCTTCCAATGAAACGCCCAAAAGTGAGTTATTGTTATCAGACTATGTATTAAATATTATATCGGATAGTAGTTCAAAATATTTCTGTTTCCAGTTAACTCCAAATACCTCGGGCGGCTTATTATATTTATTTGGTATCGAAGATTTAGATCAACACAGAGAATGGATCAACGCCATTACTAATAGTTTTAAATGTTTGGACTATAATATCCCAATTGATGCATCATCTCTACCAAATGTAACATTATCCCAAAAGAAACATCAAACTCTAGAAATTGATTACTACAAAAAACTACCATCAGAAATTAAAGTTGCCCATCAAAATGACGAGATCAACTATTTTAGATTCAAAATGTCACGTCTATTAAAATTAATCCAGCAATACACTTTCAAATCAAATAATTTAATTTTAATTAATTTAAATAGTAATAATTCATATTCACCATATAATCAAAATGTTGGCAAACAACAATCTTCACAAGCCACCTCAACAATGAACAATACCAATTTCATAACAACTGTATCATCAACACTATCAATAAGAAATGCATCAAATAGCGTAAAGCTTGAGAATGTTAAAGTTGAAAATCAAATTACACCATCCCCAACTGCTTTGGCAGTAACAGCAACTAACACCAGCAATTCTATCAATTCCAACAGATTCATTAAAGTTATGATTTATCACAATGGTTTGGTCATAAAATATTCTGTTAATATAAACTCAACATTTGAAATGATATTAAATGAAAGAGTAGATTTATTTGGGGAAAATGCATCAAATAAATATGGTTTTAGAATTGTTGGTTCATTAGAGCATATTTTTAATTTAAAAATTCAATTAAAGGATTCAATCTACGTCGAGAAGGCATTAAGATTTAGAAAAAAGTTTAGATTGCAAACCATTGATGTTTCATTACAATCAAGATTATTTATACCAAATGTAATGACCTCTTTAGAATGGAAACAACTGGAAGAGAACATCAATCTCAATGACAACTCACCATCATCAACAAAACAATCGAACAATACCTTATCATCATCCTCTGCTTTATTGGTCGACTTGACCAATAGTAAAAAGCAATTACCAAAATCTCTTTTAGATTCTAAATTGGTCATCTCAATAGTATCACTAGAAAATATACTACCAATTTTAAAAAGATACTATCCAAATAGTTATAATAAAATTTCAATTTACATTGAAATTCAAATGTATGTATTATTTTATAAAATATAATTAAAAACTATAAAATTAAATCTAACAATTCTTTTTATTATAGTTTATACGGTGATGTATTATTGTGTAAAAATAAAACATCTTGTAAATCAAATATTCTAGAATGGAACGAACAATTATATTTCGATATAAATATGCTTGATTTCCCAAAAGAATGTACATTTTTAACCAGTGTTTATTCAAATGATTTAGTAAATTCAAGTAATTTATTATTAGCACAATTCCCATATTTGTTCCAATCAGTTGACAATAAGAAAATAATTAAAGAATGTTTTGAAATTGACCTACTTCCAATCTACCAGCAATCACAGTCAAGCAATGGACCCGTTTCATCACCTTCTTTACTTCAACAACAACGTCAATCATCACAGTCGCTATCTGTACTATTAAATTCATCTCAAAATCCAATTTTAAAATGTAAAATACCAAATATCTTACAATCGCTATACTTTCAAGAGATATCATCAAATATCATCAATGGTAATAATAGTAACAACAGCAATAGCTCATTTAGAAAGCAGACTATTACTTCATCATTAACAAATGAAAATGTAAATAGAATTATAGAGAGTCTAATGAGATTCGATAGATCATTGGTAAAGGAGTCCCATAGATTGGTTCTTTGGGAAAATAGACACTATTGCAAACTTAACTTTCCAAATATTTTACCAACTCTTTTATACAACTTTTCATTTTTAAACTATAGCTCACGTGTAGACTTGTACGATCTTTTGAAAGACTGGCCAATATTATCACCCGAGTATGGTATCGAATTGCTTTCAAGTGACTTCATCGACGACAGAATTAGAGAAAAAGGAGTTGTATCAATTAATCAATGGGATGATAACCAACTATCGCTATACTTACCACAGATTGTATCAATGATAAAGTACGAATCGAATAACTTTTCTTCTTTGGCATGCTTTATAGTGAAAAGAGCAATTTGTAATCCATTAAAAATCGGTGAGCCTGTATTCTGGCTATGCTCAAATGAAATTAATTTATCAGAGAACAAGATTCATATTGTCATCAGATATAGATTGATCATGGAAATAATATTAGAGGGCCTGGGTATAGGTGTAGTAGGAAATAACAGTAGTAACAATACCATCAACAATAACCAAGGTAGATTCGGCCAATCACTACTATACCAATATCTTTTAATCCAACTGTTAAAACAAATCAATTTAGATATTATCAAAGAACCTGAAAAACAAAAACAAATTTTCGAAACTAGGTTAGCATCAATTCCTAAAGTATTCTCATTACCAACCCATCCTTTCCAAGAGTTTAATGGTTTCATATTGGAGGAGTTAAAAGTTAAAGATAGTAATGCTGCCCCACTATGGTTAGTTTTTTCATCTGTAGATCCACATGCCGACGACACCAAAATTATTTTCAAAAAAGATGATGTTCGTCCTGATGAACTTTGCCTACAACTGTTCTCGGTTATGGATAGTATATTAAAATCAAATGGTTTGGACTGTGAATTTACCATATTCAAGTGTATGTCTGTTGGTAGCGGATTAGGCCTAATTGAAGTAGTTCCAAACTCTGTAACATTAGCTGACTTTATGAGAGATACAACAAAGTATCCTTCAATCGAACAATGGCTACGTCAAAAAAACCCTCACGATTCCTCATATAAAGATATATTTTTAAAGTCTCTCTCTGCATATTGTGTTGCTACATATTTATTAGGTATTTACGATAGACACAACGATAATTTAATGGTATCCGAAACTGGTAATTTCTTTCATATCGACTTTGGGTAAGTAATCATCACCATACGCATCAATCATTCCATTCACACTTTATTAACCCACTTTTTTTTAAAAAAAAAAATTATAGTTACTTTTTAGGTAAAGTTACAAAATTCTTTATGTTTGAAAGAGAAACAGCTCCATTTGTATTAACAAAAGATTTAGTTCAAATGATTGGCTCAAAAGAAAATGAATTCAAACAATTATGTTGTAAAATTTATAACATTCTTAGAGAGAACTCTAGACAACTGTTGAACCTAATTACAAGCAACAATGGTAAACAATTGGTTCAAGAAAGATTAAAATTAGATTTAACAAATGAACAAGCCGAAAAATACTTTTTATATTTAATCAAAGAAAGCAAAGGAAACACTCGTGCAGAAATTAATAATATTGTCCATGTCCTTGTCCATCCCAATTGACCTTTTTTTTTTTACCTCATAAATCATTTTTTTTTTTATTTCTTTTTTTTGTTTTTATCAAATAATTAAAATAAAAGTAAAATAATTTATTAAAAAACCCACTATAATCTTATCTTTTAAACAAAACACATTCCCCAAAAAATATACTTAAACCACACCCCCACAAAAAATGAAATTTATAAATTATTTCCTTAATTAATTAAAAAAAAATAGTAGTATTCAAATATAAATAAAAATATATTAAAATATAATATTTAAAGTAAGAAAATTATTTTTAAATTTGGTGTAATTAAATATATATCTTTATGTATAAATAATTTATAGTTTTGTTGTAAACAAATAAAAAAAATTAAATTAAATTAAATAAAATAAAATAAATAAAATAAAATAAAAGGAAATTGTATATATAATTATATACAAATAAAAATATATAGTTATAATAATTAATTAGGTCTTTTCTGGTTAGAATAGAAATACCGCTCTAAGTATAAAATAAATATTTTTTTTAAAAATAATTTATTTTTTTATTTTTTTAAATTATTTTTTTAATTATTTTTTTTAAATTATTTTTTTTTTTTAATTTTTTGAAAAAATCTTTTTTTTTTTTTTTTTCATTTATACACAGAGTAATTATTATAAAACTTGATTGAAAAAAAATAGTTTTTATTTTATTTTATAAATTTTTTTATTTTTTTTTTATTTTTAATTTTAATCTTTTTATTTTTATTCTATACCAAATAAATATATTTATTTTTATATACATTTAGATAGATTTAAATATAATAATATATCTCATACATATAAATCTATAAAGATAAATAAATAAATAATAAACAATTTAAAAATCGATAATATACACTTTTATAAAAGTAGTATACATAAATTAATAGTAATAATAGTTAACTACAAAAAAGATATATAAAGAGTATATTAATTTATACTTTAAAACAAAATACCATACCATACACATAATATATTATAAATAAATAAATGTCGTCTGTAAAGGTAGCCGTTAGAGTTCGTCCATTCAACGAAAGGTAAATATAATTTATTATGATTTATTAAAAAAGATAGATAAAGGATCATTTATTTACATGTTAAAAAAAAAAAATTAATATATTTAGAGAAAAAGAAAGAAATGCAGAATTAATTGTTGATATGAATGGTAATTCAACAGTTTTAACCAGACCATCAGCATTAAGAGTTAACCCAACAGCACCACCAACAGCAGAAGATGAAAAATCATTTACATTTGATCACAGTTATTGGTCTTTTAATCAAAGTGATCCACATTTTGCATCACAAGCTACAGTATATAACGATTTAGGTAAAGAGGTTTTAAAGAATGCATGGGAAGGCTTTAATTGTTCAATTTTTGCATACGGTCAAACTGGTTCAGGCAAAAGTTACAGTATGCTTGGTTATAATGAAGATAAAGGTATTATTCCATTGGTTTGCGAGGAAATGTTTGAACGTATTAATGCGACACCTGCAAGTTCAACTGAACAAACTGTTTTTAAAGTAGAGGTATCCTTTATGGAGGTATGTTAATTTTTATTTTTTATTTTTTATATTTTTATAAATATTTACTAATTATATTTCTTAGATTTATAATGAAAAAGTTAAAGATTTATTAAACCCAAAAAATAATAAACCAGGTGGTCTCAAAGTTAGAAATAATCCATCAACCGGTCCATATGTTGAAGATCTATCAAAGTAATTACATTTTTATAAAAAAATTATTTTTATCATTATATTAATGTTTTTTTTAAAATTTTTTTAGATTGGCAGTTAAAAGTTTTGCAGAAATTGATATGTTAATGGATGAGGGTACAAAGGCAAGAACTGTTGCATCAACCAATATGAATGCAACATCAAGTCGTAGTCATGCAGTTTTTACAATTGTATTTACCCAAAGTAAAATTGATAGATCAAGAGGTACAGCAATTGATAGAGTTAGTAAAATTAGTTTAGTAGATTTAGCTGGTAGTGAAAGAGCAAATAGTACAGGTGCAACTGGTGTACGTTTAAAGGAAGGTGCCAACATCAATAAATCATTATCGACTTTAGGTAAAGTTATTTCTGCATTAGCAGAAAATTCAACAGGAAAAAAAGCAGTATTTGTACCATATCGTGATTCAGTTCTTACTTATTTATTAAAGGAAAGTTTGGGTGGTAATTCTAAAACCATTATGATTGCTGCTATTAGTCCAGCTGATATTAATTTCGAAGAAACTTTATCAACTCTTCGTTATGCTGATAGTGCCAAAAAGATTAAAACTGTTGCTGTTGTTAATGAAGATCCACAATCAAAATTAATTAGAGAATTACAAAACGAAGTTGAAAGATTAAAACAATTAATGTTAAATGGTGGTACTGCTATTTCACACGATTCGAAATTAATAAACTCAGAATATGGTAAATATCAAAATATGGTATTATTATTTATATATTATATATTTTAGAGATACTAATATTATAATTTTCTTTTAATAGATGATGGATTAGTATCAACATTAACAGACAAAATTGAACAATATGAAAAATTAATGGCAGAATTAAATAAATCATGGGAAGAAAAATTATCAGAGGCTGAAACAATTAGAGAAGATAGAATGGCAGCATTAAAAGATATGGGTATAGCTATTAAAGTCGTTTCATCAATTCCACATCTTATTAATTTAAATGAAGACCCTTTAATGTCAGAATCATTAATTTATTATGTTAAGGAGGGTTTAACCAGAATCGGAAGATCAGATGCTGAAATCCCACAAAATGTTATTTTAAATGGTTTAAATATTCACAAAGAGCATTGTATTTTAGAGAATAAAAATGGTATTGTAACAATTTCACCACCTCCACAGTATTCATCAGATAATGCAACCAATAGTAATAACAATAGCGATAAAGAAATTAAATCACCCGCATCTGATTCATCTGTTTCTTCAACAACAAGTGAAAAGCCACCAAGATCATATATTTATGTTAATGGTGCAGAAATTTCAAAACCAACCGTTTTAACTACAGGTAATCGTGTTATTTTGGGTAATAATCATATCTTTAGATACAACAATCCAGAAGAAGCCGCAAAGATTGCTAAAGAAAGACAAGGTGACATTAAAAGCGATAGAATCGGCGTAGAAAATGCTGATCAAATTATTGACTACGATTTTGCTCTCAATGAATTGGCATCAATTCAAGGTACATTGGCTATGACCAAACATATTAGCGATAAGCAAGAATATAAAAAGCAAATGAGAGCACTTTACGATCAAATTAGATTACAATTAGAAAACGAAGAATTTGACCCAGAAATTAAAGAGAAGAGAGACAAATTAGCACTTTTAGCAATTAGAAAATGGAGATCAAAAGTTCATCGTACAAAGCTTTTGAATAAAATTTCATTCATCATTCTTTCTTTAAATGAAGCTAATGCCATCTCTGCCACCCTTAATAAACATATCAGCCTTTCACTTAAACTTTATTCAGTATTCCCAGACTCAGACTCTATTTCCGATAATGCAGAACCTGAAATCGACTGGAGAAATACTCAAATTCTTATTAAAGCTATAAATACAAATACTGGTGAAAGTACCTTAATGACCGATCAAGATTTTGTTGACAGAATCTATGCAATGAGAGAACTTTATCAAAACGATGGCAATTTAGACAATGATCAACTCGAAGACCCATACCATTTCACTTTTACAAAAGATTCATTGATTGGTGTTTCCCATGTTTATTTAAAGAATACTCCTTATCTTGTTGAAAGCAACAGACCAGTTCCAATATTAGATGCCAATGGTAAAGAAAAAGGTTATCTCAATTTATTAGTTTCATCATCATCTACTGATATCACCGATGAAGAAAGAGGACAATATTTAGAAGACCCAATTGAAAACAAAACATTATTGTATGGAAAGAATTTAGAAATTACAGTTGGTTTTGAAGGTTTTAAAGATTTTATCGAGGAAAATAGATATGATGACGTTTTCATTAAATTCTCATTCCCAAACGAAAATGGTACTCTTGACACCTATACCACCGATCCTCAATCTGCTATTTCATTTATTGACGAAAAGAAAATCGTTATCAAGTCACTCAATGAAGAACTTGTTCACCATTTACAAACTCAATATGTTTCTTTAGAAATTAGAGGTACAAAGAAATTAAAGAATAACATTTCATCAGCCACCAACGATCAACTTATGAAACCAACTCCAATGTTTGAAAACTTTGAATTTTTAGCCACTTTAAATATTTTAGAATCAGAAAAGAATAGTACCAATGATGATGACTTTAAACCAGTTCATATTTTAGAAGACCCAGATGTATATCATAGTCATTTACCATCAGTTACTTTCCGTTTAAAAAAAGATAAAGTCAATCGTCAAATTCTTTTTAAAGTTATCAAAAATGAATCAAAGTGTATTATTAAAGAATGTAAAGCCGCCAGAATCACCGATGTTAAAGTATTTGGTAAAAGAGATAATACTTCTGGTTTTGTAGCCACTCCCAACACTCCAAGCACACCAAATAACTCTAGAGCAGGTACAATGACCCCAAGCACACCAATGACACCATATGGTGGCTCAAATCCACAACAACAAGGTACACCATATAACCCAACTAGTAATCCAGCTTCGACCAATTCACTTTTATCAACTCCAAACTCTGGTGTTCAATCAAATTTATTAAAAGATCTTTCAATGGCATCCACTTCATCAACTACTTCAAACGCCATTTCAAATCCATCATCCTCTTCAAACTCAATTTCAAATTCAGCCTCAAACTCCTCACTTTCACTTTTATCAACACAACAACCAACCATTATTGGTGCCGTTAATGGTGGAAATCTTAAGACTATTGAGTTACCAGTTATCTCGATTACCAGTGACTCAGTTCTATTGTCATGGAAAACCAATGATCCATCATATTTATTAAATCATAAAACTAGAAAAGGTGATAAAATACTTTTCAAACTTGGTTTCGATTTAGTTATTGATGGTTTCCCAGATATTGTTACTATCTCTAAAGATATTGCAATTAAAATTATTTCATCCGATTCGATGGTTACAGTTCCAGATGGTTCAAATACATCAATGAGTAACCTTTTAGACAAATTCAAAACTCACTTCAAAGGTGAAACTATTATATCTGAACCAACTATCCATGCTGGTTCAGTATTCAATGTAAATTTAACAAAATCAAGACAATTAGAGCATCAAAATAGAATTGGTGAAATGATCGATGCCCATCAAGAGAACATTTTAAAACTTGGTTATGCAATGAAAATGGAAAAATTACGTCAAGAATTAGATCTTCGTGAAAAACTTACAAATCTCAAAGAGAAAACTCTTGATAGCTCTAATGTATCATTAAACGAAAGCACCGAACAAAATACAAGTACTATTGATGTCGAGGAAATTATTAAAAAAATGTTATTAATGAATTCATCTCATCAACATTTTAATGAAGCCAATGGTACTACTGTTTCAAGTTCACCAAAGATTAATAAATCAACTTCTACACCTTCATCAAATAGAAAGAGATCATCAACTATTGTCGAGGTTAAAGTTAAAGAAGTACCATCAAGTGCTCTCTTAAAAGAAGATGAAACTAGTGGATACCTTAAAAAGAAATCTGCATTTAAAGAAGAATGGAAACCAAGATGGTTCGTTTTCAAGAAACCATTCCTTTATTATTCACACAGCCAAAAGGATACACATAAATTAAAGAAAATTGATCTAACCAATAGCTCCGTTACTGCCATTCCCCAAGAAGAAGTACCATTTGGTTTTGCAATCATCCAATTACGTAGAGTTTGGTTATTACAAGCTAGCTCAAATGAAGAGAGAGAAAAATGGGTATCAACATTAGATCCACTCAAGAAGGTTACTGAATTAAAAGATGAAGAATTAAGAACTGCTAAACAACAAATTGAAAAATCATCATCGCAATTAGACCAAATCAAATCTCAATTACAAAGCGGACAACAAATTGTATTGGCTAAACAAAAGGAAATTGAAGAATTAACAAATACAATCTCACAACTACAATTAGAAAGAGAAGTTAATAACCAACAGTTTGATGGTCTTAAAGATGAAATCACAATGCGTGATGAAGAAATTCAACAATACAAGAGCCAACAAACTCAAAAACTTAGTGAACTCTCTGGCCAAGTTAACCAATTGGAAATTGATAGTCAAGATAAAGATATTCAAATTGGTTCACTCTCATCAACTTTAGATAATACCAATCAAATCATATCATTAATGAGTGAACAAACTAAATCATATAGAAACGTTGCTGGAATGGAAATTGACTCCCTTAGAACTGAAACTACTCAGCTCAGAGAAACAACTTTACTCTTGACCAATCGTCTTAAAGATTGCAGAACAACAATTCAAAATGCCGAAAAAGATATTCTCTCTAAAGACATTGAAATCCAAGAGCTTAAACTTAAAATTTCACAATCTGAAGAAAAGAATAATATCGATTCATTAAACCTCAAGAACCTTCAAGAGGATACCTCAATGAAACAAGGACAAATCGATGTACTTTCCAAATCTATTCAACAATCGAGACAAGCTATTCAAAATATTAATCAAGTTAATGAAAAAGAAATTCAAAATAAAGATCAACAAATTGATAATATTAACAGTGCATACAAGAGTGAATCAGATAAATTAAAAGATCAAACATCACAATTAAATCATTTAACATCCAATCTCAGAGTTCAAATGAAATCATTGGAATCTACCCACCAAAATCTTAAAGAAACCTCAGCCACCGATCAAAAAACTTTATTACTTTTATTACACGATATGGAAGGTGGTCTCACCAAAGCAAGTCAAACTATTAATGACCAAGGTGAACAAATTTTATTATTAAAGAAAGATTTGGAAGAATCTAAAAAACAATCTGAACAAATTATATTATACGAAAAACAATTAACAATGATGAAGGATCGTCTTATTCAATCAGAAAATCAATTAATAGATAGAGAATGTGACAATACTATACTCTCAGATAAATTAAAACTTTGGGAAGAGGAAATTAAGATTAAAGACGCCAAATTAAATTTACTCGAAAACAATGTAAAAGAAGTTAGAGCAGAGTATGCCAACGGTATGGCCTTCTCCAGAGAGTTCTCAAATCATCATCAAGAGCATTCATCATCATCCAATAGTAAATTCAATAGACGTTCAAAACAAATGACAGCAGAAGAACAAATTGAAACTATGAGAGAATCATCAATTGCCCATCAAACTCATAATGCATTCTTAAACCTTCAAATCCAACGTTTAGAAAGTGAAATGAGAACTCAAGAAAAAGTTTATAGCGAAACTATTCAAAGAATTAAAAGAGACTTACAACAAAGAAATCAACAAAATATTGTATTAATGAAACAACAAGCTGGTGATGAAGTTGTAAAGAAATTAGAAGATACCACCGCAAATTTAGAAAGTGTCAAAAATAAATATTTTGTTAGTTTGGTAGTAGCTGCTAAACTTCAAAACTCGATGATGGGCAATTATTGTAATGTAGATGCTTATGAACTTTTATCCAAAGCAATGGAACAACATATATTAAACACTGAAGATTGGCCAAATTTCGTTTCAGCTCAAATCAATGAACAATCTCATCAACTCAATTGAATCTCAAACAAATACAGAATCATTAAAAAAAATAAAATTGAATTATTATCTTTTTCATCCTCATCATTTTCCTTTGCTTGTCCTAATAACACAAGTGACCTTCAATCATGTCAATTATCAACTCCTCTTTTAACTAGTGCTCTATATCTTATATTTAATTACCATATTTTATTATTTATTATTATAATTTTATATTACTTTTTTTAAATAAAAATATATTTTTTTAATTTAATTTTTTAATTTTTTTTTTTATAATTTATTTGTTTTTTAAGAGGGGTAAATTAATTTTTTTTTTTGTCATTTTTTTATCTTTTTCATTAGAATGACCAGTATATTAGTTTTGGGTATTTATATTTTTTTCTTTTGTATTTTATATTAAATACTAATTATTTTTTTATATATAGGTGTTGGATACATTGGATTAAATGTTTCAAAAAAATTAAAAGCAAATGGATATAAGGTATATGGTATTAGTATTTTGGAAAAAGATAAGATTAAAATGATAAGAAATGAAATAATACCAATTATTGCAGATATTCACGATTGTGAAACTTGGATACCAAAGACATGTGAATTGCAAATAGATGTTGTTATTGAATGTATTTCTTCAAAAGATAAACATTCACCAAGAATTATACAGGAATCTTTAATAAAACTTCAGCAATTACTACCTAAAATAAAAATAATCCATACAAGTGGAAGTTTTTCATTTGGATCTAACGATTTTGTAATGGATGAAAAAACAAGAAGATACGATCACAGTGATTTTAAATGGATAGAGGAAATAGATAACAACTATGTTGATATGGGAGCAATTGTCATTATACCATCTATGATTTATGGTAAGAATGGTTCATATACCCATTTTTATTATCACTGTGTGGAATTATCAAAAGAATATAATAAGAAAGAAGATAAAAAGCATGTGATAAAAATATATGGAAATAAAAATAATGTAGGATTTTATTCAGGTTTTATACACATAAATGGTAATCAAAATATATAATTTACAGTCCTAATTATTATATACTAACAATATTCCCATATATAGATCTATCTGATTTCTATTTATTAGTTGTTGAAAAAAGTTCACAAATCAGAGGAGAAACGTTTATTGCAAATAGTTATTCAATTAAAGTTGAAGATTTAATAAGAGAAATAGCAAAATTTTCAATTGAAGATATAAGTAAAAAAGAAATTGAAATAGAGTATGTGGATTTACCACAAAATAAAAGCAGTTTTCTTTTAGCAATGACTTTTAATCAAAGATTATCTCATTCGAAAGCCTCAACAATTTTAGGGTTTCACCCAAAGCAACCGTCATTAATAGATGCATGTAATATATACTATTTATCTTGGAAATATGGAAATGCAACCACCAAAGATTTTATTTCTTCAATTGTATCTTTTAAATAATAAAAAATAAAATAAAAATATTTTTTAGTTCGCACTCTTTTTTTATACTGATTATTGATCATTTTTTTATTTTATTTCGATTTTTTATTTAATTTTCTTTTAAATGATATCCAAAACATTATACTAACTTTTTCATTTTAAAAATGATTTTTAAAAAAAAAAAATAAAAAATTTTTTAATTGATTTTTTATCATTTTATGATGCATACAACTGAATTTAAATTAATAATTATTCGATTTACATAAGAATAAATATTCCATTTATTTAATTGTTATATAGGGTTATTTTATAAAGAAAAAAATATAAATATAAATAAAATTATTTCTAATGTACAATAAATAAAATAACAAAACAAATTAAATTAAAAAATTGATATAATAATAAAATTAATATTTGAATGTGATTTTTATTTTTTTTATAAAATGTTATTTATAAATACCTTTGGAGAGCTTTTTAATTGTTAATTGAAAACTTAAAATAAAAAAATAAATAAAATAAATAAATAAATAAAAAGAAATTAAAGTTTAAAAGAAAAATATATAAATTTATTTCTTTACAAAAAAGTATTTGATGATTAATTTGAACTGAAATCGGTACTGATGGAGTCATATAAGGACCAAATAACCCAGTATGTATTGGAAAGCAATTGACTGTGACCTGCTACTGATTCATGTGGTCTTAATTTTATAAAAAGGTCTAAAGAACTTTTAAAATTCTTGTCCATAATACCTTGAAATTGTTTTATTTTGCTATTTTCTTGATTATCTTTAATTGCATTACCAAAATGGACAAAAATTGAAATGGCAACTTCAGTTTGATTAATATTTGCTTGTTCAGGATTTGAAATGCAAACTATACGTAGTGGAGATGATATTTTCAATTACTTTGATTTTATCTTCTTCCTCGGAAACAGCTGGGTCGAACCATCTCTTGATAATGATTTTTGAAACCAAGAGGCTACTCTTGATTTTGACTTCATCAGAAACATATTTGTCTAATTTTGAAAAAAATACAAGACTTAAAATTCTAGAAAAGAGAGAATCTAGTTGCTGAGAATTTAAAAAATTTACTAAATCCCTTGATGTTAAATAATTACTATTTATATTATTTATATTATTATAATTATTAATATTATTATTGTGGTTATTTTTTTTTATTTTTTTGTTTTTGTTAATGGTGTTGCCAATAGAACAAACCATATTAGAAAATATATTAAAAATAAAGATAAAAATAAAAGAGGAAAAAATATTTTTTAAATTATCCATTTTTATATTAAAGTTTAAATTTATAATGGTGATATGATTGTGAATAATAAAATATTTATTAAATATAAAAAAAATGAAAAAGAAATTTAATAGTTATTATGAAGTTTATTGTGTGATGATTTTTTAAAAAAATATATTTAAATTTTATAATAATATTTTATTCAATTTCTAATTTTTATATGATTGTCAATAAAAATTAAAAAAAAAAAAAAATACATACAATGAGGTTGAGGTCCATACTTTTATTGTAATTTTATTATAATATATGAACTACATATGATTCATTAAAAGTATACGCCTCATTACAATGATATATAAAAAAGGATATGTTTAAATTTTTATTTGAAAAAAAAAAATAAAAAATTTTTTTTTAAAAAACCTCATTATTTTTTAATTTAAAAAAATTTATTTACCCCATTGTTTAATTTAACATAGAGATTTCAAACACAACTAATAAAAATGGAAATAGTGATTCAATTAAAAAATGTAAAAACGAATTTAGTATGTGATTTTATATTTTATAATTTTTTTAATTTTTTTTTTTTTTTTTAAATTATGAAAATTATAATTTTTTTTTTTTTTCTTTTTTTTTTTTTTTCTTTACAAATAAATAACTTTACATTTGTATACATATATTTTTTTGTCTCAATAACTTTCAAAAAAAAAAAAAAAATGGATAGTTTATATATTTTATTTTTTTTCTTTTTAATTATCACTTTTTGTTTCTATATTTTATATAAAAATAAAATTAATAAAAATAAAAATAATAATAATAATAATGATAATAATATTAATAATTTTAACTTTATTAATAATAATTATAATAATTATAATCATTGTAGTTTTAATGATAATAATAATAATTTTAATAATTATAATGATATATATATTTATAATAATAACAATAACAATTACAATAATAATAATCATTTTAATTATAATGGTAATAATAATATCTTAAATAATAATAATTTTAATAATAATAATTATTATAATGAAAATAATAATATAATTTATAATAACAATGATAATAATAATAATGATTATAATAATTATAATTATAATGAAAATAATAATAACAATAATTTTAATAACAATATTATTAATAATAATAATAATAATAATTATAATAATAATAATAATAATAATAATAATAATAATGGCAAAAAAGGTAAAAAATATTTGCCATCTCTTTTTTTTAAAGATACCCCAACCGAAACACAAGAAAGAACTACCCCAAACATTAATCCTTCAAATATTTCTAATGATAGTAATAATAATAACAATATTAATAATAATACTAGTAACCAATCATTGGAGTCAGATACATTAGTATTAGAAATTCTAAGAAGGGATAGAGAACAAACAGAAAGGGAGAAAGCCAATAAAGCTCTCAGAAAAGAAATGTTAGATTTTGAAAGAGAAATCAGAGAATCTGAACGTTCAGAAAGAATAATAAGAGAAAGACAAGAAAGAGAACGTTTAGAAATTTTAGAAAGAGAAAGAAGATTCAGAGAGCAACAAGAATGGGAACGTACCCAATATTTATTAAGAATTGAAAGAGAAAATCAAGAAAGGGTACGTCAAGAAACATTAGAGAGAGAAAGAATGGAAAGAGAGAGAATTGAAAGAGAGAGAGTAGAAAGAGAAAGAATAGAAATGGAAAGAGTTGCAAGAGAGCAACAAGAAAGGGAACGTGCCCAAACTTTATTAAGAGAAAGGGTACGTAGGGAAGCATTAGAATTAGAAAGATCACAAAGAGTTGCAAGAGAGCAACAACAATCATATTTGGAAGAAGCCCGTGAATATCATCGTTACCTAAATTCATTAAATGAAAGACTCGATGCATTACTTCAACAAAGGGCAAATAGAAGAAATTCAGAAAGAGAACAAAGAAATAGAGAACGTGCCCAAGATCCACAAACACAAGAAGAAATTCAAAGGGCACGTAGACAACAATTTGAAACTTTAAGATTGCAACAGGAAAGATTACAACAAATTAGATTGCAACAAGAAAGTCAACCACATCAAATGGAACAAGATGAAAACGAAAGCATCTGCACAGTTTGCTTTAATCAGGTAGAGGCCATTAATAGTGCATCAATTGATTGTGTTCATAAATTTTGCTATGCATGCATTACTCAATGGTATTCTCGTACTAGATCCTGTCCAACTTGCAGACAACCAATTTCAAATATTAGAGTAAGTAATTCATACATTCATATTTATACTTTATTAATAAAACATATATTAATTTAATTTATTATTTAATTGTAGAGAGATAATCAAAATGAGGGTTTAACATATGATGCTATGAACATAGATTAATAATATAAATAACACTTTAAACAGAATGGATGTCCAATAGCATTTCGATTACATTATTCCAATCCATAGGGAAAATATAGACTCTTTGGTTAATCGTCATCAATTAGCTGGCCACCAATTAGATGCTTTTAACCTAGATCAATAATACTCTATCTATATGGGATAATAACGAAATCAAACAAGATTATATCAGAAAACAACATAATTGGACAAACATTACCATTCATTGCATTATCCTCAACTCTTCAAAAAAAGGTTAAAGAAGTTCCATAGGTTTCATGTACAAGTTCTCTTTTGGTAACTATTAAGTTAATATTTACATAAATAATATTAAATTTGAATATAAAAAAACTAATATTTAATTTTTATTCCTATATAGTTTAATTATAATGCTTTTTCTTCCATTATAACCATGTTCTATACTAAACATCAATTAATATGCGCTTTCATTCCCTAAGGTAACTATAATGTTAATATTTAAATAATTACTATATATGAATATAAAATTAACCAATATCATATCAAAAAGATTATTGACAATATTTTATTCATTTTTAGTTTAAATCTTTCTCATACACATCAAAATGCTCAATATTTAAATCTTTCTCATTCAACACGTTTTTAGTTTGAATCTTTCTCTTTCATATCAAAAAGATCAATATTTAATTCTTTCTCAAATCAACACGTTGCCATGTTTATGTATTGGTATAATCAAAGTAAATACAATGATAAATTTAAATAATTATTAAAATATAAAAGAAACTAATATTTATTTTATATTTAGATTAATTCTCTCTTTCAGTCTCATATATAGTTTAATTTTAATATTTCTCTTTCAGTATAATCACGTTCTTTATTCAATGCCAACATTGGGGTGTTTGTATTTTTAAGGTAACTATAGTGTTATTACTTGCATAATTATTGTTAAATTTGAATATAAAAGAAACTAATATTTAATTTTAATACCTTTTTAGCTTAATTTAATTCTTTCTTGTTCAGTTTCAACATTTTATTTATTTCAAATCATTAACTATACATTGGGGGTATAGTTTATTCTTTTCAATTGTGTTTTTTTTCAAATCATTCATATGAAAAATTGGGGTTCTTTTTCAGTATGAACACATTTTAAAGTCACATTTCAAATACTGGGGTTCTGTTTATTCTATGTAAATATTACTATTTTATTATTATTTTTAAATAGATTTATATTAATCATTAAAAATCATCTTTTTAACTTTTATTTATTAAATAATCACATTTATTATCATTTTTCAATAGTATAACCCAATTTTAATCTACACATTACTACATTAATTTTTCAGTTTAATAAAAAATAATTAAAAAAACCCAAAAGTAATCAGTCTTCAGCTACACTCAGAAATTAGTAGCCATGAAGCTCAAAAGTATGCTCAAAGTAGAGGTCCATCATTGTTTGGGTTTGCTAATATCCACTTAGTCAAAAAGAAACTATTATCTACGCTTTATTATATATAACTCTGTGAAATAGGAAGAACAGATATATTATCAGACTTAGAGCCATACACAGTTTTTATACTTTATTATAAAAAAATTCTTATTAAAACGGATAATACAGATGTTACAGAGTTACTTTTATATGTTCTGTAAATAAAAATCTAAATAATAGATTCAAATTAAAAATTCAAAAAAAAAAATTAATAAGGATTAATTTAATTATTTTTTTCCATAATTAACATTTAACTTTAATTTAACTATGTATTTATTGGGTGTTTTAAATAAAAAAATAAAACTATAAATACATAAATATATAAAATTATTTTAAAATTATTTTATTTAAAAATATTATTGTAATGTTTATTTTAAAAATTAGCTTAAATAAAACTGGTGTGAAAATTAACTGACGATTTAAATCCATAAAAATTTAAAACCCCAATGAAATAAAGAAATCACATATGATAATAAGTTGGTGATATTTGGGTGTTACTTTTAGCACCTAACGAGGACCGCCTTTGGTTTAGCACTATATTGATTTTAATTATTAATTATAAAATGTTTTAGTATTAGCTTTCTTAATAACTGAAGACTGACTATTGATTCACTGAGTAAATTCTATTATTATTTTTTTTATATAGATGACTTTAATTCGATATTTAAATATAGTTGTAAGACTCCCAACGGATTGACCTATTGTATACAATGATGGTAATCCAATTGATTTGTAATAGTTAATCCGCCAATTGATTGACCTGTGAATTTAATTATGCTAATCCAATTAAAGTTGTTACACCTGCTACTGATTGACCAGCGAAGGTTGAAGTTTCCATTACCCTTATCTAAACTATTTGGTAAACATTGGCTTAATCTTTATATAATTGATTAAAATCCTTTCATTCATGATATCGATGACAGCAGATCCTGTAAGGGTTTTGAATGGTTTTAATTGGTAAATCTTTCTTTTGAAAATTAATAAAAGCTAATTTAATTATTGGATGTAATTGTGTTTCTATTTTCTATATTTCTTCAACAATGCCAATTTATATATGTATATGGGTTTGTTGTTATTGTTGCTGTTGTTTTAAAATAATATATTAATTTACCCACTTGCTCTCGAAAGGTTTTAAACATATTTCAGTACTGTTAAAATTATTATTACTATTGATTTGATATGCTGTAGTTTACATTATTAAAATTATTTATGTGTGTTTGTTGTGTTTTGAAAAAAATAAAAAAATTGAAAAAAAAATTTTTATAAAAAAATAAAAATAAAAAAAATAAAATATAACATGTGTATTAACCATTTATAAAAAAATAAAAATAAAATAAAAAAATAAAAATAAAAAAAATAAAATATAACATGGAATATGTATTAACCATTTATTTAAATTATTTATTTATATAACTATTAATACTAATAGTTATATAAATAAATAATTAACCTTAATCATCAAACTCCTCTTCTGATGATATACTTTCTTCACTTGAAAGACTTGAACAATCGTCATCTTCATAATGATCATCGACTTTTCCGCCACTACCACTGCCATTACTTCCAACGCTACTATTTAAATCTGGTGATACTAGACTATTTCCACTATTATTTAATTCACCGTTTTCTTTAATGATGGATGAGAATCTAAAACTAGCAATTGTTTTTGATTTATCATTTTGGGGTTTTAAAGAATTTAAATTTTGTAATGAACCCGATAACCAAGATAATCTTTTTTGGATACTGGGTGATGATATTTTTGGTGATGATGATAATGGAGAATTTGAATTATACTGTTGCTTAACATTATTAATAAAGCTATCCCTTGTATTATAAAACTCGTTAATTGCCTTTGTCCACATTTGAAGATCACTTTTAGAATCTGCTATAATTAAATAAGTTCTCTGCTTGGTTGTGATATTAAATGAAGTATCCTCAATATTTTCAATCCTTGAGCCAATTAATGGAATGATACCTAAAACCTTTGAAGAGCTTTGACCTTTCAAGTAAAAGAGGTAATTATTTTCGAAAACAAACCATCTTCTCTTCCAGTTCTTTACGACTTCGCCAATCTTGGTAAGGTAACCTTGGACCACAATATTTTGTTTTGTTAAAACGATATGAGATAAACTTGATGTTGATTTTCCGGTCAACTGCTGTGTAAACAATGATACGGATGACGATGTACGATTAAATTGATTCGACTGGGTTTGCATTCTCTTTTTTAGTATTCTCTTTTCTTCGTTAATTTTCTTTCTATCCATGTCAGAGTCTGAATCTGAAAAATTTAAATTGCTACTGCTTCTGGTAATGCCACCTGCTGCTGGTGCTTGTTGAGGTGGAGATGTAGATTGTTGGAACTCACTGTCTGAATAATCACTATTATTTGAATCGGAGGGATGTTGAAATATAATTAAACTTTCAATCTTTTTCTTTCTATCCTCTACAATACCATCTTCGATTAAAGAATCTTTAAAGTTTGTTGATTTTTCTTTTGTTTGATTTAATGATTCGAAGAAGAATTGTTTCTCTTCAAAAGTAAAATCTCTTTGAATTTGATCATCTTGTTCCAAGAGCTGTACCCTCTTTTCTTTAGCCTCTGGGTCGGCCTCCAATAGTCTATTGATTGTATTTTGAATAAGAGTTGACCATTCCTCAAATGTGCTGCTACTTGATGATGAAAACTGATTTACAAATATAAATGACAATGATTTACTATAAATTTCAAATACGTTCTCTAAACCAGGAATATCCTTAGTTCTAATCCATATATCTACCAAATAGAGCTTCCTCCAAAATTTGTTATTTACAGCATAAATTAAAATATCATTAAACAAATATAAATTGATAGTTCTCTTTTCATAAACTTCATTATTTTTTGTAACCAATGTTTCATTTGCAGGTGATACTGCTGTTCCTGCTATTGATGAATTATCATTTGTATTGTTTTGAAAAACTATACGGACTAAATCACCACTCTTTATAAATCTTCTATGTGCTTGAATTAAGTTTCCTGTCTTTGGACCTAAAATTTGTTGAACTCTAGTTAAAATTTCTAAAGGACCTTGTTTATCAACAGTTGATGAATTAACAAATGAAGCTACATCCTTCATAATATTCTTTGCTTCAATTAATTTCTTATGTTCATTTTCTTCTGTTTTTTGTGGTGTATATTGAATTAATTCTTCTAATAATAAAATATATCTTGGTAATCTTTGAATTGGCATAATCATTAAGTCATTCAAATCTAATTTTTTTGAAAATGAATTGTTTTTACATTCCTTAAAAAAAAAAAATATTAATATATTATTTTATTTTAAAAACTATAATATTTATAAATTTGGTGAAAAAAATTTATATGATTGACCAATTATTATTATTATTTTTGTTATTATTAATTTTATAACTTACAATTAAATAATTTTTAAACTTTTTATTTGTATTTGTATTTAACTTTATTATTTGAATAGCCTTGTTATAATAATTATTAACATAAATTGAATAAATTTTTAAGAATGGCCCAAACTCTAAAAAGATATCAGATATCTCCACTTGTTCTGGGAAGGATGGTGAATTATGATTTTCTATTTTCTCTTTTAGTTTGGCTAGAATCTCTTCATTTGCTGATTTAATTGCTTCGATATTTGAAAATATTCCATCAATGTCATTGGGTGGTATAATATCTTTTTCTTTAATTTTGGAAATATATACATCGACTATTATCTTTAAAAATGAAAGATAGGCTTGTTCTGTTGATAAAATTTCTCTTAAAATGTTTCCTCTCTTTTCTTTGGAAAGTGTTGTTGAATTTTTTCTCAATCTATGATTGGATAAATTTTTATTTTTTTTATTCCTTATGCTATCTGAACTATTATTTATTCCAGATTTATTAAATTGAATTGTGTTTGTTGGTATCTCTGTTGACGATGTAATACCACTGCTACCACTACTATTCATTAAATTATTATTTTCATTATTATCATTAGCTGAATTTATTAGATCTGGTGAATAGCTATTATTACAATTTAAAGAATCTGTTGGAGAAGTTGATAAAAATTTAGTTTGTCTCCATTTTTGTTGTGTGAGTGGTGGTTGTGATGGTAAATCTATTTGATCTCTTGGTGATAATGGCTCTGTGGGTATAGATTGATTATTATCATTACCAAATGGTCTCTTTAAATCATCTATACTTTCAATAATATTATCTAATGTTTCCATTATTTAATTACTATACTATTTAATTATAGATTATTAAAACTATTATGATTGGTATTATTATTGTGATAGTTATTATAAATTACTTTTCATATATTAAAAAAAATAAAGGTATGAATTATATTTTAATATGCAATTAAAAAAAAAAGGAACAATAATTTACAAAACCAAAAAATATTTCCAAAATACAATTATTAATTTTAAAAAAACCTATTGATTATCAAAAAAAAAAAAAGTAAAAAAATAACAATAAAAAAAAAATAAAAAATTTTAAAAATTAAAAAAATCTGAAAAAAAAAAAAAAAAGGAAATCTTGATAGCAAAATTCAACCCGTAAATATCTTTTATATGTAGAATATTTTTTTTTGCAAATAAAAAAAATATAGTAATTGAGATAACACACAACAATAGTAATAACAACAATAAAAATAAGATGCTAACAAAATTAAAAATAAAATAAAAAAATAATTATTTATTTTTTTCTTTTTTTTTTTCTTTTTTTTCTTTTTTTAATTTTTTATTTTTAAAATTTTTTGTGCAAAAAATGTTTAAGAAAAAAAAAAAAAAAAGGTCTTTCTCACCACAAATATAACTTTTAAAACCGCCCAGTATAAAAAATATCTTTTTAATTTTTTTTCTTTGCTTTTTTTTTTTATTTTATTTTATTTTATTTTAATTTTAATTTTTTTTTTTTTAAAAAAAGGTCAAAGTTGGAAAATTGCGCATTTATTTAAAATTGATATGAGTTTTCTGTAAATTGCGTCTTTTTTTTTTTTTTTTATAATGGACAAATTATTTTCGAATACGTCTGCACACCAAAATATCTTTTTTTTTTTTTTATTTTATTTTATAATTTTATTTTTATCAAATATGGGCGATGATAAAGGTGATACAAAAAAAAAAAAAATAAAAATAAAAGTGTCAAAAAAACTATCACTGGGATTCCAGAACTTAGTTTTAAATTAAAGTTTTGTTCCGTGCCAAAATATTGACATAACATATTTTTTTTATACTCGTAAAAATAATCGAATGAAAATTCATAAACCAAAATATTATATCTTAGATAATATGTATTATTTGATAATTATCCAATTTTCAAATGCTGATTTGAATAGCAAAAAATAATGGATAATAATAGAAAAAAAAAATGATTGTTATTGTTGTTAATAATCCATTAATAATATTTAAAAACAAAGGATATACTATTTTTTTTATATATCTCCCAGATATTTTATAAAATATATAATGAATTTATTTATTTATAGATATGAAAATAATTATTAAAGTGATTTAATTATTACTTTTTTCTATTTTCTTTTTTTTTTATCTTTTTTCGTTTTCGTTTTTTTTTATTTTTATTTTTTTTTATTTTTTTTAATTTTTTTTTTTTAAAATTTTTTTTTTTTTTTTTTTTTAACATTTGTGTATTTTTTATATATTTAATTTATCAAATCTATTTTTTAAATTTAATTTAATTTAATTTAGTAATATTTAAAAGATAATGGCACCACCAAAACCAAATAGAGCAAAACAAAATCAAATTAATAAAAAAAAAAAGTTTCAAGAGAGTGCCGCTAAAAAACAGGTAACAGCAGAACAATATATTGAAGAGGGTGAAAAACATGCAGCAACCTATCATTTCGATAAGGCATTAGAGTGTTTTAAAAATGCATTAATATTGGAACCAGAAAACACACTTGTTATGGATACTATTGGTGAAATATTATTGGAATCAGGTGACCTCGAACAAGCCAAAAGCTACTTCTATAAATCGATTCAAGTAAATTCAGACGACAGTGCAACTAAATATATGAATCTTGGTCAATTGGTAGGTGGCGATGATGCCCTCAAGTGTTATAATAAAGGTGTAGAAATTATGGAGCGTGAATTAAAGAAATTAATTGCATTGACACCAACAGGCGAAGAACAAAATAAAGTACCAAAACCATTAAAACCACAACAACTAGATGATGACAATGATGAAGAGAAAATGGACGATGAGGAGGAAGAAGAGGAAGAGGAAGAGGAATCACCAATTGCAATTATAAAAGCCCAATTATGCTCTGCATTATGTTCAAAAGCAGAGCTTTATCTTACAGATCAATGCTTTGACGACGATGCCGAAACTCAATGCGAAACTAGTTTATTAAAAGCAATCGAATACTCACCATACTCACCAGAACCATACAGTTTAATGGCATCAATGAAAATCAGTCAAGTTAAAAACACCGACGCCATCCAATACTTGAATAAATCATACAGTCTTTGGGAAACATCAGATATCGATGATCGTCCAGAATTCGATTATCGTTATAATATTGCATTACTTTTTATAGAGTTAAAACAAAATAGAACCGCTGTAGATATTTTAGAACAATTGGTAAACGAACAGGATAATATAGCTGAGGTTTGGTATACATTGGGTGTCGTATATAATAGTTTGGATGAGCCTTTATCCGCTCAAGATTGTTTATCCACTGCAAAAGATCTTTTAAAAATCACTAAAATCAAAGACAGAGAATTAGAAAAACTAGTTTCAGATTTATTAAAAAAGGTTGAAAAAGATGTTTCATTATTACCACCAGAAGAATTAAATCAATTTAACGATGATGATGATGAAGATAATCAAGTTGTTGCCGAAGATGAAGAAGACGAAGAAATGAATTCAAATATATAAAAAACAAAAAAAATAAAATATAAAAACTATTAATTTTCTTTATATATACAAAATATATTTATATTATTTTATTATTAAATAATGATTCCTCAAACATATTATTTTAACTAAAGGATCCAGAAGGTGCTTTTCTTAATGTTCTTTGGTTTTTTCTTTTAACTTCTGATAATGTTTTACTCTATATAAATAAATATGATGATGATGATGATGATTATTATTAGTAATATTAGGATGTTATTGTATTACAGATTTACTTACATAAATATATAATAAATGGCCAAGGTCAATTTTATCAGGAATATGAATATACCTTATATTTCTACTTTGTACTAAAAGTAATTCATATTTATCTTTTCCGAATCTATTTGTTATAGTTGCATCAATAAGTTCAATACTATACATATGTGTTAGATTAGTATTGTTTATATGTATAATTAAATAGTATTGTCATGCTTACTTTAGATGTCTATCAACGTTTTCGATGGTACCATATATTTCACAATTTGATCTAAGTTGAATGGTAATTTGAGTTCCTTTTAAAGCTAAAAAAACACACAATAAACTTCTAAAATGTTTTGGTACTCTTTTTTTTCTCCTATTATTATTACTATTATTGTTATTATTATTATTATTATTGTTGTTGTTATTGTTGTTATTAAGATCAAAAATTGTGGTGCAAGTTGTCATTATTTAAGCATTGTGTAAAATTAATAAAAAAATGAAAATAAAAAATTATATTATTCCTTTTTTTTTAATTTTTTTTTTTAAAATTTATTTTTTAATATTTTTGCTAAATTCAATATTTTTTTTACTATTTATATATGTATTATAGTTCAAAATAGGTTGGAAATTTTAAATGTTCATGGTTCAATACGTATTAATCTTTTTACTGGTATGGTGCACCATTTTCTAAGCATCAACAACAATTAGTGCTTTTTTAAAATAAAAATAAAAATAAAAAAAAAAAAAAAAGATTAAAAGGATTGGTGTTTTTATTTATACATTTTATTTAATAAATATAGGAGTTTGTGTGTGTGTATGGCTATTTTGTTTATTTCCATTCATCGTCATCCTCTTCTTCTTCTGGTTGGTTGCTTGTATTAATTTCATCATATCTTTTCATGATATTCTTTGAAAAACTATCACCTAATTGAGAATCACCAGCGAGATTTGCCATGTTATTTTGATCCATTTTAACAATTGATTCTACAAAAATTGAATTACCCTAATAACAAAAAAACCAATAAATTAATAAATTAAATGTATATATATATTTTATATTTAAAGTATACATACCATAGTTTTAATTCTAATTTCATCACCTTGTTTAAAGATTTTATGTGAGAATTTATCAACATCAGCCCAAAATTCAAGATGATTTTTCTTTTTTGGATGTAATGATGGAATAGCTTCGTCGTGGAAATTTTCAGGTAATGGTTTACCATTTGCAATTGCAGCACAAATTTGGTCACAGTCAACTTTATCGACGATGGTAGCTTGGACTCTGTCAAATTTATTAAGGTAGCCCTTAGTGATTGCGGTGGATCTTGTCATTTTTGGTGGTAATTCGATACCATGTTCGTTCCAATTTCTCTTTATACCATTGTCAAATTCTAAAACAATGGCAACGAATCTAGTTGGAAGAGGGGTTTCAGTCAATGGTTGTTTACAATTAACAAATACTGTATGAATATTATGTTTAACTAAAACACCCTCGATAATGAAACCGTCTCCTTTACACCACCTTTCTTTTGTAAATGTGCTACTGAAATTTGTACTTGATGACATTGCTAATAAAAATAAATTAAAAAAATAAAAAATAAAAAAATTTATAAAAAAAAAAATATAAAAAAATAAACCAATTAAATTAAAAAAAATAAATTGATTTTTTTTTTTATTTTTTTTTTTTTTCAGTTTACTTATATTTAAATTTGTATTTTATCTACCTTCATATAATGTTTAATAGAATTTCACCTCACAATTGTGGTTATTATTGTTAATTTGTATTAAAATAATCATCAAAAATTTGTATATAATGTTTTTATTCACATCGAAAAAAATAGTATGGGTGGGGGTGGGTGATGATTTTTTTTTTTTTATACACATAATTTGTTAAATTTGGTTAAAGATAACAATATTGTTTTAATCAACATTAAATTAATAAATCGAGTAGATATAATAAAGTTAAAAATATTTTTTATTTATTTTTAATTTTATTATATTTTTTATTTTTTTTATGTGGGTATCATTCTTTATTTATTTGTACATTAATTATTTTTTTTATTATTTTTATCATTTGTATTATTATTTTTTTTAATAATATATATTGTTTTTTAATAAAATAAATAATATTACTTTTTTTTTTATTTTTATTTTTTCAAAAATTAAAATGTCTTATGAAGTTTTAATGCAGGAAAATAAAAATCATATAGAAGAAGGAGATGTCGGAGATAAAATTATTTTATTAGGTTCAAATGAACATTACAGTGAGATAGAATGTGAAATTATTAATAATTGTAGCGATAATAGTAGTGATTGTGGGAGTATTAATAGTATAAATAATAAATTTAGTATTAATAATAATAGTACCAATTGTATCAACAATATCAATAATAGTAACTATAGTGAAGAATTTAGAAACGAGGTTAGTTATAACAATCAGAATTTTTGCAGTCATTGTGGGAATTTAAATAAAAGGAAAAAATTTACAAATGGTTGTAGTTTGACCCGAGATGGTGACAGTAGTGGTTCAAATGGATTTGTAACACCAAAAGGAGAGGCAGTAAAATTAACAAATTTTATCTCTACATCGACACTATCATCAAACTCAACAGTATTGTCAACATCACCTTCAGTCATTCATGGCCACGAAGACGATTTTTTAAATTGTTTAATTTTGTTTATTGCAGGATGGTTATTGTTTTTACCATGGTTATTCACATATCACTATCTTGGTTCCCCCTATAGAAAATGTAGAGTGATTGCAATTATATCAATTTGCCTCCTTGGTCTATGCTTAATTCTCTTTACCTTTGTAATCAGCTTGGTTGTAATATTAGTAGCAAACCCAGAATTATTTGGAATGTTTCAAAAATATTGGTTAGAAAAAAATTATAATAGTTTCAGATAATAAATATAAAAAAATAAAAAAAAAAATTTAATTTAATAAAAGAAAATATTTTAAACTATAGCTTTATTAATTATTAAAACTAAATTTGATTTGATTTTTTCTATTTGTTATTGTTAAAATTAAAAAAATTATGATTGCTTAATTTTTTCGAGGCACCAACTATATTTTTAAATGTAGCTCGGTTGTTATTTTGGTCATTGATCATTAGGTCGAGCAATGATATCATTTCTTTTTCAATACTAATGATCATTTTGGTAGCTTGGATTTTTGGATCATTTGAGGTGTTGTTTTTTGATACTGTATTTGATAAAACCTTTTTTTCAATTTCTTTAACTTTTTGGTTATATTCTAAAATAAAAAATAAAAACCATGTTAGTTATAATCTAATGTTTGCTATATAAAAATTATTGTCTGTATATTACCATCTTTACTATCTTCAATTAATTTATCAATATTTATGTTAATCTTATTATTATTATTATTAAAAGAGATATTGGTTTCTGATGAAATATCAGATGGTTTAGTTTTATCATAAATATGATTTGTTACTGCTTGATTATGAATTAATGGTTTATTTTGTTTTTGTTTTGTTGGTGATTTTGAATGTTGTCCTTGTCCTTGTCCTTGTTGTTGTTGTTGTTGTTGTTGTGGTGGTTTTTGATCTAAAAAACCTTCTTCTGAAAATGGCTGAATTGTTTTTCTATTATTGGAAATCTCGCTAGACTTTTTACCTTTTGAAAATAAGCCGCAGAGTGGGGCACCAACAATTACACTTCCAGTATTTGGTGGTTTGATATAGGGTGTCTTTTTTACTTTTTTTCTATTTAATATTGTTGGATCATCATTATCATTACCATCATTAAGTTTGGTTATGTTGTGTGGTGATCTTTTTTGAAATGTTTGTTTGGCTGATTTATTATTATCACTATTATTATTATTATTATTATATATAAACTTTTTTTTGAAGCTTAATATTTTATTCATTATTAATAATTTGGCTATTTGGTTATTTGGCTATAATTATTTATTTGATTATTTAAATATCATTTTTTTTTATTTTTTTTTTAAAAAAAAAGATAATATATTTGGTGTTATTAATATAAATAATAGATAATTATTACATTTTGAGCCAGTATTTCAACGAAATAGGAACTTTTATAACAACTTTCTTATAATTTAATTTTTTTATTGTTTTTTTCTTTTTTTTTTTTTTAAAATTTTAATTTTTTTATTTTTAAATTTATTTATTTTTTTTTTGTTTTTTAAAATTTTTTTTTTTTTTTTTCATTAATTAAATTAAATTTTTGATCATCAATTTTTTATTTATTTTTTTTTATTTTTATTTTTTTTTTCTATCTAAATTATGGCATCAAATATAACATATAAACTTTCAAAAGAATTAATTGGTCATGGTAAGGATGTTAGAAGTACTTGTGTTCTCTCAGATGGGCGTATAGTTACAGGTTCAAGAGATAATTCAATTAGAGTTTGGGATCCAATAAATGATTTTTCAAGTATAGAATTACATGGACACTCACATTTTGTAGGCTCTTTAGTACAATTACCTCCATCAATAATATTAAGAGAACGTTGTTTTGCATCTGGTGGTAATGATAAATTAATCTGTGTTTGGGAAAAAACTGCTATTCCAAAATCATCATCAAATAATAACAATAATAATAACAACAACAATAATTCAGAATCAAATGCCTCACCTTCATTAATGTTATTGGGTCATGAAGATACTGTATCTTCACTTGGTGTTACAAATGATGGTTTAATTATTTCTGGTAGTTGGGATAAGTCAGTACTAATATTCAAACTGTTAAATAACATTTATTTATTTTAAAAACTCTTTATTAATATTTTATTTTTATTTTTATAGAACTATTAAAGTTTGGGAAAATGGTGATTGCATTGCAACATTAAAAGGTCATGAACAATCAGTATGGTCAGTTATTGGATTACCAAATGGAAATATTGTTTCAGCATCAGCAGATAAAACTATTAAAATTTGGAGACAAGATGGTAAAGATAAATATACAGTAGAAAAGACATTAAAGAATCATAAAGATTGTGTAAGAGGTTTAGCAGTTATTCCAGAATTAGGTTTTATTAGTTGTAGTAATGATGGCTCACTCATAGTATGGACTTTTAATGGTGAAGTCATTCAAGAACTTAATGGCCACACATCATTTGTTTATGCCGTAGTTGTAGTTCCTGGTATTGGTTTTGCATCCTGTGGTGAGGATAGAACTTTACGTATTTGGAAAGATGGTGAAAACATTCAAACTATAACCCATCCTTCAGGTGTTTGGGATTTAGCCTATTCACCAAGTGGTGATATCATTACTGGTTGTGCCGATGGTGTTGGCTATGTTTGGACAAAGAATCCATCAAGATGTGCCAGTGAAGAGGTTATTAAATCATATCAAGATAAATTAGCTAGTCAAACTATCGTTTCAGACAATGTAGGTGACATCAAAATGAATGAATTACCAGAACTTGAAGAGGCTCTCAAGCAACCAGGTACTAAGGATGGCGAACTTAAGGTTGTTAAAAATGGTAAAGTTGCCGAAGCCCATCAATGGAGCGCCTCTGATAACAAATGGGTTAAAATTGGTGAGGTTGTAGATGCTAGTGCTGCCAATAAAAGTAATGCTAGAGGTGTCCTTAATGGTAAAGAATATGACTACATCTTTGATGTAGATATCGATAGCGGTGTAATGTACAAGATTGGTTATAATGTTGGTGAAAATCCATATTCTGTAGCTCAAGATTTCTTATTTAAAAATGATTTAGGTCAAGAATTTTTAGACGAAGTTGCCCAATTCCTCATTAAAAATACTGAACAAAATAATATGACTTTTGAGGCAAGTCCAATGCTCAGTGATCCACTTACTGGTGGAAACAGATATATTCCAGGTGGTTCAAATAATAACCCTCCTGCAAGAAAATCTGCTCCAACTTCAAACAATAATAATAATAATAATAATAACAATAACAATACCAGTAACAATAGCAATAATAACACCACTATTCAAACAACATCATTAATTCCACAAAAAAATTATACCTTATTTGAAACTGCAAATAGTGAATCATTACTTAATAAGGTTTTAGAATTTAATGAACAACTTTTAAGCAACCCAGAAACCAAAATTGTAGCATTGGATGAAGATGAACAAGAGTTATCTATTTTCAAATCAATACTTTCAACCCTTAAAGAAACTTCTCGTTATCACTCATCATCATTCAATGAGCATCAAATTAAAGTTGTTTTCAAAATGCTTAAATGGCCAGAAGATAAAGTTTTCTGTATTTTAGATGTTTTAAGAGTTATGGTACTTCACCCAAATGCCTCAAGCATGCTTAGACAATTTGTAGACTATGTTACTGGTTCAAACAAATATAATATCATGTCAATCCTCCTTTTAATCATTCAAGAATCTAAACTTTTAAATAACACTATGCTCTGTCTCAAGATTTTTTCAAATATGTTCCGTCATGAACCACTTAGAACTTTGTTAATCAATACCATCTTTGCCAACCATGAAAAGGCTCAACAATTTTTAGATAGAGTGAATTCAGTCTATCTAAATATTAGCCCACCAGGCTCAAACAAATCCTACTCAAGTTCATTTGCAACATTTTTATTAAAGTAAGTTTATCAAATTTTTATTTTGTTTTTTAATTTCAATTTAACTAATCATTTTTATTTTATAGCATTTCTTTTTATGAATCAAACAATAAGGTTGATAATGGAACCCTTGGCTTACTTGTTAACAGTTTACATAACCTTATTAAAACCGAAACCGATCCAGACTCATCACTAAGATGCGTTTGTGCTTTAGGTACATTATTATTCAATCATAGAGACTACAAGCCATCATCTGAAATTTGCTCATCCATCAAATCATCTGTTTCAAACATTAAATATAATGATAAATTCTCAGATTCAATTCAACTTTTATTAAAACTTGTTAATTAGAAATTTTCTTTAAAATAAAATAAAATAAAAAAAATAATAAAAAAATAGGTAAATCGTGTTTAAAAAAAAAAAAAAAATAAACTTTTAATAAATTTTAAAAATGGGTATTTGTATAATGTTAACCAGTATTAGATTAAACCAAAAACAAATAAAACAAATAAAAATAAACTATATTTATTTAGTATAAATGTTTTTTTGTTTATTTGGGTATAAATATTTAATGAATTATTATTCTTTTAAAAATTTATTTGTTAATGAAAATTAATATGATTTTTATTTTTTATGAGATTTTTGCTAAATTTGTATTATAAATTTGATAGTTTCTTAGGTTACCTAGCATTCGTTTTTATATGGTAATTTTAATTTTTAAAGGTATATATCTTTAAAAACACAAAGAAATTTTATCTAAAATGAAAGTGTGAGTGGGGTGGTGTTAATTTTTTTTTTAAAAGTGGGTGGTAAATTGGGTTATTATAATATTAATTTATTTTAAAAAAATTATAAAAATAAATAAAATTAAATTGAGATATATTATTATATATAGATAGGTCCAATTTTAATTATAGTTAAATGTTTTATTTTTTTTTAGTTTAGTATTTATAAATAATTTTAAATACAATAAAATGTAATTATAATATTATAGATATTGTGTGTCTTGGTGTGGTGTTCATTTTATTGTTTTAACTGGTTACTATAAAAAAAAAAGATTTTTTTCTTTAAGGGTAGTATATATAAATATGGTTTAATTTAAATCGTTAATTTAGAATAACTATAAATAAACTCTCACCAGTTCGAAATTTTTTATAGATGAATTAATTAAAAAGAATACAACTACGGCACGATTTTATTAAAAAAATAACCCCTCGCTACATTTTATATCGAATTAATTTATTACAAATTAAATTTGTAATATTTTTTATTTATATTTATAAAAATATTATTAATTAATGATATTTTTTAAAATAATTTTTTTTAAATAAAAAAAAAAGGTATAAATAAAACTCAATTTTTGTTTTTTAAATATCAACAAACCAAAACTAATAATTTAAATTATTAAAAACTTTAATTTTATAATATTACTTTTTTCTTTTTAACAAACTTTCACCTTTAAAATGTCAATCTTTGCTTCAATCCAAAAATTAGGTTCAGTCAATGCCTCATCAAAACAAGTAGTTGCCAATTCATATGGTTCAATTGAAATGGGTTCAAACAATGTTGCTGTCCTTGCCAATACCTCTTTAACCTCAACAACCAACACTAAATTGAACACTCCAGTTGCTAGTCTTGAAAATAAAACCAATACCAAAACTGCTATTAAACTCTAAATGTTTTAAAATAAAAACAATAAACTAATAGTGTGTAAAAATACATTATATTACCTCCTAAAAAAAAAAGTTGTGCATATTTATTTTACAAAAAAAAAAAAAATTTATTTTTATTATCTTTATTTATTATTTATATTATATATAATTAATTTAATTATTTTATTTCTATAATATTATATTTTATCGTGATCTTTTGAAATTTTAGCCATTAAATTAAATGATCTATTATTTTCAATATTTTTAATTTCGGAATTAAAAACATGTGGTAATTTTATATCGATAGAGACCTTACGAAGAGCGGGGCAATTTACAAGGGTACCAGTGCCACACCAATCAGCAATGGTACTTTTAAAAGTATTTTCTTCAGCTCTAATTGAACCTTCTAAACATTCTAATTCTGTACATTTTGAGAGGTATTCGAAACAATGCTCGTTGATACCACGGCTATTTGAAAGATCTAGTAATTGAAGTGAACGGAATTCACCAATGGTTCTAAAGATATTTTCGTTTAAAAGCCAGCCACCTCCTCTTGAGCCACCTAAACGGAGCTCTATTAAATGATTTATAAATGATGAAGTTGGTTTTAATAAAGACTCAAAACTTTTTTCGTTGATTTCGATCCATTGGTCGGTAGAGTTAATAATTGATAGCTTTTGAAGATTTTTACAGTTGCTGAGGTGCTCTAAGCCTCTATTGACCCAAAGATTATTCATTTTGATGCAACAAAGACTGAGATTGTAGAGGTTTGGGATTTTGGAGAAAGCTTCCCAACATTCACCACTTAGATTAAACTTGCTTATAAATAGTCTCTCGAGCTTTGTTAATGATGAAAATACCTTTTTAAATTGATGATCGTCTAATTCGTTAGAGTATTGGAAATCAAACTCTAAAACTCTTAGAGTGTCGGCCACACTATATAAACTACTCAAATCTTTAAGTACAAACTCTGTGCTACCAGTAATTTCGAGATTTTCCATCTTTTTGCATTGTTGTAAAAAAGAAAAACTTGAGCCGCTAGAATTGTGAGAGATGGTGGTAACAATAGATTGGGTCTCTTGATTGGTGGTGGTTGTGACAACATCTTCTAAAACCCATTCGGCGATTGATAAAAGAGTAAGGTTTCCTAAGAATGGTAACAAAGCCATAGATGATTCAGTTGCAACTTGAAGACGTAATTGTTTGAGATGAATACAACCAGAGATTTGTCTACATAGTTCTTTTGCATCTCTTGTAGTTATACCATTTAAATCCAATGCTTTCAATGTGGGGATTTCTGATAACTTTGAAAATGAGTCTAAAGGTACTCTTGTGAAACCTCCCAACTCTATTTCTTCGAGCTTAGATCTACTAAGAGAATCGAATGTTTTTGATGTGAAATTAACATCAGAGTGTAAGGCCAATCTCTTGAGCTGTGGTAAACGACTGATAACTAACTCAATATCGGAATCGACAATATATTGACATTTGATTAATTGCAATTCGTTTAAATTGGTACAATTATCAATGATAACACGAATTGATGTATTATTAAATAATTTACAATGGCAACTTTTGATTTTCTTTAAATAATTACTATGTTTATATATTCTTCTATTTACAATATCTCCAACTAATGCCCTCTTGTTTTCCACTGTTAATTCTGTTGTTGCTCTTAGACTATATTCATTCCATGATTTAGAAACTAATGAAATTACCAAAATATCTGAATACTTTAAAAAACTAAAAATTAAAAGTTTAATTTCATTTGGTAAATCTTGAATGCTAAAAAAAAATTAAAAAAAAAATTAAAATAATTAATATTTTGGAGGTTTATCTTTTGTGAAATAAAATAGAAATATTTACTTTGTTATACTACGTTGACGATAATAACTCATTGGTCTTTTTCCTTTACTTGTTCTTCTAACATTATTACCATTATTATTTATACTATTTATACTATTATTACTATTACTACTATGATTATCACTGCTGCTATTAAAACTTCTGGTGCTTGGTGAAAAATTTGTATCATAATCAAAAACAAAACCTTGATAATTAGGATCCTCCCATTCAGTTCTAATTGCTTGTCTTTTTGCAGGTCTTTCATCTACTAATGTTGATCCTGTTGATGTATTACTATTTCCATTGGTATTATTGCCATTATTATTACTATTATTATTATTATTATTACTATTATTATTTCCCCAAAACTTTACACGATTAACGCTCCAATGGTAAAAAGCATTTTTACAAAACTCCATTGTTGCATCAAACCCATGTACAACTGAAAAAACCTTTACAAACTCGATATAATTACAATTACTAAACGCTTGTAATAACTAAAAAAAAAATATTAATATTTATATTAAAAAATTCAATAAAAAAAATTTCTCTTACTTTAGTTAAATTTTCTTCATCCATTTTTGATTTATTTACAACTTTACAAAATTTATTTGATTTATTTCTTTAATATTAATTTATTTATTTATTATTTATTTATTATTACTAAATGTTATATGTAACTAGAATTGATTATTATTAAATTATTATAATTATTATTTATAATAAAAAAATTTGTGATATTATTATTGTTATTAATTAAAAAACACATAAAGTTTTATTTATATATTTAATTTTATATATATAAATAATTGATGAAAAAAAAAATTATCGTAATCAAAAATAATATTGGTAAAACTTTAGGTGCAAAGAAAAAAAATTTACTGTTTGTTATTAAAAAAAAAATTTAAAAATTTGGAGAGTAAATTTAAATAATATAATTTATTTTTTTTATTTGTGCACACAAACGCACACACACAATGACTCTATATTATTATAATGTTGTTGTTGCTTTACTATATACTGCTATATAGTGGAAAAGTTTTTTGAATTGTTTTTTTTGAATTTTTCAAAAAAAAAAAAAAAAAAAAAAAAAAAAAAAAATTAGAAAAAAATATCTTGGGTTTTTTTTTTGAAAAAAAAAAAAAAAAAAATAAAAAAAAAATAAATATTAATTATTAATGATGGTGGGCCTAAATTCGGGTAAAATAGAAAATATCAATGGTGAAAAAACATCAAAATAGTGAGCAAAAAAAAAACCAAAGATATTTTTTCATGTGGGTTTTGTAATGGTAATAGTAACAATAGCTATAAAAAAATCTACCAATCAATTATTCTTCTTTTTTTTTTTTTTTTTTTGGTAAATAAAAACACTTTACTGGTGATGAAATTATTTTTTTTTCTCCTAAGAATTTGGTTTAGAAAAAAAAAAATTTTATTTTTAGAGGAATAAAAAAAAAAAAAAAAAAAAAAAAAAAAAAATAATTGGTGTTTTGGATAAATAAAAATAAAATTGGGATTTAAAATGATTATTTTTATCATTATTATAATAATAAAATTGTCATAACTGCAAAGAGTGTGAATATGAAAAAAAAACCCTTGTTTTTTTTTTTTTTAGATTTTTTTTTTTTTTGGGCTTTTAATTGGTTTTCAAAATAGATAATGTTCATAATATCATAATAATATCATTGGGATTGGCATTTGTTATAATGTCGTATCCACAACATTTTTTTTGTGGGTAATTTATAAACCAAGAAAAAAAAAAATGAATGCCCTATTGTGTGAACATTTTTTTCAATTAAAAATATTTCTTCAAATGGAATAACAGAAGTTGGATTGGACATCCGGTTTTTTTTTTTTTTTTATTTTTTTTTTATTTTTTTTTTTTTTTAGATAATTTAAATAGATTTAAAATTTTAATATAATTTAATTTATAAGTTTTTAAATGTATATTTATAAAAATATACATTCAATGTATTTATTTATATATTTATATATTAATATGATTTTTATTTGAATATTTTTATTTAATTTAAATTAATAAAATTTTTTTTTAAATTATTATTTTTTTTTTTTTTTCATTTTTTCATTTTTTTAAATTTTTTTTTTTTTTGTATGAGACTACACTTTTGGTTTCACACACCAATTAATATAAACATATTTACCACCACACACAAACATATTTTTAAATAAATACATAGCAATAAATAATTTAATAAAATAATATAATATAATATAATAATGAATGAAAATGTTATAGTTTGTATTAGACCAAGACCATTTTCAGAAACAGAGATTAAAGGTGGTGAACATTGTTTATGGCAATTAAAAGAAAGTACAATTTCTTCATTACCTCCACCATCTACAGCTATCAATGCAACACCGATTAAATCATCATTAAAAACTCCAATTAAACCATCCTCTGCTTCTTCTTCAGCAACACCATTAAAAACACCGATTAAATTCTCATCCACAGCATCATCTGTACAAACACCACTAAAAACTCCAATTAAAGCAACATCCACCTCCACCTCAGCAACTACATCTAAATTTATACCAAATAGCTATACATACGATAATGTTTTTACAACAGAATCTGATAATTATGATATTTATAATGCAGTAAAGCCAATGATAGTTTCAGCAATGAATGGTTATAATTGTACAATTTTTGCATATGGTCAAACTTCATCAGGTATGTTAATAATAATAAAAAAAAAAATAAAAAAAAAAAACAAAACAGTTCTTTATACTTATATCACACACGTTTTTTTCAACAATGTTTATTATAGGTAAAACCTTTACAATGAAAGGTACAGGTAAAAAGAACCCAGGTATAATACCATTATCAATTCAAGACGTTTTTACATATATTCAACAAACAGACGAAAGAGAATTTCTTTTAAGAGTATCATATATGGAAATTTATAATGAAGTTATTAACGATTTATTAGCACCAGAAAACATTAATTTGAAAACATATGAAAATTCGACACAAGGTATTTATGTTGGTGGGTTAAAGGAAGAAATTGTTTTATCATTAGATCATGTCATATCATTAATCTCTGCAGGTGAAGCTCATAGACATGTTGTATGTATTTTTAAAGAGATTTTATATACGAATATTAATTTCAAAAACATATTCTAATATTACAATTATTATTAAGGGTTCTACATCATATAATTTGCAAAGTTCTAGATCACATACAATATTTAGAATGATAATCGAAAGTAAAGATGTTAATGCATCAGAAGCTCAACCAGTTAGATTTAGTGTTTTAAATCTTATAGATTTAGCAGGTAGTGAAAAAGCAAGTGAAGGTGTCAATGCAGTTAGAAATAAGGAGGGTTCATATATCAATAAAAGTTTGTTAACACTTGGAACAGTTATCAGTAAACTTAGCGAAAATGCAACAGGACACATTCCATATCGTGACAGTAAACTAACAAGAATTCTTCAAAATTCACTTAGTGGTAATTCAAGAGTGGCCATGATTTGCACAATTACATTAGCATCAAACAATTTCGAAGAGACACACAATACATTAAAGTTTGCAAGTAGAGCTAAAAAGATTGAAAACAATGCACAACGTAATGAAATTATAGATGACAAAGCATTGTTGAAACAATATAGACACGAAATTGCAGAGTTAAAACTAAAACTATCAGAGGCACTAACGACCGAAAAGGATTTAAGCGAATTACAATCCGAAAAAGAAAAGATTAAATCAACAAATGAAGAACTATCTCAAAAACTTTTAGAAGCTGAAAAACACAGAACCCATTTAGAAGCTAAAATTAATAACCTTAATAAATTAATTTTGGTATCAACCTCAATAAACAACAACAATCCAAAGAGTAAATCAGCATTTGTATCACCTAGTCCAAATACATCAGCTGATCATGGTAGTTTGACACCCAGCTCATTTAATAACTTTTTACACTCGATTCACTCACCATCACCAAGCAATAACAACACACCAACAATTAATGGATTATCACATTCACACAGCAATATAGCATTTACTAACAATAATGGTGCAGAGCAACAAGAAATAATACAAATTCAAAGTAAAATGGCGAAATTAGAAATTGAACTCGAGGAAAAAAATAAAAAAATTGAATTTTTGCAAACTTTAAATCAAGATTCAGCTTTAGAGAAAATTAAACAATTGGAAGGTGAAATGGTTCAACGAGACATGGATATTGCCTTATACCAAAAAGAATCAACCAGACTCCAAGACACACTCACTGTGAAAGAAGAAAAAATAAACCTGTTGGAATTAAAACTAAAAGAAATTTTAATCAAATTTAAACAAATGGAATCTGAAAACTCAACCTTAAAAAATAAGGTAAAACAATATGAAGAGGAAATGTATTAAATAAATTATAATAAAAATCTTAATAAAATATTAAACGCAACTAACTGCCAAACATCACCATATTATTAAAAAAAAAAAAAAGAAAAAACTTCATTTTTGCATATCTTTTTTTTTTTTCTTGTTATACTCTTTAACATCAGTATTAACCAACTTTTGTAGCCCCACTACAAATCCTTTCAAATCTCCACCCATTTTATTTTAATAACCATAATGTGTTTTTGCCATTTTTTTATTTTTTTTTAATTTTTAATTTTTAAATTTTTTATTAATAATGGTTTTTTCTTTAGGTTGTAATATTACGAAAATAAGTATTTTCGTATTATATAAAAAAAGTTGGTTTATTTTTTCTAAAAAGATTTTTGTTTATATTATTTAAAAAAATAAAAAAAAAAATAAATAAAAAATAAAAATATTTTAATTTTAAAAAAAAAAGTTAAAAAATAAAAAATAAAAAAAAAAAAAAAAACAATTGTCCACTAACGTCTTGATCAAATGATTAACTGCTGCACTGAAACCATTCAGTACTGTGTTTTTTTTTGAGAGTTTACTACTATTAAGTTTTTTTTTTTTTTTTTTTTTTTTTTTCTTTATGCAACCTATTATTATAAATATTGTTTGTAATACATATATAAAAATTGTGTGTGTGTTTGTGTTTGATTATTTGATTTTTTTTTTTTTAAATTGGGAACAGGGAAATTAAAAATAAAAATTAATTTAAAATAAATAAAATTAAATAGTAATAATAAAATAGTAAAAGTAGTAGTGTAGTATTTTCAAATAATAAAAATAGTATAATAGTTATTATCATTGTCATTATCATCAACAATCATCATCATTTAAAATAATCAATATTTAGATCGGTATATATATTGTCATTAAAGAATTTAGGTTAGTTTATTTTGTATGTTTATCAAATAGGGGGTTGGTTATTTTAATTATTTTAGTTATTTAGTTATTTAGTTATTTTAGTTATTTTAGTTATTTTGGTTATTTTAGTTATTTTGGTTATTTTAGTTATTTTGGGTTTTGATTTGTTTTTTCTTCAATTTAAATGTTGTTGTTTGTTTTGTTTATCACATTTTTGGTTTGTGTGTCCAAAATTTGCGAAATTTATTTAAACAGGAAAAATTTTTAAAAATTTTTTTTTAAAAAAATAAAATTTTTATAATTGGAAATATACAGCGGAACAATAATAATTATGGTTAAAATAGTAATATTACAGCAAAAAAAATATATATTTATCGAATTAATTTCGACATCAATAACAGGATTTTTTTTTTTAAATAAAATATTGTGTGTTCAATATTATTTGTGTAGCTAAAAATAAATACACCAAATGATAGTTATAATAAAACAATAATAATTATAATAATAATAATAACAATAATAAATAGTATATTAATCAGTCCAATTGTGTTTAATTAAATAGAATAATAACAATTTATAGTTGTATTTTTTTTTTATTATTAATTTTTTATAAAAATGTATGTTTGGTGTGATGTGGTGTTTAGTGTGTGTGGCAGTGTGATGTTTTTGATGAATTAAATCAAACGGTTGAATATAATTTTAATTTGTAAAGTGTGGTAAATTGTGGTCAGTTAATTCATTTTTCACACACCCACACAAAAAATACCATAAAAAAATAAAATAAAAATAGATATATCAACTTTTTTTTTTTTTTGATGTTTTTGTTTTATAATTTAATCGTTTATTGTTTCATTATGCTTTTATTTTTATTTTTTTTTTCTTTTTTAATTGTGTTAAGTTTTTTTTTTTCTTTTCTTTTTTTTAATTGTGTTAAGTTTTTTTTTTTAAATTAAATTAAAATTTTTTTATGAAGTTTTTTTTTTTTTATTTATTTTGTTTGTGGTTGTGTTGTTTAGTAGTATTGTAATGTTTGTAGTGTATTGGTTGTAGTTTTAGTTGTATTAAAGGTTAAAAAATATAATAATAATAATAATAATAAATATTAACTTGTAATTAAAATTTTATTTCTTTATTTATTTAGAAATTCTTTAAATATATGTTTTTTAAATCAAAACTTGATGGGTGTATTCGAAGTTAAAATAATAGAAATAAGAAATCTAACAGTTAAAAATGGTAAATATTAATTTTAACAATTTGTTTATTTAATTTTTATTAATTGTTTTTAAAAAACTTTTTTAGGTAATGGTAATAGTCCAAAAAATATTAAATTAAAGATTGGTAATGGTAGAATTGGTAATTGGGTTAAAACCAATTCTAAAGCATTCCATTCAAATGGATCCATACCAGTTAATTGTCAGGTTTCTTTAAAATATAAATCAAAATACCCAAATTTAATCATTAAAATTATAGAGGAAGGTTTTTTAGGGGAGGTGATGGGCGAATGCAAATTAGATATTTCAAATTTATATTACCAATCAATTCATTCAAATATTGAAATACCTTCAAGTTATTACCTATGTATACCGGTTGTACCTACTTTTGGTTTAATTCCAGTATATAGTTATAATAATTACTTAGTACCTAGTTGTAATTTAATACAAATTCAAAATAATCAACAACCATTAAATAGTAATACAAATAATAATAACATTCATAATAATAGTAATAATAATACTTCTTTTGTTCAAACATTAGATAATATTACAACTAGATCATTATCAAAAGAAGAGTTTAATAGCTTTCAAATTTTAAATAATAATAACAACAATAGTATTAGTCCAAATATTTACTATGGAGAAATTCATTTAACCATTGGCTTTAAGAGAAAATCAAACTTATATTCCGATTTATCCTTTGAAACATTAGAACAATATACAGCTAATAATAACAATTATAGCAATAATAATAGTAATATTTTTGAACCAATGGAAGTCGATAGTGTATTACCATTACCACAAAATACAACAGTAACATCAACAGAAAACCAACCAAAAAGAAAAAATTCATTAATTAGAAATTCACAAAAAATAAAAGATGTAATAAAATCAATTAAAAATTCAAATATATCAATAATAAATAATAATATAAATCCATTTTTAAACAGTACCAGTAATTGTAACAATAATATTAATAACAATAATAATAATAGTAATAATATAAATAATAATAATAATTTTTCAAATATTAAATTACCAAATAGCCCTCCATTATTATCACCTTTATTATTATCATCAGTCGAAAATGATAGTAAAGAAAATTATTATTTTTATGACAATCAAGAGCAATATAATCAAGATCACAATAATAAACAACAACAAAATAAATGTATAAAGGAAGAATCAAAATTATATAATGAATTTAATAATTTTTTAATAAAAGAATATTATAAAAATATAAATAATAAATCACTTGTTGATAAATTAAATTTGGTAGTAGTAGAAAGTATTGGCTTTGGTGATAATGGAGATTTAGCAACACCCATTACTATTGGTTGTAAAATTAAAATAGGGTTACAAGATTGCAAAAAAGAAACAGTATTAAAGAGTTCCAATCAGCTTTATTGGAAGCAGTATTTCGAAATACCATTGTCAAGTTCGACTCAAAGATTCTCTCTAAATACCCAGAATTTAGTATTCTATTTCCAAGACTTTTCTTCAGAGCAAAACCTCGTCATTGCCGAGTCCCAAGAGTTAGATTTGTTTCAATTAGAAAGAGATAAAATTTTAGAGCTTTGGTTACCTGTAAATATTAATGACCAAAGATTCACCAGTTCCACAAGTAAAGATGCTAAAATTCATATTCTTTTAAAATATGAAACTGCCTATCTCAATGCCGAGGAAGTTTCAGAACTATTGTTTTTATCGCTGTGCTCAAAAGACAAATATTTACTAGATTCATTGTTGCGTATGAACACTTTAAACCTAAATCAAACATTCAAGGAAAAGAACTCTGACTTTGAAAACCCAACAATTTTAACCAAGGCTTGTAAACAAGGAAACTACAAGGTGGCTAAACAAATTTTAGAATTGGGTGCCTCTGTGAATACTCCAGACTCTGAAGGTTTTACACCAATAATGAAGTGCGTTCAATATGATGGTGTATTACAACCAATTTCAAATAGTTTCCCAATCATAAGATTATTATTAGATTATGGAGCCGATCCAAGAATCAAAAGTAAAAATGGTGACACATTACTTAGTTTATGTAATAGTTGGAGAATGAGAGAGTTCCTACAAACTACAATCGAAAATCAATTCTATCAAATTAAATACAACCATTGTTCCAAGTGTCAGTTTATAGAATTCCCAATATGTTTTGAAAAAATGGTGAAAACTCTTAGATCTGGTAATTGCCGTTGTAAACCAACTCATTTCTGTATCAATTGTAACAATCCATTAAAAGAGGGAGAGGAAAAGCTGGGTTTTGTTTCACAGTTTGAATTATCATTAGTTTTCGACCAACAGCAACTACAAATGCATAACAAATATCAACAGCAAAAGAGTCAAGCATCATCATTTGATTATTGGAAATTAACAAATTCATATATTCAGCACTGCCCAATTTGCAAATCATTTGGTTTTAACGCTATTGGTTTTGATTCTTTCGTTTGTAATATAAATAATAATAATGGTTCATATTGCTTTGAAGAGTTTAAACACCGCCCTATTCAAGATCATGCTTTATTACATTTGGCTAATTGCACCATTCCAGATTTAAAATTTTCAAAAGTACTATACAACTCTATTCAAATAGATAATCTATTGTATTATTTATCAAAGAAATCAATTTTCAATCAATATAGCAATTTCAAATCTTCATATAATAATAATTACACTCTTAGTAATAGTAGTAATAATAATTTTGGTTGTAATTATTCATCAGCTTTAAATAGTATCAACAATGACAATATATCAATTAATAATTTACCACAAGAGATAGTTCAATATATAATTAGCCAATTAAATGATTTCAATGATATTAAAAATTGTAGTTTGGTATCTTTCAATTGGTATATAATTTGCTCTGATCAAATATTTTGGAAATTAAAAGTTTCTAAATCATTTGGAAAAGATTTATTGCTCTATAATAATATTCATATTTTATTAAAAGATTATAATAGTATGGATGATTGTGGCGACAATCAATTAAAAATTAAAAATAACAATAACAATAATAATATTAGAAATGAAATAACTTTAAAAAACCATTACTATAAAAAATTATGGTTACACATTAATATTCTTTCTCGATGGGTTAGAAATTTATTATTAGAAGAATCATTTAAACCAAGATTTACAATGAAGGTTATCCCAAATACCTGTAGTCTATTAGTAGAGCTAACTTTAACCGCAACAAAATATCTCTTTAACAAGGATGGTGTCTCTTTCAATTTCGATAATAAATTTAAATTATTATTAGAATTCTCAAAACAACAATCAATAGAAAGTATTAAAATAGAAGCATTGGACCAAACCCCATCTATAATACATGACCTTTGTAACTTATTGCAAATCCCAACCAATTTAAAAGTCTCAATGGAAGAATTGGAAAATCATAATGGTACCGTTTCATTATTTTTAACGTTACAAACCAAAGCAATTAAAAAATGGATCAATTCATATCTCAGCCATGCTATACCAGGTCTTCATTCATTTTTAATGATAAGAGATGATGTAGGAGGAAGTATTATATTAGATTTTTACTATTATGATATTGAAAATTTAGTTTTAAATCCACCTCCACAAGAAAAACAAAATATTAATAATAGAACAAATAGTTCATTATTAAATAATGTCGAAAATCAAATAAATTTAATAAATTTAAGTTAAATTTAAATAATTATTTATTTATTATTTAAAAAAAAATATATTTTATAAAGTTTTTTTTATTAATTCATTCTATTAATTTATTTTTATTTATTTAAAATGATTTGGATATTAATAATTGAGGTTTCATCCATGTTATATTTTCAGAGACAAACAATTGTAGGTAAACTGTTACGGTCTTTTATATTTTCTATTTATCGAAAGTTCAAAGAATGAAATTTTAATTGGTATACCAGTTAAAAGAAATTAAAATCAATATTTTGAATCAAATAGAAAAATTTATTGAAGAATTAAAACATAGGTAATGCGCTAATAATATATAATATATCAGAAGAAAATAAACTTTTTTTAATAAAAATGATTTTTATTTATTTTGTCATTGTCACAATTTTTGCTTTTTCCAGATGATTCTTCTTTCTATTTAAATTATTTACTTTATTATGGAACCTTTTGGAATATCTTTTCTTTTTTTTTAAATAAGGAATATCAAGGTCTAACAAATTGATAACAAACAAATCATAATGTTTTTATTTTCGTTGTGTTTGTATATATCCCTGGAGAGGTAAATCATACAATAGTCACATTGTTGAACCAGAAAAACCAGTTCCATATCCAAAAGAACCATCAACAGAAATACAGGTTCCAAATGATAATATCAAAACACTCTTTACAAATCATTGATATCACTTGTATCATTAAGAGAACTCGACTATAAAGGTACTGTCATTAAAACCCATCCATTTGATCAAACATGGCAATATAGCGAAATAACAAAACTAAAAAGTAATTATTTAAAGAACCTAACAACATCTGCCGATATAAACACAACAATATCAACAACATTAGAGTGGTTTAATGAAACAAAAGCTACAAGTTTTGCAGGTCAAGATTTCGAAATCTATACAAATTCAATAAAATTTTCAATTGAAATTTCAAAATATCCATTTGTAAACCCACTTAATTCACTTCAATTAATCATGTCAGCACATTTTCATCAAACTCATCAGACTCTTGCTCATTTAGAGAATATGGCAATACAACATCAGGTGATAATTCAAATTATATAAAAGTTCGATAATAAATCACTCTATAGCAGATTAATCAAAAGAGGTATCATAAATGACAACAAAATTGTATCACTCTCAAATATATTATTTGATTCATCAATGAACAGGATATAATCACAATCAGAATCACAATCATACCTTGGTATTATAATTCCACAATTTTCAAAGAATGCTATAAATTATAATAATGATAAAAAAAAAAAAAAAAAAAAATAATCATACACACTCTGTATATTATTGTTAAATATAAATCAATAGAAATTTTGAAAAATAATTAAAAATACAATTATCTATTTATAAATATTTTTACTCATTAAATAAATAATTTTATATATTTTTTTTTTATCCGTTATTTTTATAAATTTATATCTCAATATATTATTTTGAATAAACAGAAATTATTTTTTAAAATTTTTTTTTAATATTTATTCCAATATTTTCAACATCATTTCAATTTACTAATTTTTTTTTTTTTTAATATTTAAATGAAGAATCGAATTTTTTTTTTTATTTTTATCCTTTATTAAATTTTATTCAAGTACTGTACTCACTCTTGAAAGTTGGCATAAAAAATTTAAAAATCCAAACTAATTATTTATTTCCTTTTAAAGATTTTACCTTCTGTTTATTATTCCCTGTTTAATACATATATTTTTATATACTTTAAATCTTATATTATGTTACTTCTTTTGTAACATGTTAATTAGCTATTAAATAAAATAATCAGTCATGATTAATATTTTCCATACCTAATAGTCTCACAACACTCACATTCGGTCATGATTTTAACCAAGTAGTTCTACCGGCACGTTACCAAATAATCTAAAAAATTAAATTATAAAAAATTTAAAATTAAAAAAAAAATAAAATTTTTTTTTAAAAATTAAAAATTAATAAATTTATAAAACGTTACTTATAATTATATTATTAATAATATGTTAGAATCCGAGATATCTAACACTACTACTAAAAATTATAGTTATTTGGATCACATGGAAGAATTTATTTTTACAAAAATTATTATGCTTTTAAGAATATGTACCTGCAATCACCAGTTTTATTAATCAAAATTACCTCCACATTTATTTATGTGTTTTGTAATAGCTGATGGAGTATAGGTAAAAAAAAATAAAGAATTTTAATTTTCAAAATTAACAATGGTATTTTTTATTTCTTTTTTTAACCCATTAATGATTTAGCAACAAATAAATAACAATCTTTGATTTATTCTATTAAATAAAGATCTTCATCCCTTTCTTTGGCCTAATGATAAATAAATAAAAGATTAGTAAAATATTTATTTATACCAGAATAAAAGAAAATTTTATAATACTTACTTTTCTTAAATCATCTATGGTGATTACTTTGTCATTATTGGTATCCAAAATTTGGAAGAAAACTCTGGTCATGTTTTCACAACTAAAATAACCGATTGATGGGTCTTTTTTGAAGACATTAAATGTTTCCTCCCAAGTGATTTTACCATCCTAATACGATTATAAAACTTAAGTAAACATAAAAAAGATTAAGTATTTAATATTTTTAGAACTTACTTTGTTGCCATCAAATTCATTTAACAAGTTATCATAGTTTCTATTTATAATTTCAGAACATAGATTCAAATCATCAAAAAATTTTTGAATATCAAAGTCTTTTTTAGAAATTGTTTCATTACGGTCCTTATCCAATGATGAAAATAGACAATCTGAAAGAGTTTCTGGATCTTTACAATTTTCCAAACTCTTAAAATAGGAAAAACATTGATCATATGTAATTTGTTGGTCTTTATTTTTTTTAAAAAAATCTTCTATCATTTCTTTCTAAAGCAAATAAAGATTTTAAAAAATTCAAATTAGTAATTGTTATAATCATTTTGATTATAAATTATTACACTTACTACTTTTTTTATATTAGGATCTTCACTGGAGATATATTTTATTAACATATTTAAATTTTTTATTCTATTACAAAGTAATTTATTTTAATGAATGAATAAAAAAAAAAAAAAAAATTAAAATTAATTTATATTAAAAAAAAAATAAAAATTTTAATTAAATAAAAAAACAATTTAATATTTAGGAAAATTACTCTGCAAATTCCTAACAGTTTTTAAAATTATAAATTACAAATTGTAAACCTCATTTATCTTTTGACTCCTCTTTTATAAATTTAATATAACATAAATTTTAATGATGGTGGGAAAACAGTTTGTTTTTTTTTGAAATAAATATTTTTATTGGTAAAAACTGCTTTTTTTTATGGGGAAATATTGTTGGGGAAATTATATTTTTTTTGAATATTATTTTATTTAATAATACTGATAGATAACTGATATTAAGAAAAAAAATTAATTTATATTTAATTTCAAAAAAAAAAAATTTTATAAAAAGTAATTTATCATTTTTTAAAAGTTAAGGAAACATGCAAATTAATTAACCCCCTCAAAGGTGATTAAAAATCTTCTTTTAATTATTTTTTTTAATTTTCTTTATTTTTTTTTTTTAATTTTTTTTAAATTTTGAATTTTATTTTCCTTTCAAAAACCTTCACAAAACCACAAAACAATATTGAATAGTCTAATATTTCACTTGTTTTGTTGCTTATATTGACACCTCTTTAATAATAAAATGACAATATTATATTTCAAAAAAAAAAACATAAAAATAAATCATATTTTTATTTAAAAAAAACATTATAATACCAAACATTATTGTTTTTATTTTTTCAAGCATCACCATTAATCTAAAAATATAATTAAACCTCAACAAATCCAAAATCAAAAGAAAAAGTAGAATTATTTTTTACTATTATTTTTTTTTTAAAAAAAACATATTATTCTACATTTTTTAAATTAGTTCTATAAATAGACCCAAAAAAAAACTAGATTGCACCAACACTAGGTTTTACAAGCATGCTTTTTAATCTCTCATTTTTCTTTTTTTTTTTTTTTTAAAAGTAAAGTTTTTTTCATTCTGAATAATATTAATAATAATCATTTTTTCTTAAAATAATAAAACCTTTGTATATTTTCAATTTTAAAAAAAAAATAATAAATGCACAGTTTTTTTTTTTTTTTAAAAAAATATTTTATTAAATAAACTCCTTGTTTCTTTATATTTCTCTTCATTTTAATTTCTTTTAATGGTTTTTCAATAATTCTCTTCTTTGGCATCCTATGTGAATAGATGGGTACTGGTACAAAGCACACCAAAAACAAACACAATAAATAAAAATGATGACTTAATGCATCACCAAAAATCGTCTTCGCTTTTGAAAAAGAAAGAAAAAAAATGAATTTAGAATTTTATAGTACAAGAAAAAACTAAATATTAGTTTTTTTATTATATTTTATTTAAGTTTTACTAAATAAATTTATTTGTGATTATTAAACAGATTTCTTTTTTTTTTTTTTTTTTCTTTTTTTTTTTCTTTTTTTGTTTCTTTTTTTGTTTCTTTTTTTGTTTCTTTTTTTTAATTAAAATTCTTTGATGAATAATAAAAAGAATGAAATTTATTAAAATTAAAAACATTGGTGGATAGAGAGCAATATTTCTTTGTAATTTGTTGTTTGTTCATTAATTGATCAACATAAACTAATGTTGAGTTCATAAAATTTCCTGCATCTTGGGGGTGATATAAAGGGTGGCACCTTTGAGAACTTGGGCTTTGGTTTTAGCTAATTCAATTTCAGCAAGAATTGGATATTTAGTGAATATTTCACCTTGCATTTCCTGAGATTTTCTTTGAGCATCTGTCGCAATGAGTAAAGCTTCAACTTTTTTTTGGGAAAATTGAGGTTTAGCTTGTGATTCGACAATGACGGCTTGATTCTTTTGGACTAAAGCAATGTTATCGGTTTCAGCTTAAGACAAGCCTCAGTGGTTTTAATGTCGTACTCTTTGACTATGGTTGCTTGTTTGGTTGTGTATTCAGCTGAAGTGACGGATTGACCTGCTAGTTTCTGGCGATTTCAGTATCTAAAACCCTCATGGTTTCGATTTGAAGACGTTGGAGTTCAACACCAAATTCTAATAAATCACGAGAAAGATTTCTTTTAACACAATCTTTGATGGTTTGAACATTGTCATCGATTGGACCACCTGGTTTGGTTTGGTTAAAGTAAATAACCTTTTGTAGAGTTTTTTAATTGATTTACCAATATCTGCAAATGAAACATTTTCAATATGATTGATAATACCTTCTTTTCCTAATTTAGTAATGGCAAATTCTGGGTCAACAATTTTAAAAACAACAACTAATACAACACCAACACGAAGTGAATCACGAGTTTGGAAAAACTTGAGGTTAATTTCATCTGAAGTTGCAGCTTTGTTGTCTAATAAACTTTGATATTTGGTTTCTTTTGATGGGAAAGGACAAGTTTGGAGGTTAGTACTGATGAGACCTTCAAAATTGTGGGTCGGGGAATCGATGAAAACTGGTTTGTCATCTTTTGGTGGTGAGATAATTGTAAGGATACCATTATTATAGGTGATTGCAACTTCACCAGTATGTGGAATGATACGTTTGATTGAACCATGTTCGATAAAAGTATCTGATGAATTGAGGAAGTTCCGAACCGTACCGGTTCAAGGTCTTTATCTATTGGAGGGGGTGTGCTTGAAAAGGTCAAAATCGCGATTATCATTTTGTTTGTTTTTATCTCTTTCTCTTTCTTTTTCATTTTCTTTCTTTACCCTTTCTTCTTTACCAATATTTCTTGTTTCTTCTGGGGAAAAAAATTTAATTTATTTTTAGAAAAAAAGGGGTTTCTAAGTTTGGGGTCAAATAGTTCCATTTTTAAAGTCAATTTCAAAATTTTATTTTTTTTTTATTTTTCTAAGTTTTAAAAAAAAAAAAAAAAAGCTTTTAATTTAAAAGGTGTTTAAAAATCAATACTTCATAAATATTGAATCTTTGTTTAATGGATCTATTGATTATTTTTTTTTATGTGCATTATTATAACTATATACCCCAAAATTATATTCAATTAATTAAAATATTCTCCCCTCAAATTCCTTTTTTAAAAAATATATAATATTAAGATTGATGAATGAGGGATATATTAAACAAATAAAAAAAAACAAAAAAAATTTTATTTATCTAAAAAAGTTATAAAAATAAGGACTATGTAATCATTGGCTTTTTTTTTATCTAATATAATTTATATTAGTTTCAATATTATTTAAAGTTTATTTTAAATTTTATTTTAAATTTAATTTAATTTTAATTTTCGGAGGCATTTGTTTCTTCTTTTGGTTGTTCTTTAATTTCTTTGGATGGTTCAGTTGTATTATCTTGATCTTTTTTTTCTTCATTGTTGCCAGTATCCTTATCAAATTTCTTAATATTTGTCATATGTTCTTTTCTTTCACGTCTTGTGAATTTTTTATCATCTCTTTGCTTTGGTCTTTTTGGTGGGGCTGGTGGTGGATTTTCAATAATTTTGTGTAAAATTTCATAAGGCAATGGATGTGGGTCAAGTTTAGTTTCGATCCACTCTGAAAATTCACGTTTTGTGGCTTCAAGTGATGCAATTTCACCAAAAACAACTTTTCTAAATTGTTCAACATCGTCCTATAATTAAAAATTTAATAAAATAAAAAAAAAAGTAAATAAGGTATTCAGTAATATTAAAATAAATTAAATGATGATACATACATTTTCGACCATTAATTCACCATGAATATCTTTATATTTTTCATTCCACATTCTAAAAATACAATGATCCAAAAGTAAACCTGCACCTGGAGCAACTGGTAAATTGAGTGGTTGATGATAAAAGGTGGCCTCAATATATTTACGAATTTGATCAAATGCAGATTCTTTATCTTGAGCGTCTTGGAAGATACCTTTTCTCATGAATGACATTAAACAGCCAATCATTTTTCTAATTTGATGGAGCATAAAGCTTTCACCAATTACATTAATTGATACCATTTCAACACCTTCTAAAATGAATGGTACGGAACATTCAAATTTAATTATCTTTCTGAATACTGAAACATCATTGGACTCTTTACGACTTGTATAGTTGTGGAAACGGTGATTACCTAAATAATATGATAAGACTCTGTTGAGGGTTTCACGAGTTTCTTCGGTAAATTTAAATGGTTCTACTAACTTGTTTGTGGCGAATTTAGGTTCGAATGCACTAGTTGGACAAACATAGACATATGATCTTGCATCGACGCCATTCTTTGCATGGAATGAATTGTTTACTCTCATAATTTTAAATACATGGATATCTTCTGGCAAAAGTTTATTTAATGCTTTAACCATTTCGTCAAGTTCTGGTGGTCCTACTTCCATTTTTAATGATACTACATTTCTTAATGCTGATACACCTTTATCTGTTCTTGCACAACGAACCCAATCAATTTTATGTTGGAAATATAAATTATCTGGTAAAATACCACCTGCTTTAAAAATTGCCATTTCTAATTCTTCTTCAATAGTTCTTAAACCTGGATTTCTTTATTATATAATAGCTATATTAGTATTTGTATTGAAAAAGATATATCTAGATTTATTTTATAATATTTAACATACTTTTGCATACCAGCATAGTTTTTACCTAAATAACCTAAAAGAACTGCAACTTTTTTCTTTCTTGATGCTTCTGTTGTAAGTTTGGTTTTATTTTGAATCTCAGTTAATTGTTCTTTTGATAATTTTTGTGGTCTATCGTGACTTCCTTTCTTTGCGGTTGGACCATGAACAACTTGACTTGTTAAAAGTATCTCTTCACCTTGATTTTGATTACGTTTATCTAATTCTTCTTCATCAACTTCTTCATCCTCTTCCATTTCATTGTTTGATTCTGAAACTGCATTTGTGGTGGTGGTGGTATTGGTAGCTGTATTATTCTCTAAAGTAGTAGTTGTACTGGTACTTTCTTCGTCTGTTTTAATTTTCTTTAAATCTTTTTCATTTTCGTCATTTACTTGATCTAAAGCTCTTTTGTTATTTTCATTTTCCATTTTAAAAATAAAACTAAATAATATAATATGTATATATAACTATTATTTTATTTAATCTTTGGATTATGTGTATAATGAAAATTAAAACAAATTTAAAATAAAAAAAATAAAAAAATTAAAAAAACGAAAAAAATAAAAAATTTAAAAAAAAAAAAAAAATTAAAAATTTAAATTTTATTATTTTAATTGTACAATTATAAACTATTATGTCAAAATATAATATAATATGCAATCAATATAAAAATTATATTGGTAAAAACTCAATTGATCATTTAAAGCAACTAGTTGAGATCAATAAAGTAAACAATACATCGATACCATGCATATTGCTTGGCGGGACACAATTAACTGGGAAATCAACATTAGGTAAAAACCTTGCAAAACATTATGGTGGGGGTCACTTTTATTCAGTGGGTGGATTTTTTAGAGAAGCTGCCCAATCAATAGGACTCACTATTGCAGAGCAATCAAGATTACTTAGAATAGTCCAAGAAAATTTAGATCAAAACTCTGTAGACGATGCATTAAAACGTTTGGGTGGAAGAAGAATGGATATCGAAATGGATTATAAAACATGTGAAATTATTGCTGGAGGTGATAAAAATAGCCAACAATTATATAAATATTTAGTGATCGAAGGTAGACAACCTGCAATTATGGGAACCCTATTGGAATCACTAGGCAGAGAAGATTTAATTAAAATATATGTTACTTGCAGTGCACGTGAAAGAGCCATCAGATTTATTAGCAGAGAAATTGGTGAAGAATATGCCCAACAAGCCGACAAATACCTTTCAAACAATTACAAATCGGATGAATCTCTCTCAAGCTTAACAAATGAAATTTCAAAACTACCAATACCATCCATCAAAAGCATAGCTGAAGCATTCCAAAAGAACCAAAACAGAGACGAAGATGATAGAAAAAGATATATGTAAATATTTTAAATTTACCCTAATTATTATATTATATACTAATTTATTATTTATTTTTAAAAGTGATTTATATGGATTAGATTATGAAGATATATCTTATTATGATATTTGCATCGATACTACAGGAAATACAGCAGAAACCAATTTTAAAAAGGCTACTGAATATATTGATAGATACGATTTTAAAAATAGAATAAATAAAAATAATATGTAAAAATAAATAAATAATAGTTTTTAATTTTATTCGACAATTATATAATGTGTATGTTTTTATATTATTATTACACTACACAATATATTATATTATTTATTTTATTTTATTTTATAGTGTTATGAGTTTATATTTGTTTTTGATAGTTTATTTTTACTATTTTTAAATGCCATTGAATTGGAAATAATTTTAAAGCTTCTTCTATTTAATCTAAATACTTTGTAGATGTAGTCTCTGATTTCTAAACGTCTGGGTATTGAAAATACAATGAGTGATGATGCTAACCAGTTTAGTGCGTTCGATAGATAGAATATAGGTTGAATTGGATGATAATAACTGTTAATAACCAACAATGTATCTACTATTCCAAATGTGGTTGCTCCTAAAACACAAAACCATAATAATATTCTAGAAGGGTTGGTACCTGGAAAAGAACTTGTTAGTGATAATGCTCTCCATACCATTGTAGCTTCAATAAATCCATATGTGCAAATTAATGTAAAATGAACTGGGTCCATATCCTCTAACTCTTCTGATGATGTCGATGATGCATCTGCTGATGATGATTTTAATGATGCTGTATTATCATTATTGCTATTATATATTCGATTTAAATCATTTAACCTAAAATCTATATTTAATTTATCAATGTGATTATCCTGTTCTAATAGCTTTATCGAGGTACTGCTATCAATCAATGATGGTGTTGATATTGATATTGCTGATTTATCATAAAATACATTGATTGATGGTAATGGACTAAAACTATTTCTATGCATATAGGGTGCAATTGATTTTGAGAATACTATTAACATTACCAAAGCAACTGCATATACATAAAAAGGTATAGAGTGAAATATACGAGGTTTGATTTTTTTTCCAATGCCTATAATAAATGCTATAGTATATAATAACCTTGATAATAAATAAAATATGAATGAAAATAAATATAATAGTTCGTTGATTAATATTTGCTGTGATTTACCAGCACCACTTCCACTATCGCCACTTATACCAGGATCATCCTCACTTGAAATACTTCCTTCACTACCATTTGTACTTTGAATGTTAATTTGAATCGAATAAATACAGTCACCAATAATATTTAAAACCAATGCTATTGCGATGAATACACTATATTTTCTTGTTTTTTTGTCATTTAAACCATACAGCGGTATGATGAATAATAATGGGACCAAAACCAATGGTCTTGTTATTATAAATAAATAATGTACAGTGTTTCTTTTGTCAGTACCATTAATTTCGTTAGTGTCCAAAAATCTATACTCTATAAAATATGCTGTTGTTAAAAGAAGGAAAACAACTACTAATATGATTACTAATAAACCTCTGAAAAATGTTAAAGGTAAATTGGGTGATACCAGGTTCTCTACTAATACCGGATACCTTTCATTAAATGGACCTTCTGTTTTATATATTATATTTTTATCATATGAATGATTCATACTATTATTTAAAACTATATTATTTATATTTTCATTATGTGGATTTAAGTTTAAAAATATTTCATTATTATCATTGTTATCATTGTTATCATTGGTTGTTTTTATTATTGTTGTTTTTGAAATTTTTAAATTATTATTATTATTATTATTATTATTATTATTATTATTATTATTATTATTATTATTATTATTATTATTATTATGTATGGTTTCTTCTTTACTATTATCTTGTAAAAGTGGTTTTATAGTTGTATTTTCCCATTCTCCTTCTTCTTCATCATCACTAAGACTATATTGTTGTTTCTCTATATCTGATGACATTTCTTATTTCTGTGATTATTATTGATAATAATTAACCTGCATTTAATAAATTATGCTATATTCATTTATTATTATTATTATTATTATTATTACTATTATTATTATTATTATTAATTTTATCTAATATTCAAAATGACAAAAAAAAAAAATAAAAAAATAAAAAATAAAAAAAAAAAAATAAAATTAAAAAAATGAATAAATGGTAAAAATAAAAAAATAAAAATTTAAAAATTTAAAAAAATAAAAAAAATAAAATATCTGGAGTGTGTGAATTTTTATTTGTATTTAGAAATAATATTAATATTTATTATTAATTATTATAATTTTCGTTTTATTATAAATTAATTATATCTATTTTTTTAATATCTTTGGTGATTTTTAAATATGAATATTTTTTGAATAAGATAATTTAATTTTTAATTTTTAAATTTGATTTCTATAAAAGGTTTTATCTATGGCATCACATTTTGAATCATTTGTTGTGATGTCTCTTATTGTTGAATTAATATCAATAATTAAAGTTGAATTTCTGGTTTTGGTAACTTGGGTCCATTCGACTGGTATAAAAAGACCCTTGTTTGGGTTGTGATTGGTTGCAAAATTGACTATATAACTATTGAGATGAATTCCTAACTCTCTTTCGTCCTGATTCAGGTTTTCTCTGGTTAGATTATAACTGTTGAAGAATATTGAAAGCTCTGAGCCATGACACACTTTACCATCGCAGTGTTCCAAGGTGTCACCGTTTGGTTTTATATGAACATATTGGTAATGATACACTGGTGACTTATGATTAGCAACCTAAAATTGATTTATAAAAATAAAAAAATAAAAAATATATTAGTATACCCTAATAAATTAATAAATTGTTGACATTATTTACAATTCTATTAAGATAATATCTATCTTGACAACGGAATAAATAATCTGTTAATAATTGAGAAAGTATTGGTCTATTATCTTGTTCAGTTGGTCCAGCTGGATATATTGAGAGAATGTTTAAATATTGTGATGGAAATACACCTCTGATAAGGTATTTATATTCTTCAGATTTGAGTACTTTTCTTGAAAATGCATAAACAAATGGAACCGCTTCGTCTTTAACACTTCCAATAATTAATGGAACATCATAAGCCTCTCCATCCCTGGCTGCTACTAAAGGTTGGGTGGGAATAATATCGCCATCAATAACTGGGGACCAAATAGTAAAAGTGTCAAGTGGGTCTAACAATGTGTATGCAACGGACACTTGAGCATTCAAGACCTGATCCATTGTTTTATTACGAAGGCAATCCAAATCGTCGATATTACATGATATGTTTTGAGAAAATATCTGAGCAAATTTTTTAGCTGAAACTTTATCTTTAAGACCAACAGTTAAGGGTGATGAAAATGAAATTGCAGCATTAAAATATGGTCTTGAGTATTTTGAAGTTAAATGTGTGGCAACACTAAAAGCACCAGCTGATTCACCCCATAGAGTTACCATATTTTTGTTTCCACCAAATGCGCCAATATTTTTATTTACCCACTCCAATGCTTTAACTTGATCTAAAAAACCAAAATTTCCATGCAATAAATCCTAAAATAGATAATATCAATAAGTATAAAATGATTTTTTTATCGCTATTCAAACCTAGACTAGTTTAATTTAACATACTGTTCCTAAGAAACCAAATGTACCTAACCTATAATTAATATTAACCAAGATAACATTAGATTGGGACAATTTTGTACCATCATAAATTGGAAAAGAACCAGAACCTAAAAACCAAACTATTAGTTAATTATTCAATAAAACTGCTTTTTTTGTTATAGATGTTGCACTTACCAAAAGAAAAGGCACCACCTGGAATGAAAACAACAACTGGGTATTTTGTATTTGGATTAGAATCTTTTGGTGCAAACACGTCTAAATATAGACAGTCTTCAGACACACCAATATATAAGCAAGCCTCTGGACCAAGATTACATATTTGAGCACATTCTGGTGTTTGTTTAGTAGCATCCCTAATATTTGGCCATGGCATTGGGTCGACTGGGTCCCTCCATCTTAGTTCACCAGTTGGTGGTTGTGCGAATGGAATACCATAGAAGACACGATTGGTATCATGAACAATGCCTTGAATAGATCCAAACTCTGTGTGCACTATTGATTCATTACCTCTTGATTTGCTCTTTGCTAATACTATATTTAAAAATAAAAAAAATAATCCTATTAATAAAATTTTAGTCATTCTTTTTTTTATTTATTAAATTAACAACTTTTTTTAAAATAGTTTAAATTTATACTTTTTTTTCTTTTAATAAAATAAAAAAAAATAATATGAATAAAATAAAAATATTGTAATATTACCTTTTAAAGAAATTCTTTTAAAGAAAAAACAAAAAGTTCTTTGATAATTCGCATTTGTGTTTAAAATAATAATAATTAATTAATTTTAGTAATAGTGTATACTATTTCATTCTTGTAAATCAACTGTTTATATTTAAATGTAAGAAATATATAAAACTATATTTAAAAAACTAAAAATCAAAACAATTGAATTTTTAATAAATATTTTTCTAAAAAATTAAGAGATGGGGGAAAAAAAAAAATATTAAATAAAATTTAATTTAATAAATAAAAAATAAATAAAAAATGAAAAAGAAAAATAATTTTATTTTTAAATTTTATTTTTTTTTTTTTTTTTTTTTTAAATTTTTTAAATTTTTAAAAAAAATCATTTCGATAGACAAATAAAGCCACGAGAGTGTTTTATATTTTTTTATATTAAAAAACTAAATAACTATAATCAGGTCAACAAACTATTATTATTATTATTATTACAATTGTTCAAATTTTAAATATAAAACAAATAATAAAAACAAATAATATAGTGTTAATATTCAAAATTTAATTTAAATTAAATTAAATCAAATAAAAATAATATAAAATATATATATATAAATATAATAAATTAAAATGGATTCAATTAAAAGTTTATTAGGTGATAAACAACCAGAAAAAGAGCCATCAGTATGGGATGATTTAAATAATCAATGCTCACTTACATTTACACAAAGAGTTATTGGTTTTGGTATTTGTGCTGGTTTAGGTTTACTTTTTGCATTTTTGGTAGGTATTAAAACTATGTCTAATAACTAATTTCTAGAAACCACCTATTAACATTGTATTTATAATTTTTTTTATAGTCTTTTATTTTCATATTATCACCAACATCATTTGCTTTTCTTTTTACAGTTGGTGATATTTTAATGGTTTTAGCGTAAGTAATTTTATTAATACAGATTATAGATTATAGAATATAAGTTATAGATTATAGATTGCGGTATAGGAAATGAAACTAATAATATCATTACAACTCAATTGGTTATTTAATTTATTATAGCACTGGTTTTATTGTTGGTCCAGTTAAACAATTTAAAAACATGATGGAACCACATCGTTTAATCTGTGCTATTGTTTTCATTGCTTCAATGGCTCTTACTTTAACTGCAGTTTTCTTAGGCTGGAGCTTTATCATTGTTATTTTCTTTATTATTTTACAAATCTGTGCTTTATTATAGTAAGTATTAATATAGTGATGCACCATAATAATATCTCTGATATTTTATTTATATGTATTAACCACCTCATTTAATTTTTAATTATAGCTACACATTCAGTTATATTCCATACGGAAGACAATGTTTAAGAGGACTTTGTTCAGGAGTTGCATCTGTATAAATTTAATTAAAGAATGAAAATAAAATAGTTTAAAAATAAAATAAAATAATAATCGATTTATTTAAAGAAAATAATAATATTAAATATATAACAAATAATAAAACCATTTATTTTTTAAATATAGGGCGCGTTTAATTTTAATAAAAGTTTTAGTTTATTTTTTTTTTATTTTCTTGTTCTTGTTCTTGTTCTTGTTCTTTCTTTGCATCCTCTAATTCTTTTTCAATTCTTTCTAATTCTAAATCTAAAACTTTTGAAGTCTCTTCTAAATTTTTGTTATAACGATTTTCATAGAATATTTGATCTTGTTCTTGTTTTTGTTCTTCCTTTGCAACCTCTAATTCTTTTTCAATTCTTGCTAATTCTGAATCTAAAACTTTTGAAGCCTCTTCTAAATCTTCGCTAGTACCCTCTTCAAAAAACTTAGCATACTCTTCTTGTTCAATAGTTCTATGTTTTTTCTTGTTTTCTTCACCAGATAAAATGTATTTAAATTCCTCTTCATTATGAAGAATACCACCACTTTCAAAAAAGAAAAGTGCACCATTATCTAATAATACATAGGGTGCTCTGTGTTCGTTTACTTTTGATTGTTGAATATCTGCAATTGGAATCTTTAATACATCTAGTTTTGGATTTACATGTACCAATCTAATGTATTCTGATCCTGGTTCTCTATAAACTCTAATTGCGAAACATGATCCTAATTTCTCACCAATAAATTTAAATGAAACACCCCAACATGAAAACAATGCTAATAATACAATAGTTTTAAGCTACAATAAATAACACCATTAGTAAATTTTATTTACTTGTTTATTTATCTATTTAGATACATACTGAAAGTTCATTGTAGTAAGCAATAAGGGGTGCTGAAACACAAATAGCAGCTTGGAATGTTAATGATGGTCTTAAAAGTTTAAGTAATAATTCTTTATTTGATTGATAAACCAAATGCTCTGGATTTAAATCTGTTAATTTTTCACCTGTTTTATAAATACCCAAATCAATTGATAAAGCAGTTGTTGGTTTAGCAATTTCTGGTAATGGGTTGAATTCTTCTATTTGTTGTTTTTGTTCTTGTTCTTGTGGTTTTTGTTGGGTGGAATATAATCTGATATTATTATTATTTGAAAATGTACATTTTTTTTGTGTGAGTGGTAATTTAAAACTATTTTTATTTAATGTTGAAAAACTTCTTTTATTAATATTAAAAAGTAATGGTGAAATCTTGCTGAATCTATTCATTTTCTTTAAATAATAAATAATAAATCAAAATAAATAAATGACAAAAATATTAAAAAAAAAAAATTTTAAAAAAACGAAAAAAAAAAAAAAATAAATAAAAAAAAAAAAATTTCATCACAATTTGGTAATAATGGATAGTGATTTATATTTCAATGAAAAATAAAATAAATAATTGATTTGGAGATATTATTTTTGTTTATGTGTACAATCAACTATAAATAAAATATTATAGTTGAGTTTTTCGTAAATTTTTATTTAAATTGTATATATATGTAATAATTTTAAAAAATTGAATTTGGTTGTTATGATTTGTTTAGTATTGATTTGTATTGTTAGGTGTTTTGTTTTTTTTTTTTGTTTTGGTTTAATTTTTAATTAATTTAATTAATTTTAAATTTAATTGTTTTTTTTTTTTTGATATTTATATATTTGAAATAGTGTTTAAATTGAAAGTTCATCTACACTCCAATCTTCGTACATTCCATTTGGGAGATATCTATAGAGATAAAAATTATTAGTATAAAGATTTATTATTATTATTATTATTATTATTATTATTATTATTATTATTATTATTATTATTATTATTATTATTATATAAAGATAAACATTAATATATACCTTCTAATAATTAAAGGGATTTTCTTTGCTCTTAATTCTTTCCAAGCGATTTGTAATGGATCGGTTTCACCTTCTAATTCGACCATAATTGGTGCATTCATTGAAATTTGTAAAGCTCTTGAACCTAATAATCTAGCTCTTTCGTATTTAGTCATATATCTAGTTGTTCTTCTAAGATGATTTGGAATTTTACCTGCTTCTGCACTATTTTCTTGGTTTGGATCTACAATATCTGTATAGGCTTCTTGTTGGTTCTCTTCTTCGATATATTCATCTTCATAACCGGCATCTTCAAAATCTTCAAAGCCAGCATCTTCACCATCATAATCAGCCATTTTTATTTAATATATATGTATTGTTGTTTATATTGAAAAAGAAGGTAATGGGTATAGATTTATTAAATTATTAATTAAAAAAAAAAAAAAAAACTATATACAAATTTCGTAATCGTTTTTAAAACAAATGAAAAAATTAAAAAAAAAAAAAATTTTAAAAATAAAAAAATTTTTTAAAAATTTAAAAAAAAATTAAAAAAAAAAAAATAAAAAAAAAAATAAAAAAAAGATAACTGAAAAAATTTTTAAATGTATTTTTAGTATATTTTTTTTTTATTGTTGATTAATTAAATGTAAATCAATAAAAATATAAAAACAAAAAAGTATTTAATATTTATTTTCTTTTTAATGAAAACATTATAATGGATATCCAATGGATGGAGGTTTCCATAACATTACAATAAGATCAAAAAATTGTGTCCAATTTCCAAAATAGTTTTTTGATAAATAGATAAATAATATATAAATAATATATAAATAATATAAAAATAAATATAAAAAATAATAAACAAAAAAAAAAATTAATAAAAATTTAATAAAAAAATTATTTTTTATTAACCACTTTTAAAAACACATCACCATTTTTTTATAATTTTAAAATTTTGATTAAAATGAAAAAATGGGGAAAGATATTTTACGTCATAAAGTTGATATTTACTATTTTTTTATTTTTTTATAATTGTTGAGATTTTTTTTTAAAATTTTAGGTGAACTAATTGAAAGAAAATTCTTTTGATGGTTTATCTTAATTGTTTTGCTATAAATAAAAAAAAAAAAATTTATTTTTTTATTAATAATTCTTTTTCCTTTTATCTAAATTACTCAAATAATTATCTAGAAATAAAAATAATGAAGTTATTATTAGTATTAACTATTTTATCAGTATTGGCTAGTTGCATCAAAGCAGTTGATTATATTTCAATAGTACCCTATGGCGATTACCAATGCGGTGATGTTCCAGCAGGACGAGGTTTCTACGTTCCATTGAATACTTGCATTAATCTCTTTTTCCAAGACACCTATTTCGAAATTGTCGATGGAGAGTTACAAGTATCCTTTAGCCCCAATTGTGGTGATGAAGATAAAGATACTTTTTATTATGATCTTGAACAATGTACAATTTTTAAACTTAAAAATACTGCAAATAACTATGCTTCGATTATTAGCTTGACCTCAAAACCCCCAGCCGATGCCATCAGCTACAATTATTATTTTACCAATAATAAAAATCAATGTTCCGGAAATTATTGTATGTATAATTACTTCTACCTGTTTTATTTTAAAAAAAAATTAATTAGTTTAACTAACCAATTTTATTTATCTATTTCTATTTCAATCTATCAATAGTCCAAGTTTACCAAACTAATGGATCCAAACAAAATTTCTATCAATACTATTGTGAAAATAACGTTGTTAAAATTTATAATTGCTACAATCCTACAACTGGTTCAAATGAATGCCAACCAATTAATGTTAATAGTGGCTGTAATCAACCCGACAAATATTATGATTATCCAAACGACATTACCTGTTAAAAAATCTATAGTTATGGTTTAAATAAATCTTATAATTATCATTATTATTTCCTAATATTAATATATTATTTTTTATGATAATTTTGTATATAATAAAAATAAAAAATAAAAAAAATTGAAAAAAAAAAGAAAAAAAAAAAATTTACCCACCACACAAGTGGGTAAATGAAATTGCACATTGACTTTTTTATAAATACACATAATAATCAAATTACTAAATATATTATTATTATTATTATTAATGGAAAATATTACCTTTTTTAAAAATTAAAAAAATTATAATTGTTTTTTTTATTTTTATTTTTTCTGATAATCTAATAATACCCACACTTAACACAGTGTTTTGTTCTAATCATTTTATATACATATTTAATATTAACACAAATATAATTGTGTTTTTTTAAATTATTTTTTTTTCAAATTTATTATTTTTTTCCTTTTTTTTTTTTTTTTTTTTTTTAAAAAAATATTTTTTTTTGTTCGTTCATTCAAAAATTTTATTTTTTTAAAAACATAATTTTCCAAAATAATTTATTTTAATATTTATTAGTAATATTAATAATATAGTTATATAGTAATTTAGTAATAATAGTAATAATAGTAATAATAGTAATAATAGTAATAAATAAATAAATAAAAATATATAAATTAAAAATGGATCAACAAGCAGAAAATTTAATTGAACAAGGTAACCTTTTAAAAGCATATGGCGAACAAGGTAATCTTGAAAAAGTTAAACATTTAATCGAAGTTGAAAATGTTGGTGTTAATCAACCAGATCTTTTTGGTGATACATGTCTTCACGGTGCAGTTTCAAAAGGAAGATTATGTAAGTATATAATTGATTCATTATCTCAAATTTAAGATTCGGATCTCGATTTCAAATAAAAAAATTAAAAATTTAAATAAATAATTTATGTAAATATATTAATGGTTTTTTATTTTTAGTAATTGTTGAATATTTATTAGATAAAAAAGCTGATTCAAATATCACAAATAAAGTTGGATCTACACCATTACATAAAGCAGTAACCATTGATCCATCAACTACCACTCTTGGACAACAAATGAACATAATTAGAGTATTATTAAATAAAGGTGCCGATCCAACTGTCAAGAATGCAGCAGGATTAATTCCAGAACAATTAGCATTTAATAGTCGTATTAAAGAATTATTACAAGGTGATCAAGCAGTAACCGAAACCATTTCAGTACCAAAGGTTCATCATGGTAAAATTGTCGGTAAAAAAGGAAACAATCTCAAACAATTGAAGGAATTAACCAATACACAGATCACAGTTCCAGATTCAAACGTAACATCAAATAAGATTTCTATTAAAGGTAGAAAGGATGATGTCGAAAAAGCTCGTCAAATGATACTCGATATTGTAAATCCACCAAAAACTCCAGAAGACGAAGCTGCCGAAAAAGCTGCTGAAGAAGACATTGAAATTCTTAATCTTACCACAATTGCAAAAGAAAAACATTCTCTTTTAATTGGCGCTAGAGGTAAAACCATCAGGTATCTCAGAGATAATTTCGATATTCAAATAAATGTTCCACCAACAGAATCATCTGAAAATAACATTTCAATTCAGGGAAAATTAGAAAATATAGATAATGCGATGAAATATATTAATGAAATTTTAAAGAAAAATAGTAATAATAATAATAACAACTACAATAACAAAGATGGTAATTACAATAAAAAGCCAAGACAAACAAAATCAACATAGGTATCTAAAACCATAACAAAATAATTATAATATCATATCTGTATAATAATAAACAATAAAAATATAAAAATAACAATTATAAATAAAGATGGAACAAATAAATGTAATATTACATTTATTATTTTAAAAATTTAATAAACTTTTGCACAATAGAATATTTTCTATTTGTTTAGAATAAAAAAAGGGTATTTATTTTTTAAGATATGTTTATATATATATATATCATATATATATAATGTAAATAAATAGTTTTTGATGATATATATATACATTGTTTTGGCCCATCAACAATAGTATCATTGAATGGTTTTAAATAAAGAAAAGATTTAGTGGCTCCTATCAGGCAGTTTACGAAAGAACTCAGAAACAACTGAACTGCTCCAGTCAACAATATTAATAATATTTATGGTCACCTATTACCCATCTTATCTTATTCATCTCCTAAACTATATTACCACCTTTACATCACAATATGTAAATGGCTATCACCTTTTCAAATTACTAATCAATAATCAATCAAAAGAAAATAGCAATTCAAATTATCATAGTCTAATTAATAATAATATCAATTTATCTTAGTCAATATTCATATTGACCAATTATAATAATTAAATTAATATTTAACAATTTAAAAGTATAAATGGTTCAATTTAGTTATTATCAATTATAAGTTCATTTTTATATTTTATAGAGTTAATAAAATTCTATTTATAGTTTATACAATTAATAATTTACCTATAAACAATACATATTTATTAAATAAAAGAATTTAATTTTTTAGATTATCTTTTATTTGTCTTACTTATTGATTTACTTTTCTTTTAATATTTTTTTTTTAAAATATTCCAACCTATACTTTTTTCTATAGATATATTTAATAAACGAAATAAAATAATGTATTTAACTTAAAGCATATTTATGACAATATATCTTTGGTTTTTTTTTTTAAATTTTACTAATAAAATTTATATTGTATTTTTATTTAAACTCTGTTTGAAGATCTAGTTTCGAATCATTTTCTGAGGTACTAAATTTGACCAATGGCCAACCCCTTTTATGCTGTTCGATATGGTGTGTAATGCATATTCATTTTAGATTAAATGAATATTACAGTTATAATTATATCTCAACAAAATACTATTTTTATATTTTCCTTTATTTTGATTTTAGTGTATTGGGCAGGAGAAATACTTTTATCTTTGGGTTAAACAGAAGCTTCAAACAATAGAAATAGTTGCAATACTGATACTATGGTTTGGGATAACTGTAATGTTTTTTAAAATAAGGAACAAGCTTATTGGTTCTTGTAGATAAAATAAAATTTATTATAGTGTGATCTTATTTTATTTAATTGTCAATTATAATTGACTTTTTATAAAAGTATAGTTATATTATATGAAAAGGGATATTTTTTGAACTATGGTACTCAATTTTTAAAGTAGAGTATGCATACCAAAATATAGTATGTCCGGAGCAAAGTCCTATTATAATTTCTTGTGTACTAGTATGGTTATTGGTAATTACATTCCTATGTATGTGTATGTGAATGTGAATGTGTATGCATATGTATGTATGTGAATATAGAATGAGCATGTGATTATGTATATACATGTGTATGTGCATATGAATGTATATATGTGTATGTATATGTGAATGTGCATATGTTGTTTATATGCATGTACATGTGCAAAGGGTATGTGAATATGTATGAGTATGAGTATGTGGATGTACATGTGCATGTATTTGTGTATGAGTATGAGCATGTATATGTGAGAGTATCTATGTATATGTGTATAAGTACATGTGTATTTTCATGTTCATATGTACTAGTATCTATAGGATGATTCTCAAGAGTTAATGAGAGGTGTAATTGCTCCTCTTCATTATTTTCTAATTTTTTTTGATTTTCTTGTTGTTGATCTTCATTTTTTTCTAAATTTTGTTGATCTACTTCTTTTTGTTGGTCTTCATTTTGATCTAAATTTTGTTGATCAACTACTTGTTGTTGATCATTTTGAATAACTAATTGTTCTTGTTCATCTTCTTGTTGTTGATGAACTGTAAAATAATTGACAACCAAAGTAGTTGGTTGGATTAATTGGGTTAACTTTAATTTCTTTATCATTTTTTCGGCTGTTGTAACACCTTCATTAAAAAATGATTTATTTTCTCCTCTTGCCTAAAATGTTTTGATAATCATATCCTTTAATAAATCCACTATTTGCTGTGGAGTTAATTTCATTTTTGAAAAATTATATTTAAAAAATTGTGATATTGTGTATTTGTTAAATTATATGAATATAAAAAATGTAATAAAATAAAATGTGTATGATATATAAAAAATGTAATATGTAATAAAATAAAAATGTGTATGATATATAAAAAAGATGATTGTAATATAAGATATATAAAATAAAATATAAAAATATGTAGTGTATATATTTATAAAAAAATTTAATAAAAAAAAGGTAAGAAAAAAAATATTTAAAATAAAATTTAAAATTAAATTTTTTTTTATTAAAATTTTTTTTTTTTTTAATTAATATTCTATTAAAGTATAAAATAATTATATATTTAAAGCTTTGAATTTAAAATAATCAAAAATAGTTATAATAACTCGATATTAAATACAATCATTGTAATATTAATATGTTTCCCACATTTTTATTAATAAAAAACACACAATGTTATCTAATTCACCCCTTTCCTAAACCAATTAAAAATGTCATTTTATTATAATAATTAATAAAATATAATTATAGTGATTCATATATTTAATGGTAACTATAATCTATATTCAATAATTAGGCCTATTTTAAATTATTAATAAATGAACTTGACATCTTTTCTGAGTCAACTTGGAACGTGTATATATTTGATAAATTTGATTCATTAAATTCTTCACTGATTAATATAAGATCACCTAAGCGTGTACCATTAGTCTCTGGAAAATTTGCTGACCTTGTCCAAATTAATTTTCTAGTATTACTTAAAACTTCACTTCTTGTGTAAAAATTCTTAAAAAAAAAAAAATATTTTTATATTAAATTTTAATACAAAAAATATAAATAAATACACACCTATTCCATAGTTTTAAATATTCAATATGTTTTTGAGTTAAATAATCGGTTTTCTCTGAAAACAATTTCCATAAATTACTCGAAATCTCATTACCATTTTCGATAGCCTTATGATATAACTATATATATTAAATTTATGAATCATGTAAATACTAATTATATATGTTGATATAAATAAAAGAGTGAAAAAAAAGTGTAATATAAAATATGAATAAAAAGAGGGGAAAATAAAAATAAAAATTAATTTTAAAATTTTAAAATTAATTTTTTTTAATATATTATATAATATAATTTATAATAAAATTTTAAAATTAATTATATTTTTAATATATATATATATATACAATAGTTAAATACTGAATTTATAAATAATCAAAAATATGTAATGGTAATTTTAAGGATTATAATAATAATAAATTATATTTATTATTAATTAAAATGTTTTATTTATTTAATTTCTAAAAACTTAGTTTGAAAAGATTTGTTTTGTAGCAATTGATGAAATAAAAGAATTTTGGGAATTTGATTTGAAACAAGTATTCAAATATTTTTGTGATCCTTGAAATTCTAAATCATATAATTCAGTTTGGTCACCAGTGGAGCTTGATAAGAGAACAAAACGTGAGTTAATACCAGTAGTAAGTTGATATCCATAATCTCTAATGGCTAAAAGAGTGTAAGAGTTTTCGAAAGGATAGACTGAATAAAGATAAGATTGTTGCTGTGATTTATTGTTACCAAATAAAATAACTTTGCTACCATAACTTGCAATTTGAACAGCATCTAAAGAGTATGTTAAATTTAAATTATTTACTGAAAATAAAGAAAATTCGCCTTGGAGTGGAGCATAAACATAATAGTTTTGAACTAAATTGTTATTGTTTTGATAAGTTGCTACATAATAAGTGGAGGTTTTTAAATCAAAATATGGATTTGGATATGGAGTGTTTAAATCAGCACCCATTACGTTTCTAAAATAGATAAAAAAAAATTAATAAACTTTAGTTTTATAATAAATAATAAAACCAAATGATACTTACATAATATCATGTGCAATTCCATAATCGATAATTTTCGAACCTGATATGAATAAGAAAGAATTTCTATAGTCATCATATGAAATTAATGAGTCCATTGGGTTTTGTTTTAAGAAGTTTCTTAAATTAGGTTGTTGATAAATGGAAAATCCTCCATCTCTAGTAATAATACTGATATCTAATTCATTATTATTGTAAGTAGTTGCTAAATCTAAATATTTTGACATAGTTTAATAAGTGTTTGTATGATTAATATATAGTTTTAAAAAAATATAAACTTACAAGCAGTTTCATTGAGAATGACAATTGGAGAATTAGCACCAACATTTTTTATTAAACCATTGTTACAACCTGGAGCAATTGGTTGAATACCATTATCATTACCTAAGCCATAATAAATAACTGATGGTATATCATTAAATTGATTTGGATCGATGGAACCTGGTGATGGTGGTAATAAAGCTGAGGCAAAATTAGCGCTAAGTAAAACTGTTAATAAAACCAACGATTTGAAAATAAGCATGTTTTTATTATTATTATTATTTGATGTTGTTGTTGTTTTTGATGATTATTAAATTAAAAAAAAAAACTATTTATATTTTTTTTATTTATATTATATTCCGTTAAAATGAATTATTAAAAAGGTTAATAATAAAAAATCGAAAACCAACCAAAAAAACCAGGTGACCCATTTATTAAAGTTTAAAATATTAATTCAGGTTTTATGGATTTGTCCTAAAAAAATAAAAAAATAAAAAAAAATAAAAAATTTTCATTTTGAAAAGATGCACGATTAAAAAAAATAATTTTTTTACACCGAACCAAGCCTATTTTTCCCACCTTTGAATAGGGATCGTTATGACTTTTTATTTTATTTTTTTGGGTTATAGATATTTTTTTAAAACCACCTTTTTGCTGTATAATTTCCTTGATTAAAAAGTTAAATATATGATAATAAAAAAACCTTTGTTTGCTATTTGGTATAAAATTTATTTATATTAATTTAATAAATTTGGAAAAATTTTAAATTTATTGTATAAAGAAAATAGGAAAAAAATAGAACCTTCTTTAGTTTCTTGTTATATATATTTATTGTTTTGATGGTTTGAAATTTAAACTAATTGAGTTGACACAATGACGTTGATCAATTGGTGTATTAAAACCTTCTCCCTAAAATAATTTTTATATTGTTAGTCATTATATTAATTTTTTTTTATTTTATCTATTTATACATACTTTAAATACATGACCAAGATGACCACCGCATTTTTTGCAGCAAATTTCAGTTCTTGGTCTACCTGGGATTGATGGGTCAGAATGAAAAGTTATAGCATCTGGAAGAGAGTCAAAGAAACTTGGCCATCCACATCCACTATGGAATTTTTGAGTACTTTTGAATAATGGAGTTCCACAACCTGCACATTCATATAAACCTTCATCTTTATTATCTGTATACTTACCAACAAATGGGGCTTCAGTTCCTAGATTGATAAATTTATGAAATAAGTATAATATAATTGATATGGTTTATTAATATTTATTTGTTATTATTATTTATTACCTTTTTCTCTTAATACACGAAATTGTTCTGGAGATAATTTAACTCTCCATTCTTGTTCATTTAAATCGCTCATTTTATTATTATTACTATTTGAAAAATATCTTTCTAAAAATTTATTGTTATGGTTACTTTTAATAGAAATAATATTACAACTTTTATTTTTTAATATTTGTCTGTATGGTTGCAATGATAAATTAAAAGTTTTAAATAATTTTGAAATGAACATAAGTTTTATGAATATTTTTAAAAAAAATAAAAAAAATTAAAAAAATTAAAAAAATAAATTAAAAAAAATAAAATTAAAAAAAAATAAAAATTTAAAAAAAAAATAAAAAATTAATTAAAATATCTTTTTTAATACCATTCCCCTATATATAATTACTTTTCTATCGAATTGGAAATGATAATCCATAGCTTCCAGAATAAAAACCATAATGTGAAAAAAAAAAAATTTAATATGTAATTTTATATTTTGTAAAGTAACTCATCATTTTTTTTTTTTTTTTTTTTAAAATTTATTAATTTAGTATATTTAATTGTTCTTTAAGATCTTTTTCATTGCTTGTGTTTCTATAATTATTGTTATTTAATTTATTGATGACAATAATATTTTTATAGGATACAAGACTATTAAAAACATTGTGATATTCATCAACAAAACAATACAAACTGAATAAAATTGCATTGATTCTGTGAAATTGTAAAACTGAAAGTTTTGAATAATCTTGAACTAAAACTCTATTTAAATGGATAATTAATTTGTCGCATAATTCAATACTATGATCTTGAGTTACTGATAATTGTAGTTTGGATGATATTCTTTTAGTAAAACCAATATTATCTTTTTCAGGTGGCAGTTGTGAGAGCAAGTCTGATGTGTGTTGCAAATCATCCATTAATAATCTATTTTCGTCTTTTACCCTACTTCCAATAGAACGCATTTTTGATTGATCATTGGATTGGATGATCATAAATTCCAATGCACCAAATAAATTATGTAGTTCTTCAATTGACTTTAAAATATGATTAATTTTCTGATATTTTTTATATTGAAATATTAATTCAAAACCTGAATCTATTAATAATCTTCTTTGAGCTGGAAATATGGTTCTTAGTTTAATATACTTTTTGCCAATTAAAATTCTATAGTTTCTAAATGAAATTGGTTTGTTATTATTGTTATTATTAATATTATTATTAATATTATTATTATTATTATTAATTGTTTCCAATGGATTTGCATTTATTAAACTTTCATCTTGATTTTCATCCATTTTAACCATTTCTTTTTCATTAAAGCTATATTCCATTAAAAAATCGACCATTTCAACAATTGCTTTTGGTATACGATATAAATTCTTTTCTAATTGCCTAAAATCGAAATAAGGAACAATAATCGCAACTATTAATACTAAAATTACACCAAGTGTAACATAGAGTATTTTAAATAGAGCAAATATGATATCCTCTTGTCTTGCGAAAAACTGAGGTACTGAAATGACTGAATAGGTAAAGATGATAATTTGTAACATTGTGTCAAACGGTTGACCTTGTATCAAGAAGGCACATAGAGTAATTGTAAAAAAGGAATAACCAATATATATAAATGCAGCTGCAGCATTACTTTGACCCAGTTTGCAGAGTACCACACAAGCAAAAGCCATGAAACCACCAATCATTGTGCCAATGATACGCATAGAGCTAACAAAAGCAATAGCACCTAAATCAGGTTGGCATACCAAAATAAATGTATCCAATAGCCACGCCAATCTATCAAAGAGTATAAAGTCTGAATGTTTTTGAATTTCATATATAACCACAGATAAAATACCAATTACCAATGAATACTTTAATGAATAGAACCAATTAAATAAAATTCTATTCATAACAAAACCCTTGAAGTTGCTAATTATCAATTGCTTTTTATTTAAATTAATTGGATGTGCTAAATCCTGATCCATGCTATTTCTTTGAATTCTACGATTTTTTTTAAAGTTTAAAAACCAATGTTTTATATTTTTAAAAAAATTTGCAAGAAACCTAAATTCTCTTGGTCGGAATCTTTTTAATGATAGGTGATAGGATACCAAAAAAACTTCTTTTGATAAAAACTTTTGCTCTAATGAAAACGACTTAAAACCAGCCATCGAATAAAATATTTTTGATAAAGAGTTGTCTTCGTGTGGATTGAATAGTGTTTTTTCATAAAAAATAGTTGTAAAGGTTTGTTCCATTTCTTCAATAATTTTTTCAATTCTGTTAAATGCTTTGTTTATTTCATTTTGTTGCCACTCCAAAGAGTTTGGTTTAAAATTTGATTTGTCGCTGATATTTAATACTATCTCTAGTTGATTTACTTTAAAAGGTATATTGCTATCACGAAGATCTATTTTATCACATTCTTTTTCATATTCTTCTGGGTTGTTAATATGCTTTTCGTGCTGTTCTTTAAACCATTTTCTGTAGGTGTGATTATCGGAATGAGCATATTTCTTTTGTAGCTGTTTTTCCATTGTATTGAATATATTTTCAGTCTCTGAAATCAATTGATTTAGTAATGGCAAAATAGGGAGTAATTTGCTTGATACACTCAATGTACAGTCTTGTCTTAAACCAAAGCCGATAGCATATAGTTTTTTATGATTTCTTTCCAATAAAATCTGTATTTTTTCATAGTGGTACACTAAATTTTCCATTCCAAAACATTCTTTTCTTGAATCATTTAAATATAGATTGAGTTGATTTAATTGGTTTGAATATTCATAGTAGTGAAAATCCAGTTTGTTTTTATAATGTTTATGTATTATATAAAAATCGTTATTTCTATGATTAAAATGATGATTAGGGTGATGATGGTGATGATGGTGATGATGGTGATGATGGTGATGATGGTGATGGTGATGATTATGATGATTATGATCATGATGATGGTCCATTTTAATTTTGGTGTAGTGGTCTTTATTTAATAAATCGGGATGATTACTATTTGGGGGATTGGAAATATTATTTAAATTTGATTTTAAATTTTTTTTATTACATGTGCATCTATAATTATAACCATTTATGATATCAAAGTCATTAGGATTATTATTATTATTATTATTATTATTATTATCACTATCACTATTATTAATTTCTATATCTTTTTGTTTATTTTCCTTTTTTTCTTTTTCTATTTTTCTATTTTCTTTTTTGACATGTATATCCATTTCTTTGTTTTCATTTTTATTTAAAACTATTAAATTGATTTGCTTTTGTGATAACCTAATATATGACCTAATTTCATCGAAAATATTAACTGTAGTTTTGATAAATAAACCAGAGCCAAAATTCATCCTGAATATAATGCAAGTAAGAGTGCATGTGCCAATAGAGATAAATGAAGCGAGAACAAATTTGAGATGGACAATTGGAGAGTAATAATCTGATCTATATCTGATCTCGGTAAATGTTAAAAAGTAATATGAGATAAACATAAATTTACCAAATGAAAATGGTAAAAGTTTAGAGCTCATCATTGGACCAGTAGCAAGAAAGGTATACACTAAGAAAATAAAGCAATTTGGCCATACTGACCTCCCAACCATTGACAACGATATATATGATACAATGGCGCCAATGGTAATACTTGCTGCTATTCTAAGTGAGTTTTTAAATATTGTATAAAAATTATGTGAGCTTTCTACTGCCCAATGCGCAAAATTTATAGACCAGTATATATCGAATGGTCTAAAAAAATTTTCGAAAACCTTTAATACTACAAATATGCTACTAATTGAATATGCCACACCATACACTAACGGAAAGAACAGCAGTCTATAAAAATTATCCTTTTCATTTATATTTCTTTCTACAAATAATTTAAATGATTCTCTTTATTAAATATTTATTATTAATATATATTATTTTTTTAATATGAATTTATTTATTATTTATAAAACCTACTTAAAAAATTTTAAAACTATACTCATTATAAATATATATTATCGCAATATTATTTATAATGGTTTTATAAAAAATAAAGAGCATCTTTTTTTTTATTGAGCATTGGAAAAAAAAATAAAAAAAAAAAAAAAAACACACCACGATTTTGAATATTTATTGAAATTTATTTTAATAAAAAAAATATTTTTTTAAAGGATCTTTTGCAAAAGTTTTCAAATAAAAACCATTTTATGGGCATTTTATTAATAAACATTTAAAACATTTTAAAATGAAATTATATTAAAGTAAAATGTAAAATAAGAAAAAAAAAAAATATAATATTTGAAATAATTATAATAATTATAATAATAAACTAACAAAATTTGATTCTTAGAGAATTCTGATCTTTAGATAGAAATCGTAAAAATTAACAATTATAAAAACAATGTTCTTTGAGAAAGATTTTTTTTTTTTTGGTTTTTTTAAAAAAAAAAAAAAAAAAAAAAAAAAAATTTTTTTTTTTTTTTTTTTTTTTTTTTTTTTTTTTTTTAAATTAATTAAAATTATTTTTTTTTATTTTTTTTTTTTAAAATCTTTATTAATAATATTTATAATAAATAATAATGAGCAATAAATCAGAAGATAGATTTTCATCGGTTTTAAAGTTAACAGAATTCGATTATATTGTACCCTCACAAATATGTATTAAACCTGTAGAAACACCAGAAAAATCTAATGATAATGTAAGTTTGTTGGCATTTTAAATAAAAATTCGATTTTTATAGTAAATAGTCAAATATTAACTATAAATTTTATTATTTTAGGGTAATTCTAAAATTGAAATTGAATCAAATGGTAGATATGTTGAAATTTCAGAAGATGGAACTAAAAAACAATTAGAAAAAGCTACAATTACTTTAAACGACTGTTTAGCATGCAGTGGATGTATTACTTCAGCAGAAAGTGTTTTAATTACTGCACAAAGTATTCAAGAGTTTTTATCAAATATAAATAGTAACACTACAGATTCAGATAAAAAAACAATTGTAGTAACATTATCACCACAATCAAGGGCATCATTAGCAGCATATTATAAAATATCAACATTACAGGTACGTTCATAATAGAAATGAAAAAAGAAAAAAAGAGAAATCGATATTAATATTAAATTTTATTTTAGGTTATAAAAAAATTAAAAACATTTTTTAAATCATTAAATATTGACTATTTATTTGATTCATCATTTAGCAGAGATTTTTCATTATTAGAATCAGCAGCTGAGTTTGTAGCAAGATATAAGAAACAGTTAGGAGAAGATCAACCATTACCAATGTTATCAAGCGCATGTCCTGGATGGATTTGCTATGCAGAAAAGACACACGGTGATTATATATTGCCATATATTAGTACAACCAAATCACCACAACAAATTATGGGCACTTTAGTTAAATATTATTTTTCGAAAAAGATTAATATTGAACCATCAAATATATATCATGTTACGATAATGCCGTGCTATGATAAAAAATTAGAAGCATCAAGAAACGATTTTTACAATGACATTTTTAAAACTAAGGATGTAGATTGCGTACTATCAACATCAGAGATATTAGATTTATTTAAAGAAAAAAATACAGATTTTATTCAACTAGAAGAATCAACAGAGGCTATTACCAGCGAATATTTCAATATTAACCAAGAGCAACAAGAATTTTATGGTGTTAAAGGATCATCTGGTGGTTACTTGGAATTTGTTTTTAGATATGCCGCTAAAGAGTTGTTTAATGTAGATGTAAATGAAATTGAATATAAAGTTGGTAGAAATCAAGATTTTAAAGAAGTATCTTTGGAAGTCAATGGGGAAAAGGTTTTAAATTTTGCATTAGCATATGGTTTTAGAAATATTCAAAATATAGTTAGAAAAATCAAAACAAATACTACCATTAAAAAAGAAAGTGCGTTACCTTATCATTTTGTCGAGATCATGGCATGTCCTTCAGGCTGTATAAATGGTGGTGGTCAAATCAAACAAGAGGGAATTAAAGAAAATAAAGCTTTCCTTTTAGAAACTGAAGAAAATTATAACCAACAAATTATACGTAATCCTCAAGATAATCCACAAGTTCAAGAGATTTATAAAAATTGGCTCAATGGTTGTTTTTCGCATGATGCTATAACAAAACTACACACCCAATATCATAGAATCGAAAAAACAACTAATGCATTAAATATTAAATGGTAAAAAATAAAATTTATTATTTAAAAAAAAAAATTTTAATCTATAAAACAACTCTGTTGGATTATAGATGGTGTGATTTTATTCTACAATTAAAAATACAATATTGTTTGTTTTTTTTTTTTTTTTCTTTTTTTTTTTTTAATTTGGAGGTCTGGTTTCATAAAGGTCACCATAAAATTCGATACCTGAAATTGATAAGAAATTATGATTTGATGAGTTTCTACCAGTTTGTAAAATTCTAAAGTGTCTATATGCTTGAGTACAGTTTAGTATTGGCCATGAGCAAGTACTAAAATTACCATTTAGAGATGCATCGTTGCTATGTCTAACTAAAACTGTCCAGTTTTTGCTATCCATTGACCCCTGTAATGTCCAATTTCTTAAGCAATCTGCTTTACTATTACCGCCATGACGTAATGTATACCAAGTGGGTACCATTGTTCTACTGGATCCTAAATTAATTGATATCCATGATGCTGGTACGTCCATTGTCCAAAATTCAGAGGAGGTTCTATTAAAACAATCAATTACACTACCTTTTTCTTGTGATGAGCAAGCAACACGCACACGACCTCTTGATGCTGGATTTGACCATTCTTCTTTACCGCCATTAGTACCTATATAATAAAATACACCACATGTGTCAAAGTCGTGACTATATTCTAATGATGTTGCATAGGCTGTTCTTGGGGTTTTTCTCATTTGCGCTAAACTTTCTTTAGTTTCTTTAATTGGAGTAATTGAGGTCGATGATAAAGATGACATACCAACAGATTGCGAATCCATCATCATTGCCTCTAAATCCATAGTTGATAGTGATGAGGGTGATGGGTAAAATGATGATTGATTATTGTTATTATTATTTGGTGTTGAAATTGGAAATGGTAAAGATACTGATAATGAAATATTGGAGTTGTTTTGGTTATTGTTTGTATTTATTATTGAACTTGAAGCCAAGTTACCCAGAAATATTGGTTGTGTTGATATTGTTGTTGCCAAATTTAGACTGCTACTACTACTAACATGTTCTTTATCTTTATCTTTTTCTTTATCTTTATCTTTGTCTTTATCTTTTTCCTTATCTTTTTCTTTTTCCTTTTCCTTTTCTTTTTCTTTCTCCCTGTCTTTTGGACCTTCATGATATTTCAATCTTTGAAGTAGTGCTTCGGTAATTAGGTAGCTTGGCACCATGGCATTATCACGTAGTTCCTCTAATTGATTATAGGAAAATAAAGGAAACCTTACGACTTCAAACAATGAGTTGGTATCTTTATCTGATAAAATTGTTTTATTAAACTGAATATATTTTAATACTGTTTTATATACAATTGATTCGTTTGAAACTGATAAATTATTTTGTTTCATTAATCTTATCATAATTTGTAGTGGTAACGATAATAACTCTGGTATTGTATTGATAGTTGTTGGGTCTAATGATTTTTCATTATCTTTTAAAATTTGATAATTTAATTGTTTATCAGTTATTAATGTTGATGAATTTAAGGAAGAATATACATTTGTTATTATCTGTTGATCATCACCATTATTATTATTATTGATATTATTATTAATATTATTGTCATTATCTGTATTATGATTAATTGAAATCGATTGTATTAATGATATTGGTGAGTTTATATTATCCTCATCATTTATTTCATTATTATTTATATTATTATCATCATTTAAGTGATCTTCATTGTCAATATTTAAACTATTATTTCTACTATGATCAGTATTATTGTTTTTTATTGCTCTATTATTTAAATTGAGATTATTACTACTATTATTATATAGTTTATAAAATGAATTTGGTAAAATTATTTGATTAAAATGTTTACATATAACTGTTATGCATTTTGAAATTAAATCTTCAGATTCTATATTTATGGCCTTGTTTAACATTAGTAATGCATTTTCTTTGGTGATTGAACTTGTTAAAAAGAAAGTTGATACTTTTTTTAAACCCTTTATTGAAAAAGTATTAGATAGCCATAGAATAGGTAGTGCGTTCTTTGATGTTAAATTGATTTTCCCTTCATACATATATAATACAACTAGTTCAAAGAATTCTAAAAAAAGCCCTTTTAATTCATATGTACTATTGCCTAAATATGAAAAATAATCTGTTGAGGTTGATGTTGATGTTGATGTTGATGATGAAGATGAGGATGATAATGTTGATGTTGATGATGTTGTACTAGCTAATAAAACCTTGGGATTATTGTTTGTATCTATTAGTTCTTGTTGATCAAATTGATCTGCAAAGAACTTTGATGAATGGGCCAAAATAACTTTATGTAAATAATATTTTTTACCATCTGCAATTAAAACCACGTCACTAAAAAAAGAACTTTTCAAAAATGAACCAAATCCATTTCTAAATATTGGTGCTTTATATAAAACTGATCCTTGATGATTTGAGTTAGTATTACCGCTTGAATTTTGTATTGTTTGAATTTTTTGACTGATATAGTTTTTAAAATCAATATTATTATTTGCCCTACTGCTAAAATATCCTGTACCGCTGTTACTATTAGGAGATCCACTTTGACCATTACCAACTATACTAGTATTACTATTGTTTAAACTATTATTCTCTATATTACTTTTATTTGGTATATTTATATTTAAATTTGATGTTGTTAAAAAACTACTACTGCTACTATTATTACTATTATTATTATTATTATTATTATTGTTGTTGCTATTTGTTGTATAAGTTATAGGAAAAAATGAACTAGTGCCCGGACTTGTGCTTATTGTATATTGATGGTGTGGGTTTGATGGGAATAAAATATTATTTTCATCTTCAATACCATTAAAAAAGTGATTATGAATATAGTTTTGTTGATTATTGTTATTATTATTATTATTATTATTAATATTATTATTACTTATATTTATTGAGGGTGTTGTCATATTTTTTAATTATAATAAAAAATGAAAAAATAAAAAATTTTTTTAAAAAAACACAATTTTGGTTATATTTAAAAAAAAAAAATATAAAAAAAAAAAAAATAAAAAAAGAAAGAAATAAGATAATAATGAATATATATAGTGTTATGTTTTAAGAAAAAAAAATAATTTAAAAAATAATTTAAATCTGTTTTAAAAAAATTTTATAAAAAAAATAATTTTAAAAAAATTTAGTTTTTTTTAATTTTTTTTATTTTATAATTTAAAAAAAAAAAATTAAAAAAAAAAAACTATTTTTTTTTAATTTTTTTTCATCATCTTCAACAAAATCAATAATTTATTATTTATATATATAACCAATAATTTTATATATTTATAACTAATTGATTTTATTTATTTATATCTTATTCATTATAAATAAGTAAGATTAATAAATATTTTGATTTTTATTGTTATTATCTATTTTTATATAAAAAAAAAAAAAAAATTATTATAATAATAAAAAATAAAATAAAATAAAAAATTAGATTATTATAATAATAATATATATATATATATAAATATAAATATAGTAATAGTAGTAATAGAAAAATGAGTGGAGGGGATGATTTTGGAAACAATTCATTTTCAAATAGTATCGGAGGTGGATTAAATTCAAAATTTTCAAGATATGCAAAGAATGGCAGTCAGCAATTGGTTTTAATGTTGTTTGGAGCCAAAGGTATCAGATCATGGGTCACAATAATGTTGTTTTATTTATTACAGTCATTATCAGTAATCAATGTGTCATTCTATATGTTACTATTCTCGACTATTCAATCTTTAATTACCGAAAAGCCTTGGAATTTATTATCACAATTAAGACCATCCCAAATTAAAAAGATTATTTATTATTCATTATTTAATCTTTTTATTGTATTAACATGGAATTGTTCAGTAAAATATATTGGTCCATTAGGGTAAACAAAATATTTCAACTTTTCTCATAATTATTAATGGTATAAATATATTAATTTTTTTATAATACAAAACAGCACTATTTTAGCATCAGATTATTCATACTCAACTTATCCAATTATATTTGGTACATTACTTCAAGGCAACTTCCTTTCAACTGATATGGTAATAAATCATAGTTCTATTTTTAGTATTAGGGAATTTTATATTTTATTAATACATTATTATCTATTAATTTAGTCTAGAGCATCAATTATGTTAATTTTCGGATATTTATTAATTCCATTTTTTGGCGGATCTAAATTGCAAATTCATGGATATAGCGCATCACAAGTTTTTATGATTGGAATTTTTAGTTTATTAATTCACAATATTTTAGTTATGGTAAAGAAGACAGCAGTTAAAGGATGGAGTAATTCACATAGAAATAAATTATCAAGTTTAGGATCATTAGTTGCAACTATTGTACTCTTTGTATTAAAAATGTTTGAATCATGGTCACCATCAAACCATCCAGTTTATATTGATTATAATCAAGTTTCCTATTATCAACTCTTACAACTTGTAATTGTTTCAGTTATATTACTTTCATTCAACCAACTTACCGAAGATGTTTCAGAACAACAATTAGGTTTCTTAGTATTAAGTAAAGCTAGTTTAACCTCAACTCTTTTATTTGGTTTCATCATTGCTATTTTTATTGGATTTTATGATTTCTTTAGTCCAATTTTAATTTTAAGTTTTGTTTTAATTATTACAGGTAGGTTTTATTATATAATTAAATAATGTTAATGGAGGGTTTAATTTTACTAAAATTTTTTTTATAATTATTTTTTTAGCTATTCATATTTTATATTCAAAATCAAATAATGTAGATCAACAATCTCAAGTTACGTTTAAGACACCAATTGATGGATCAAGTTCAATCAAAACATTTAATAGTAGCCATGAAAATAAAGCAGGATATTATTTAGAGATTGCCAAAGATGTTATTAGACAAATTATAGAAAAACCAGTTTCAAGACGTATTTTTACATTTTTAATTATAAATTTAATGTTTATGTTTGTGGAAATGGCTTATGGTATTTGGACCAATAGTTTAGGATTAATTACTGATGCTTGCCATATGCTTTTCGATGCCACCGCTTTATTCATTGCTTTGGTTGCTGAGGTAATCTCTCAATGGAAACAAAATGACACCTATTCCTATGGTTATGGAAGAGTTCAAGTTTTATCTGGTTTTGTTAATGGTATCTTTTTAATTTTTATTGCTGTTACAATTTTAATGGAATCAATTGAAAGGTAGGTCAAAATAATAAGTCATTTTTAATATCAATATTGCAAATAATAATATGTTATTAACTATTTATACATTTTTTATTATATAGATTATTAGAACCACCAGAAATCAATACAGATAAATTATTATTGGTATCAGTATTAGGTTTTCTTGTTAATTTAGTTGGTATATTTTCATTCCATGGTGATCATGGTCATAGCCATGGTGGCGGTGGTGGTCATACTCATGGTCATAGCCATGGTGGTGAAAAGAAGAAATCACATGACGATCATGGCCATAGTCATGGTGGTAGCAGCCATGCAGAGGAACCAAAGAAAAAGAGAAGTGTAAATATAGATGGTGTATTTTTACATCTCTTGGCTGATACACTAGGAAGTGTTGGTGTTATTGTATCATCTTTAATTATTCAAATTTGGGGTTACACCTTAGCCGATCCCATTTGCTCATTATGTATTAGTATCTTAATTTTCCTCTCTGTATTACCATTAATCAAAGGAACCGCTAAAACTCTTTTACAATGTACACCAGATTCAATTAATTCCGATATCCATCAAATTACTCAAAAGATTTTAGGTACTCCAGGTGTTACAGGTTTATTAAATTATCATTTTTGGAGTCATTATGATGAAATGAATATAGCAACTCTTAAAATTCAAGTCGATTCAAACGCTGACAACGAGAAGATTAAAAAATCAATTTCAAAATTCTTAAAACATGATTACTCAGTTCACAAAACTTTGATTGAATTTGTAAATTTTTCAAATCTTTTAAATAATAGTAGTAATAATAATAATAATAATGAATATAATTATAATAATAATGAATCAATTGATAATCATTCTTTACCACACGAACCTCAATTCCACCATAATCATCATGGTCACAGCCATAATCATTAAAAAAATAATAATAAAATTAAATCCTTTTTTTTTTATAATCTCTTTATAGTTTTTATATTAAACTTGTTTTTTATTTTTTTTATTTCATCAACCATTTTTCCAAATAATATTTATTTATAGTTGTTGTTCAGAGGGGACAGCATTTTTAATTTGAATGTAAGTGCTTCAGAATGGTAAAGGATTAATTTGTTATTAGGATTGTATTTTATCGAGTTCATTAAGAACACATGTCAAATTATAGTGCATTGATGGAATATCTAATTTAATACTTTTATTATTTACCAACATTATCCGAACCAAAAAAATGTAATATCTATTATATGTTTTTACGTGTGTGTACATGAGTATATTTATGGCACTATTATAATGCATTTGTTAATATGCATATTATAAAATGCATATTCATGAGTATGTTCATGTGGATATAAATGTGTATGTACATGTGAATATAAATGTCTATGTATGTGTATGTGAGAGAATATGTGTTGTGTGAGAAAGTGTATATGAATTAGGATGAGTATGTGTACTGGTAGGAGTATCAGTATCAGTATTACCATGCCCATGTATGTGTTGCATTTTTATGTGAATGTGTATGCATGTGCATGAATATGCTCTATGTTTTTGTATGTGTATGGGTATGTTATAATGTATGAGAATGAGCACATGAATAATGTAATAAGTATGAGCATGTGCATGTATATGTTTATGTATGTATATGTTTATGTGCATGTTCATACCTAAATGAGTATGCATTTATATGTGAATATATATGCATGTGCATTTATATGTGAGAAAATGCATGTGTATATGTATAAATGCATGTGCATGTGAATATAAATGTGAATGTGAATGAGTATGTGTAAATGAATGTGCTTCTCATATTCATGTTCATGTGCATGTATGTGCATGTATGTGCCGCTCATGTGCATGTGCATGTGCATGTACATATGTTTGTTAATGTGTATGTGCATGTGCATGTGTATATTAATGTGCATGTGCTGTTCAAGTTCATGTGCATGTGCATATGCATGTGTATTTATATGTGTATGTGTATATGTTCATGTGCATGTGCATGTGTATATTCATGTATGTGTATGTGCAAATGTATGTATATGTTAAAGTTAATGTACATGTGCATGTGCATATTTATATGTTCATGTGTAAGTATGTGTACGTGCTGCTCATGTACATGTGCATGTGCATGTGCAAGTGCATGTGCGTGTGTAAATTCATATATGTGTTTGTGCTGCTCATGCCCATGTTCATGTGCATGTGCATATGTTTGTTCATGTGCATATGCATATGTTTGTTCATGTGCATGTGCATGTTCATGTGCATGTGTATATGCATGTGTATTTATATGTGTATGTGTATATGTTCATGTGCATGTGCATGTGTATATTCATGTATGTATAAGTGCAAATGTATGTATATATTCATGTGCATGTGCTGCTCAAGTTCATGTGTATTTATATGTGTATGTATATATGTTCATGTGCATGTGCATGTACATATGTTTGTTAATGTGTATGTGCATGTGCATGTGCATGTGCTGTTCAAGTTCATGTGCATGTGCATATGCATGTACATATGTTTGTTCATGTGCATGTGTATATGTTCATGTGCATGTGCATGTGCTGCTCATGTTCATGTGCATGTGCTGCTCATGTTCATGTGCATGTGCTGCTCATGTTCATGTTCATGTTCATGCTCATGTGCATGTGTATATGTTCATGTGCAAGTGCATGTGCGTGTATGTTCATGTGCATGTGTATATGCTCATGTGCATGTGCAAGTGCAAGTGCATGTGCGTGTGTATATTTATGTATGCTGCTCAAGCTCATGTGCGTGTGTATATTCATGTATGTGCATGTATATGTATATGTTTATGTATATGTTCGTGTGCATGTGTATGTGCAAGTGCATGTGCGTGTGTATATTCATGTATGTGTATGTGCAAATGTATGTATATGTGTATGTATGTGTATGTGTATGTACATGAATATGGTCATATGTTTTTGTATGTATGTTTTTTTGTTTTAAAAGTATCCATTATCATTATGATTCAATTTGAATATTCTGATTATGGTCAAACGATGTAATTAAATCATTTATTTATTTAATTTTAAAGGTTTAATTTTAATATTTTTATAGTTTTATTAATTTTATTATTTTTTGCAGCTAAGAGGTATGATTGGAGGTGCTTTGGTAGGTTGATCTGTGTATGTCTGAGCTTCACTGTCTGTTGTATCTTCTTTGACCGATTGTGACGATGTATTTACATTGGTCACTGGTTTACAAAGTTGTTCTGTGGGATCGAATGACTTTGAGTTCTTGATCCATACTGATATGCGACATTTTTTGTGTTATTAATTTCATTTGTGACATATTTCGTCAAACAAATTTCCAATAATTGGTTATTTTATAAATATACTACAATTTATTACATAAATTTATAATTTTTAGTATTATTTCATGGATATGTATGTGGTATTAGAAATTTATAAATAAGCTAAAATTGGTAAAATAAAAAATATTTTAAATTAAGATTTAAATTGTTAAAAAGTTTTAATTTATAAAATAATAGTTCAATTAAACTTTAAGGTTTTTATTATTTTTTAATTTAACATTATTGTTGTTTTGCTGTTGAAAGGCTCCGACTTGTAGTTTAATATTCGATTTTCGAGTGAGTCGAAAAATTAAGGATAAATAAAAAAAAAACAAATTAATAAAATAATAAAAAAAAATAAAAAAAATAAAAAAATAAATAAAAATAAAAAAAAATAAATAAAATAAAAAAAAAAACTGTAGTTTACACACAAAAAAAAGACGTTTTTTTTTGGATTTTTTTTTCTTGATTAGCATTAGAATTTGGTTAGGATTAGCATCAACATCAGCATCAACTAAATAGAAATAAAAATTTATATATTATATATTTTTTTAATACAAATAGTTTATTTATTTTTTATTTTTTTATTTTTTATTTTTTTTATTTTTTTATTTATTTTTTAATGTATTTTTTTATTTATTTATATAAATTTTATATATATTTATATCAATTTGAAGTTTTCTTTTTTTTTTTTTTTTACCACTTTCGTATTCGACCCGACTCGTGAGTTGTTGATATTGATTTGTGCTTATTTTGATGTGGTACCACATTTTTTATTATGTTTTCCTTAATAAAGAAAATAAGATACAAAATAAATAAATTAAAACTTACCTATAATTTAACTTTTTATATCATTTGATGATTTGAGTTATACGGTCTAACAAAGGTATCAGCAGATAGATAATTGTTCCCTCTATCGTTTTTTAAAAAAAAAATGGCAAAACCTCACCCTCCCTGGATGAGGAAACTTAGATAACGCCAGATACCCCCAATTAAGGAAATACCTGACATTATCCAGTTTTTTAGCGGCTACTACTCTTCTGGACTCGACTTGTGGTACATTGGACGGCGTTACATTAAAATTTTTTTTTTTTTTTTTTTTTTTTTATTATTATTATTATTATTATTATTATTATTATTATTATTATTATTTTTTTTATTATTATTATTATTAATTATTGATTATTATTATTATTATTATTATTATTATTATTATTATTATTATTTTTATTATTATTATTATTATTGATTATTGATTATTGATTATTGATTATTGATTATTATTATTGATTATTGATTATTATTGATTATTGATTATTGATTATTGATTATTGATTATTGATTATTGATTATTGATTATTGATTATTGATTATTGATTATTATTATTGATTATTGATTATTATTGATTATT